TTTGTTTCTGCCTACCTACCTCTCCTCCCGTCCTCACTCCATCCAGGTACACACACGTAGCCCGCCTTATCCGGATATATTGGAGACAAGGCGCACGCCAATCCTACTCTACTTTACAAGCCAGCCTTCCTATTGCTCCGATACGACTCTTCATTCGTGCTCGCGTCCTTCCGCGTACATACATGACACTCGTCAACACTAATTGGCGAAGTAATAGGGAACAACTCCCCCCTTCGGAGGCAGCCAGTGCGTGTCATGCTGTGTAACGCCTCTCGAGAAAAACAGATCGACTGGCCACCGCAGTTCCACGCAAGATACCCCAAGACGCAAGCCATCTAGGCAGAACATGTAATAGTCCAAGTCTCGAGGTCTTCATGAAAACCTGACACATCAACATCCGGGGAGACTTTCCCGGACCAGACGCTCCCCGGCGGCGGTATTCGTCTCCCGAACATGTCCATCCCCAAGACATCATCATGAAAGCACGCTTACCATCTTTCTACAGTACAGCACTATGGATTATACGTATCTAGTTGGTCAAGCCATTGAACAACCTTTGATCTGCCGGACCACCTCCCGTAACCTATCTACCCGTCTCCCCCATCCATCTCGGAGCAATCCTCAACAGTTAGTGCTTTCACCATCAGCTCACGACAGTTACTTCGTACTGTACTCAACTATCAAGACCGTCTACCTATATATAACGTAAAGCCAGACTAAAATGTCACTTGGCGTCCCGTCAGGACATCCCATCGCCACCACTATCACAAAGGGGGCTTCTCATCATATTTTTACCCCGCACGAGAATCATCTCCTCATTATCGTACGGCGAATGCCCAAAATCAAGGAAATCTCCTCAAGATAAATTCCCGGCTTGCCTAGAGGGATTCGACTGCGCCGCAAGAGCTGTCAGCAAGCCAAGCTTCCTCTAGCCCCCCCTTTCTCGTCCTCATCTTATATGCGTCATGTAGGGCGTTGTCTGGCTGCTTTGACTGGGCAGACGCGGCAGTAATCGGCGCAGGCTTGGGCTCACCTTTGAAATTGCCCCTTAGCATGCTCGTCCGTCCAATGAGATTGATCATCCCCTTGTCGTGTGCTTTCCGCGAGTCGTCTTCATGCAATGTCTCATTCGCCCTATTCTATCGATACCAGGCTGCCGCGCCTTTTGCTCATCCTCTAGTAGTCACATCTAGGGAGTCTAGACCCAGTACCTGCACGTAGTCAATCCCCTGAGTGGACGCCCGTAAACGCACATGCCAAAAACATTTTGTAATATGTCCCCCTTATCATCAATTCATCCACAGCCGCACGGCTTTGTCCTTGCCGCCGCTGCCAACTCGTTGTCCATCCGGACTCCAATCAACCTGCCATGCCGTTAGCTATTGGTCTTGGGCTGCTGAGAGAGTCAATGAATGGGGGCAAACATACAGCAAACACTTCGTCTTGGTGCCCCGGTAGGTCAACAGACAGCTTGTACGTAGCCATTGACCACACCTTCAACGTGGTATCCTTGGACGCCGTCACGAGGAGCCGGCTATCGGCAGAAAAGGCGCACTGGTATATGGGCGCCACATGGCCTCGGAGCGTGTTGATGAACTTGCCATCCCTACATCGGACATCGTGTTAGCATGTGCCAAACGCCTTCGCTGCGGTGTCATCGAAACACAAACCTCGCGCTCCAGATTTTGGTGTGATTGTCCCATCCGGCACTGGCGATGAGGCTGCCATCAGGGGAAAATGTCACGTGGTTGATGGCCTTTTGGTGTCCCAGCAGCCGTGCAACCGGTTTTGTGCCTTGGGAAGGGTCCCATAGATACATGGTAAAGTCGTCCTGTGCGATGAAGTCAGAGATATGGAACCGGCACCGAGAAATTGTTTGCCAAGTCACTTACAGAGGCCGATACGAGACGTTCCGCAATCTGCCCTTGGAATCTCGCTGCCTTCTCAAACCGCTCCTTTGCCTTCTTCCGCCTTTCCTCCTCTCCGGCGGGGGTTGCCTGGTGATCATAAAATGACGTTCGTAGTGCAAAGTCGGTAGACAGCGCCAGGTGATTCACCCAGTGGGCATGAGAAGACAGCGTGTGCACCAGTGTTCCCTTCTCGGCATTCCAAACCCGGACTGTCTTATCGTGGCTGCCCGAGTAGATCAGTCCGGTTCCTCCCCATTTCACACAGCTTACGCTGCTCCGGTGGCCGGACAAGACATGCTCGGTCCGTCCTGTGTTCACTGCCCACACACGAATTGTTGTGTCCTTGCTCGCACTCGCCAGTCGGGGGGAGCCGTTCTGCCAGAGATGATAGGGTTCCCAGGCAATGTTGGTAACCCACTTAGAATGTCCTGTCAAAGCTCCGGTGCCGGCAGCCTTTCCAGTCTTGGGATCCCAGAGTCGGACAGACTTGTCCATGCTGCCCGTGGCCAGACGCTCGCCATCGGGCGACCAGGCGACGCACAGAACCCAGTGCGCATGACCAGATAGGGTATACTTTGGGGTTCCAGTCTGCGTGTCCCATATCCGAGCCGTCTTATCGCCTGAGCCCGTAGCCAATAGACCACTGGTCGCGGGACTGAACTGAGCGGCCAAAATCGCTTCGCCGTGTCCAGGTATCCTATGGGACATGCGCGTGACTGCTTGGACCTTGAACACTGCCTGGGGCTCGGCACTCAGCGTGACTGTCGTTTCGAAGGGGTTCTCAATGCCATGGCTGCGCAAAAGCTGAAGAAGGTCGGTCGGGTATTGGTCAACGACGATGTCGGTCTCTGGAATGTGTATTCGAAATCGATATGGGAGAAATTCTTCCTTGTCCTATCAGCTCGATGCATCGTTAGTCCAACGGTCCCAGTGCTACCCTCATGCAGGCGGTAGAGACGAACCCTGGCTAGCAATGTATTTAACAATAATGATAGATTTTTCTCAGATGCGTCGGCGAGAGGCACTTCAATGACATCGGCCATCTGCTTTCCGTCGCTGTCGAGGAATCGCGCCTTGAACGAGCCCGCGGGCCCAGTTGCAACGGCGGTCACATCCTGCTGAATCTGTGTTCTCTCCAGGTTCTCGCGCTTCTGGCGCTTGGACGGAGGGGGTAGGACGGTCGCCATGGCAAGCTGCAGAGCGTCCGTCGACTGTTGATGGCTGTCTCGACAAAATGTTGAAGTTCGCTACGAAATAAACCACGGTGGGGCCAAACGGCAAAAAAAAAACTAGGAACGACGAAAAATTAAGGCGGTGAGAATGTGGGGTCTCGCCAAAAATGGTAAGCAAATCGCCCGTATCTCAAGACCCCGGCCTTTGATCTGTAGTATTAACGGGCCGAGTCAAACTTGAAGCGGAAAAGAGTTTCCGGCTTCTGCTCGTGATCTCAATCGGAGGAGAGCCAAAAGCCTGCCTAAACGTCTGGCTGCGAACCCATCGCCGGTCGGTGACCGCGCATGCGCTTGGGCGTGCCTCCAAATTGTGGAAAGGCCATGTTCGGCATGCCGCCGGGGATGGGGACGGGGCTTTGGGTGGGATTATGCGGCATCTGAAAATGCGTCAACGGCTGGAGATGACTGTTTTGTGCCTCTTGCTGGAGTTGGTGGTGGACTGCTTGCTGCTCCATGCTCTGCTGGTGCTGATGTTGCTGCGGCTGCTCTTCTTGTCGTCCACGGCGCCTTGCACGCTGTTTCTGTGCTGACAGTTGCCTACGGCTCTTGTCCACCATCGAGTGCCGCTTATCTTGCGCTTCCTGCCGGCGCTGGCGCTGCCAGTCCTCATTCTGCACGGCGTAGATGGCCGCGATTTGCATTTGGAATTGTGCCAGTGCGTTCAGCCGATCTGGCTGCGACATCTTGCGGTAGTCGGACTTGAGCTGATGAAAAGTGTCGCCCGTCAACCGGAGAGTTGAATCAGAGATGCCAGCCAGCTGGATAGCTGTTGCGGTCTGCGCATCGGGCCGTGGTCCATTGTCAATGTCTATGATATGCTCGTTAGACGTGTTGCTCGAGATTATCGGGAAAATCTCCCAGCACAAACCTGGAAGCTCGCCAAGATCATTCTCTTCATCCTCGCTCATCTCAGTGGGCGTTGGTGGCTCTGGGGTTCCGGGGGCATGGTTGTGCTGGTCACAGGAAATGGTCAGGACCCAGCCGCCAATGCTTTTACGGTTGACTGCTTTGGCCTTCCACGGGCAGTCCGTCTTCTTGGTCGTGGTCTTGTGCTTCGTAGCCATGCATTTGTAGGGTCGACCGCCTCGATCGCAGACGAGATCGCACCGAACGATGTCGTTGCCAGGGATATCAGCACCGCCCATCCGCGAGCGGTGCGATCTAGCCTTGACGATCTTGTAGCCCTCCTTCTCCATCCGCCCGTTCAGATCCTTGATCAGCTCATCGTAAGTACTGAAGACGCCGGCATGGGGCACGGCCACGGCCTCGAGGATCCCAAACATGGCTTTGGAGGGGCGGCGACGGTTCGCGCTGTTGTCGCTAGAGGGCGTGTGGATTTGAAGCCAAACCTGTGCGTGACGGATGTGATTCGTGGCGTGGGAGCGCGGTCAAGACGTGGAGAAGAAGGTTGGTTTGGGAGAAGATTCGGGCTAAAACGACGGTACGTACTTTGAGGCCCAGCAGCATGACTCAGCAAGGCGGCGGTGCCTGGTCCTGATTGGTACGCACACGCCCAGTAGGAGCAAACACACGCATCTCAGCTCCTTCCTTCATTGACGTTTGAGCCTAGGTTTACATTTTTAAGGTACCTATTGAATGCTCTTTCCATGGCAGAGAGAACCTATATAGGTAGAGGAGTCATAGATGAATAATCAATGTCTTCGATCAAGAGACATCATTTCACCTGACCAGCTCCATTTCATCTCTCGGTCTCCCCTTGACACCCATCTTCTTCATCCTCCCAGTGATTGGAGAGCTGTAACTCGAAATTCAGTGCTTCTTGCGGTGACTTATCATTCTCCTGTCACCAACATTATTTCTCTAGTGGCCCCGGAGATATTCATGTGCTGCTGCAGCCATGCAGCCTTCATATCGATCCGCATCCCGGGCCACGGACACAGTTTCATCCTACTTCTCAAGCTCGGTGCCGCCTGAATCGCCCCCCTATCGACGAGACCTTACTCAAGGCAGACAAGGCAGTGAAGGTGCCATCGAGAGCGAGTACGGCGGTCAGTCCCGGTACTCTCCGTCCATTGCCAGCTCCAGGCCCAGCACCGCCCTCATCACAGGTTCGACGACCACTTCACGCCCGACAACTCCCTCGCGCCGCTCTCGAAGTGGTGCCACGCCTTCTATCCTTGGGCAGAGTGAATCCCACGATGTCGTGTGCGCAGTTAGTGAAGCCCGTAGCGTTGCTCCTACAGTGGGCATTGCTACAGTCAACCTGTCTCTCGGTGAAGTTACCCTCAGCCAGATTTGTGACAACCAATCCTATGTGAAGACGATCCACAAACTGCAACTGGCCTCTCCTTCTCGCATAGTCTTCATGCCGTCAGCCTGCTCCCCCAACGAGCCAAGCACATTGTTCGCTCTGGTTCAACGACTGATACCTGAAGCGGAAATATCGTCCCATGACCGCTCGGCCTGGTCTGAGACCGCGGGCATCGAGTTCATAGAACACCTTGCCCCGGAGGGTGATGTTGGGCCGATCAAGGTGGCTATCCAAGGAAAATACTATGCTGTCTGCTGTTTCTCTGCCGTGGGTACTTTCTTACGTCTCCTTACCCTTTTGACGTGGCGACTAAACGTGCAATGGCAGGCTATGAAGTACATCGACCATCAATTTAGCATTAGCTTCTCTCCCCAATCGCTGCGCATTCGATACCAGCCTTCCGAAGACACAATGATGATTGACATATCTGCTATGCAATCATTGGAGGTGATGCGAAACCTCAAGTCTGCCAAGTCAAAAGAATGTTTGTTTGGACTGTTGAATCACACGCTGACCCCAATGGGCTCCCGTGTACTTCGCAACAATATGCTGCAGCCGCCAACCGATTTTGATGGCTTCATCAAGACACGGTACGATGCACTCGAAGAGATGGTCACTAATGAAGAGATGTTCCATGAAATCCGCAAAGGTAGGAAATACACTTGGGATGTCATCAAACTAGCTAGTGTGCTGAGTAAAGACAGCTCTCAAGCTCTTCCAGGATGTCGAGAAAACTCTTACAAAGGCAAGTCAAGCATGCCAAATTGTCGCTGTGTAAGTACTGATGAGCGCAGCTGGTAACTATTCGGAAAACTACTGGGGTATTCGCAGTCGAAGAGCAAATTACCCACATACTCATGATCAAATCATTCCTGGAATCGGTGCCGGAGCTTTACAGAGCTCTTCACCCGGCGAAGAGTGACCTGCTCATCAAAATACGGAATCTCTGCCGTCCCGAGACGACCGTTCCCATCTTGCTTGGCATCAGAAAAGTGATTGAAGCCGATGTCACGTACATGAAGTCGCCGCTTGACCAACGCAATCAGAGGGCATTTGCAGTCAAATCTGGCATCAGTGGCATGTTGGATGTCGCTCGTCAAACATACAGAGAACTCACCGAAGTTATACATGCACACTCAGCTGAAGTCAGCGGTATGGAACGTCAACAGCTCTGTGAAAGGGACTTACTAACAACTCGTGTTTAGAAGACTACCGTGTGGCGGCAAGCCTGAAATTTGACAACCGGCGCATGTACTGGTTCCGTATTCCTACCGCTGATCTTGACATTGAATCTATACCGCCAGAATTTATCAATGTGATCCCGAAGAAGAAGCACATCGAATGCCAGACCCTCGATCTGGTCAAGCTAAATCAGCGACTGTTGGACACCTCGAACGAGATCATCATGCGGAGCGACGCTGCCATTCGTGACCTTGTCAAAGAACTCCGACGCCAAGTGCCGCCTCTCTTCCGAGTGTGTGAGTCGATTGCGCTCGTGGACATGATTTCGTCCTTTGGCCAAGTTACCACCACACGGGATTATGTGAGGCCTGGAATAGAAGATACCTTGGCTCTAAAGGCAGCAAGACATCCTATTCTAGACAAGGTAACACGCTACTGGGAGACCCTGCCCGCTTTCTATCGACTGAATCTTGCAATCTACAGAGAATGGCGAGCGAATACGTGCCCAATGATTACTATGCCAGTCAACATCATCGTTTTCATTGTGTCACGGGGTGCAACATGAGCGGCAAGAGCACATACATACGATCGGTAGCTCTACTTCAAATCATGGCTCAGATCGGATGCTTCGTCCCAGCAGAATTCGCAACTTTCCCCATCATACACAACATCTTTGCTCGTATCTCTGCCCAAGACAACATAGAGGCGAATCTCTCAAGCTTTGGAGTGGAAATGAGAGAGATGGCCTTCATCCTAAAGAACATAGACAACAAGAGCCTCGCCATCATTGACGAATTGGGCCGTGGAACCAGTGTCAGAGACGGAATGGCAATTGCCATGGCAATTTCCGAGGCGCTGATAGACACTGGAGCGTCTATATGGTTTGCAACCCACTTCGTCGAGCTAGCTCGAATACTGGCGGATTACCCCGGAGTCCTCAACCTCCATCTTGCATCCGATACCTCGGTTGGTGAAGGGGGAATTCCTCAGCTGACAATGCTCTATAATGCCACCGCAGGTATTGTTAACGATGAGCACCACTATGGTATTGCTCTGGCTCGCGCCATTGGAATGCCAGACAGCTTCATTAAATTCGCAGAGCATGTTGCAGACGATTTGCGGAAGCGGCGAGAATCGAGCCGGCAGAGCTCTGAGTATTATAAGGAGAAGCAGCGAGACAAACTTGTGCAGAATCTTTACGAAGCCCTAGAAGAAGCCAAGAAATCTTTGAATGGGGAGGCTCTCCCTGGCTACCTCAAGCGGCTCGAGGAGGAATTCAATTTACGTTTACAGGAGATTGACGAGATGTGAGGTTGGAGGCTATTCGAAGGGCCTTCAGTTGCGACGAGCTGTGCTTTTTTTTTTTCTTTGGTTCTTCTATTGCATTACAACACGTTCGCAGTGTTAGCAATATATACCTGGGAGTGTCATCAGATAATACGAGTGGTGAGAGAACCAACCATTCTATCTATCCATTCACCACCCAAAAAAAAGCCCATGATTCAACGGGCAGAATGACTCGCCTCCGGGTAGGACATTAGGCCAATGGTCGCTTATCAGCATTCAGTGACACGGCGTCTCTTCTGTGACTACTCAGGCTGCTGCAGACACATGTTCTGTTCGACTACCATTACGGCTTGACCATCTTCACAGGAAACGCCCCGAATACGTGTTTGGAGCCGGTCAAACTACGTACAGATGGAGAGATGATGCCATCACGGGCAGCTGCCTAACATCTTGACAGATGGGCGTGGACGGTCATCTACCATTCAGTGAGGGTGATGGCAGCGGTCCTGTCCAAGGAAATTGTATCCATCATCGAGATCTGAAGACCTTGAATGTGAGCTCCTGATTTGGCATGATTGCATTTGGCTGGAGACGCCCGACGAGATGGCCATGCTAATTGCCTATCAGGGATTTGGTGGATTACATCAATAGCGAACAATCTACCGCATCTTTTGCCTCGTCTCAATGTCTAGCCCTACCTCGCTATTACCTACATTTACGGGACCAACAATCTCGCGGGTGTGCATTACACGATTAACTTGTTTCTACTGACAAATGTCAACATCGTCTTTGTCGTTTATGCGAGGCATCTTGATGTTGCTTATACAAGCACCTGATTGCTAGACATTGATATATTACACATGTCTTATACAAAGTTTGCTCCAGAGTCTTATATAGCATCCGACGGCCTGGACGTTGGCCTTGGCATGTTCCCCGATATGAGAGTAGAGAATCTACCGTCATGCCCAACACAGCCGACATGGCTTCTGATATTCCCACAGTCGCACCTTCAACAAAGCCAGAGTCGTCAGAAATCACCCCCTACGAGTCTTCAAGTCGACAAGGATTTCGTTGTTCTCCAAGCACCGAAGAGAAATACCAGTCTCCAGTTCGAACTTCAAGCTTTCATCAGAAATACCAGCCCCCAAGTATTGAAAGATGTAATGGATAGCTCACAAAAAATCAGCAATGTGAAAGGGGGACAGCTCCCTAACTCAACCACGCCGTCTCGCAAGCCACAGCGATATCAGAAAGGAGGTCCTATACCTTCACGATACCCAGTTTCCCTACACAAGAAGTCCAGATACATATCTATAATCAAGGCACTCAAGGTTAGACACGGCTCAAGAACATCGGACCTGAGATCTACCTAGATCGCCGCAGCATATCCCCCTTACCCAAGGCTCGTTCGTCCTCATCAGTGGCTGTCTGAGGAGTGTCTGGCCATAGAAAAATGAATTACTCTAGGCGATTCCATCTGGACATTTTGGATACCAGCCACGGCTTATTGAACCAGTTCCGTTGGCATCAGCTTCATGAGGGACTGTACGCGGATGGTGTCTTGGTGACGGCAATAAGAGCGTGGGTTAGATGGCAAGTGTCTTTTCCGAGAACATTGGGGGTGTTCTTATAAATGAAGCGCTGCTGTGGGTTATATATTGCGAAAGATGGGGAAATGACTTACACGGAGATGCTACGACGGTCACATATAGCAACTGTATTGTAGTTTTTCATCTCAACCCCGAATCAATAATTGTTCTACACTACCTAGACGAGGATCATTCACTCATAATTAACACCAGTTATTATATTTGAACCTGATTTTGTTTTCATGTAATACCTGCGCCCCAATGCTTCATTCCCGGGTACGTCATCCGCACTCCCATAGCTCTCGTTAGCTCGCATAGCTCCCACCTTGAGCTTCATTACTAGTAAGGTACTCGGCAACTGGCGGCAGCACACAGTAACACCAAAAAGGCCGGATTCAGAAACAGGGAAATAAAGTTGGGCCACAGCACGTAGGTATCTGAGAATCGTCAAATAAGTATCATCTGGAAAACAAGGGAAAGCAAAAGGATCCCGAATGAGACAAGTGAACCTTGGTCACGTGGATCTGAGGCCTGTCATTTGGCATCTCGCCTCACGGCCTAAACCGGCTTCTACCTACATGCACCCAGGGCTTTGTTTACATCACCGCCCCGGGAGCTGAACATTGCCAGCTCCAAGCGACATCTGCACAATGCATTGGGCTTCAGCTACTGCGATTGCCTTTCCGGCGCTGCTGGCACTCTGCGCAGGCCAGCAGCAGCAGCAGCAGCAGCAGCAGCCGCTCTCTGAAGTCGGCCACTCCGGCTCATCGCATCCGCCGCATGCCAGTGCAGACGCTCCGTCTTACCGAGACGAGCTGCTCCAGCTGCTTGAGGCGCTGGTCTCAACCCCATCTGCCAACGGACAGGAAAACGAAGTCGGCCAGTTCCTCGTCGACTACCTGCAGCAAGCCCAATACCAGGTGGACATCCAGTTTGTCCCTCCGCCAAAGGACCATCCGGATGTGCCCGACCGGTTCAACGTCCTGGCGTGGCGCGGCGACAGGAAGCCCAGCTACAAGGCGCTGGTGACGAGCCACATCGACGTGGTCCCTCCGCACATTCCGTGGGAGATCCAGGGCGGCGAGATCTCCAAGAAGACAATCATCAAGGGCCGCGGCACGACGGACGCCAAAGGCAGCGTTGCCACCCAGATCGTGGCGGTGAACCACTTGCTCTCCACAAACAGCAACGTCAACCCCGAGGATCTCATCCTGCTCTTTGTCGTCGGGGAGGAGACGACTGGCGACGGCATGAGGCTGTTCAGCGACTCGCTCAAGCACATGGACCCGCCGCTTTCCTTCGACTCGGCCATCTTCGGCGAGCCTACGGAGAACAAGCTGGCGTGCGGCCACAAGGGCGCCCTCTTCTGCAGTGCCGTGGCCAAGGGCAAGGATGCCCACAGTGGCTACCCCGAGATGGGCAAGTCGGCTAACGAGCTGATGATTCGGGCCATGGGCAAGATCCTTGACACGGATCTCGGGTCTAGTCCGCTCTTTGGCAACACCACGTTCAATGTCGGCCGGTTTGACGGCGGCGTGGCTGCGAATGTGATCCCGGCACAGGCTTTCGTGGATCTTGCGGCCCGGGTCGCCGTTGGATCCGAAAGGCAGGGCCACAGGGTTGTGCAGCAGAAGATTGCGGATATCCTGAAGGAGACTGATGAGGATGCCTTTACCTTGGAGTGTACGCACGGATATGGGCCGTATGAGTGCAACTGTGATGTTGAAGGTGAGTTCCTTGATGGCAACGCGTTGGAGAGCATTATCTGACCTGTAGCAGGATTTGAGCCAACCATCGTCAACTACGGCACTGACATTCCCAACTTGGATGCTGACTATGTTCGTTATCTGTATGGGCCGGGCAGCATCCTCGTGGCTCACGGTGATCACGAGTACATCACTGTCGGCGACCTGGAGAAGGCGGTCGAAGACTACCAGAAGCTCATTCTTCACGCGCTCAGCCAGTAAGGGGTTTGAGTGTTGAAATTAATTTTTCATTTGGATATTGAATGCTCTGAAATGATTATATCGTGACGCTGTGCTCTAACTCTGGTCTTTTCCAGCGTGATGGCATGTTAAATGCCTCTATTTACTCCCTCTCTTATCTTTCCAGCCCTTTTTCTTTTCATCTATTTTCCACGTCTTTTTTAACCAACCACCTTTGCCCATCGCTCAGGCAGAATCTGGCTAAAATCAAAAGTGCCATCAGGGCCCTTCTCAACAGCACCCTTCTCCGTCACAACCACATCGATGAACTCTGCAGGAGTCACATCAAACGCAGGATTCCAGACATCGATTCGCTGATCCGCCGTCGCCACGCGCACCTTGTTGTTTCCATCAACGCGACCATCGGCTCCAACGACGGCACCGGAGATTTGCGTCAACTCTTCCCTCTTACGCTCCTCGATCTTGATCCCGTCGCCAGTCTCGGTCTCCAGGTCGATGCTCGTCGTGGGGGCGGCAACGATGAACTTGATGCCGTGGTGCTTGGCCAGGACAGCCAGCTGGTAGGTGCCAATCTTGTTGGCAGTGTCGCCGTTGCGGACGACGCGATCAGCACCCACAATGACGGCCGCGATGTTGTTCTCTGCCTTTTTCGTTCGGAAGAGAGCAGCGGCCATGGAGTCTGTGATGAGCGTGCTAGGGATGCCCTCGTGGACGAGCTCAAACGCCGTCAGTCGGCTGCCCTGGTTGTAGGGCCGCGTCTCGGTGCAGAAGGCGTGCTTCAGGTATCCCTTGGACTGGAGGGTGCGAATGATTCCGAGCGCCGTTCCATGGCCGGAGGTGGCGAGCGCACCGGTATTGCAGTGCGTCAGGACGGAGATCTTGTGGTCGGGCGAGGCGCCGGCCCTTGCCTGGAGCCATTGTGCGCCGTGCTCGCCTATCGACAGGTTGCTCTGCAGGTCCTTTTCGAATATCCTCTCCGCCTCTTCAATGAACGCCTGCACGATGGCGTCCTTGCCCTTGCCCTCGGCCGTTCGGATTGTCGCTTTGAGCTGGTTGATGGCGTTGGTCAGATCGACGGCCGTTGGTCTGCTCTCCTTGAGGTAATCCAATGCCTCATCGATTTGTGCAATGACCTCGCCGTCTGAAGTGCCCGCGATGGAGTTGTTGTGCAATTCGACGGCGAGCCCCAGACTGGCCACGATGGCAATGGCCGGAGCGCCTCGCACTCGCATGGTGGCGATGCTGTCAAAGGCCTCTTGTCGGGTTGAGACGGTGTCGTAGTGGAATTCGTGGGGGAGAAGCAGCTGGTCCAGGACCTCGAGCTTGCCTCGCTGGTATTTGACAGCCTGCAGGAGCGACATTTTGATGCGGAATTTGGATCGAATTAATCTAGGTTGGCGATTGAGGGCGGCTTGATGAATCTTTGAACTTTTTTTTTTACATGAAAGTCTCTTGATGCAGATGCAGATGCAGATGCAGATGCAGATGCCCCTCCATTCGGAATTCTGCCGCGCCCCTCCTCCAGTAACGTGCGCTGAAACCGCCACTATGGACCCTTGGAATGCGCCTGTGATTGACTTTGGCCTGCAGTTGTATTTTCGGCCTTTCCACCTTCTTAGATGATTCAAATGCGATCTATGTGTTTTCCAACTACTCGTAGTATATTAAAAATCCATTTGATAATTGTTACCATCTCCTCTCTGGTTGCTTCATATATCAAAAGAAACGAGACCACGCTCACTTACAGCACTTGAAAAGGCGTCATCGCCTGTAAAGGCCGTCTCACCGCCCAGCCGCGGAGTAACACAAATTCCGGCCAGTGGAAGCTCCCCCCCGCAGCCATTGGCAGCTCGCGCGCCTCCAGTCAGGGGTCACCCATGTCAGTGATGCACCTCGACCGTTGCGGCCAGCTCTTCTGTCGCATCGACGCTCGACACGCTCTCCGGCGGTCGACAATGCTCGAGATTGAGACAAGCTGGAGGCCATGGATCAGCAGACGTCGACGTCAACGGTAACAGGTAAGAGGAGGGTCGAGGGGAAGGATCAAAGGCGTTGTTCGCAGCTTTGGGATTCTCGGAGCTTGAGATTGTTGAGTCGGTCCAGCTAATTCGAGTGGCATGCAACCACCCGCGCAGTCGAGTACTTCGATCCCCACGATGTGTTCAAGCTCCTCGCCCCGGGGCTCGTCCCGCGGCTGCCCCTTCACAACCTCAACTGGCAGTCCCACTCCGGGCCGCTGAGGTCCATCGACACGCTGCATGTCGAGCTGATCCGCGGCAATCTCGAGGTGCCAGAGGCCACCCTGTCGCCGTCAGGGCGGCGCTCGGGCAGCATCTCGCGGGGGTCCGACGGCTTGCGGTCTCGCAGTGTTAGTGTCTCTACGGAATCCGGACGAGCGCCGCCCTCGCTTCGATCAAAGGCCAGCGGGAATCTGCGGCGACACCAGATCCCGGGGCTGCGCCGCACGCCGTATCTGAAGATGCTGCTGGTCCGGTGCGATGACAACGACTCCTACAAGAACTCGGTGCGAGCCGAGGTGCGCGAGTGGGTCAAGGTGCACACGACGCCCGCGAGTACATCGAAGAAAGGGAGCGGCCAGGAGAATCACGATGCCTTTGAATGGCTCATTGTCCATGTTGTCATACCCAACACGGTGGCTTCGACCCAGCCGAGAAGCAGCGGGAGGTCAGATTCGGCGGAGAAGAGCACAGCATCCCGATGGCGCCCTGGGACGACCCCCTTGCTGGAGAAGCTCCGAGCAGACTTCAACGCCACCACCAAGGGATCCCAGGACCACGTCGCGCAGATAAGGATCGGGATCAATGATGTGCCGTACGACCTCTTGCCCAGGGTTGTTCCAGCGGTGCCCACAGGCTACACGGAAACGGAACTCGACGCCGAGAACGCCTGGAATGACTTGATCGCAAAGATGAAGAGCCTCATCCTGGCCTCGTTTGACATGCGAGTGACCCAGTACGAGGAGGACATTCGGGAAAAGGACGCCCAGCGAACTCTGCCCGGCTGGAACTTTTGCACCTTTTTCATTCTCAAAGAAGGACTAGCGAGGGGGTTCGAGAGCGTTGGGCTCGTGGAGGATGCTTTGGTTGGGTATGATGAGCTCAGCGTTGGACTGGACACGATTCTTCACGAGCAGCTCGAATCGGGCCAGCCGGAGAGGCATGGTGGTGAAATGCTTGCTTATACGGAAGGGCTCAGGGAAATGGCCGAGAAAGCACTCGAAATCACAGCCGAATACAGCAGTGATGGTGGCAGCGATGCCGAGTCCAAGACACTCAAGGCCAAGGGACCCAACTTTGACCAGATAGCCATAAGCTCGACAGCAAAGGCCTACCGAGACATGATTCTGGCGAACAAGGTGTCGGTATTCGACTTCAGATGCTACATCTTTTCCCGCCAGATCGCATTGCTGCTGAGGCTGGGCCATGCGCTCTCGTCCAAAGAAGAGCTCATAGCCATGCTGAAGAGCCAGCAGGAGTCTATCCTCTACGGCGAAGCACCCCTGGCACCGCCGCCGCCAAATCACAAGGACGAGCCGGAGAACCTCACCACGTTTGCAGAGATATGTCAGCGGACACTGCAATTCATCCCATCGGTGTCTCAGATACTGCGGCGAGATGTGATTCTGGGATTAACAGCCAGTAAGACACCGAGTCGCAAACCACAAAAACTGAGCCCCTTGGTGGAAGAAACAGTCGACAACATGGTGGCTTCATTTGCCTTTTCAGTTGCCCAGCAAATCCTCGCTCAAACCTCGACGAAAGCTCTGCCGATTCCGCCATCCTCCTTGTCATATGGGGACGGACTGGAGCAGAAGACCTCCATCCCAGAGCCCAAGACTATGATTCACCCAGCTCGGAACTCATCACTTTCTCCGAGAAGCGGCATTCCACCCACTCCGCTCAGCCCCGGCTTCTTTCCTGGGCCCGGCAGGAAATTCCCGACAGACGAGGATGCTCAGGGCACTAAAACGTTTGTGAAGAATGGCTTGGAGGATTTGGCAGCGCGGCGGGCTGAGCTGTACATGCTTTCCAGAAGCATCCTTTCGAGCCTTGGTAAGAAGCGTGGCTGGAGCGACGGCTGGGACGAAGCTCCCTTGGTTGGAGGAATTGGCTTCGACAACATGGAGGATGTCGACCTGAACGACGATGACAGGGCCGACGACGATGGTGAAGGTGACGAGGGTGACGCTTCTACCTCGTCTAAGGAGACATACACCCCCTCGATGGCCGGTATCGACAATCCCGTGCTACGGACGGCCATTGACAACACCGATGACTTCTATCGCCTGTATGAAATACTCACGGATAAAGCCATGCGACACTTCACGGTGGCGAACCATGACCATGCGGTTCACTCGAGCATGGCAGATTTAGCCGTCTTGAAGGTTCACTTGAAGGACTACAAGGCTGCCTCGTCCTACTTTTCGCTCACCACTCCCTTCTTCGGCGAAAGTGGTTGGAGCCTGCTGGAGCTGTCTATGCTCATCATGTACTGCCAATGCCTGGATGAGATCAATCCAAAGGGCGAACATGTCGGCGTTGCCCTGAAGCTGCTGACCAAGTACTGCGCTGCCGAGAAGGAACGGCTGCAGAAGAAGTCGGGCTTGATCCGCTTCTCGCAGAGCAAGACGTATCCCGAAGCTTGGCCCGTCACTGGCATCGTCGAGAAGCTCACTCGTCTAGCCAGATCACTCTCCAAGGAGGTCAAAGTTCCGCTGGAGAACTTCCTCATGGATGTTGAGTTGGATGGCTTTCCGGTGTACGACGACAACCAAGACGGCTGCTCGCTGAATATCAGTCTCAGGAGCTTGCTGCCAGAAGAAATCTCCTTTGACTCTGCAAGGTTGCGAATCACGGCTGTCGACGAAGGGCCAAGCAGAGAACGGCTCTTCGAGGCGGCAGCAGGCTCACCAATCATCCTGAAACCTGGCAAGAACAAGATACGAGTGAGCTGCCGAGTAAGTTCAAGCTGGCCTATGATACTCGTGGGAAAGGACTAACATGATCCCAGTCTGTGGTTTCGGGACGCTACAGGATCGACCGCCTTGTCCTCTCCACCAAGAATCTCGTCTTGCACTTTGAGCGGGATGTCAAGAACGCGTCAAGTAGCACCACGGACATATTCAAGCATGCGGACGTTATGCTCTTCCAGCGCGCGAGCGCGTTTGACTTTTCCATGTGTGCCACGAAGCAAACGTCGCTTGACAAGAACAATTCCATCGACTTGGTCATACACACCGGATGGAACGCTCTCAAGAAATGCGAGATCCGAGTGAAGCCAGCAACTGGGGGCTTGCGCTTCCTGACTACGGAAGCGGCGTTTGTGGACTCGTCGATGCAGTTTGCAAAGCCTCCCGAGGCTGGAGTCTTTCACATGGACGCCATTGGTGCGAACGAGGTGGTCACCATACGATTCCCATACTCGGTGGAGCAAGATGTGGCAGACATTTTTGCCAAAATCGAAGCTACGTATATTACAGAAGCCGACGAGACATTCTCCCTGGCCAAATCCGTGGCAGTCCACGTGGCTCTGGCTCTGGGCGTCAATGTTCAGGACGTCTTCAAGCACGAAGCGCTCTTTTCCCGGTTCAATGTGTCGACAGCCTCCGCCAGCCCTCTGCGGCTCTACAAGAGCGAGCTCCTCAAGTCGGAGCTCTTCGACTCTGTGTTTGGAGTGCCCTCCAGCAGCCCTGTCTTTATATTTCCGAAGCAACCAGCGAGCCTGCTGTACAAGGTGAAGAGAATTCCAGGGGCCAAGGCGGGCAAAAGGGGTGGTAGGACCATGTACCTGAAGCTCGATTACACCTCACTGGAAGCTGAGATGGAAGAGCTGGTCAGGCGGTCTCTAACGGAGGCCTTGGAGACAACGAGCCTGACGCAATACACGAAGCATGTGGTGGCAACGGCCTGGCGCGAGCTCAAGTCCAAGATGGTGCCGCGAGACCTGGAACAAGCTACTCTGATGGGAGAGATGATGACCACCAGCTTGAGGGATGTGGTGTGGGAGAGGCACTTTGCAGGGATCGGAGGAGCGCCTGGGGTTGGCGAGCGTGCGGCCGAAGAGCTGTCAGCCTTTCTACGAAGCTGGCAGAAGGCCAACGGCCGTCTCGTCATTCCACGAGAAGGCATAGTCGAGCCGTCGTCGATCCTCATCCCCGTGGAAATTCCAGCCTTACCCGTGCTGCACACGGCAGATATCCGGCTGCAGAGCTCAATTCCCAGTCCCGTCAAGGACAGCACCAGCGCAGGGCTGCCAACGGTGTGCACGAACCAGATGCTGCCAGCGACGCTGCACCTCAAGTGGACGCGGATCTGGGACGCGGACGCGGCAGCGCGCAGCGACCAAGAGTTTAGCTATGAGGTCACGGCGCCCGCAGACACCTGGCTACTGGGCGGCCGGCGGAAGGGCCACTTTGTGATCCCCGGCCCGTCGGCGTCATCGCCGGCGGAGACGATGACGTCTTCGGCAGCGACGGAGGCTGAGATCCCGCTCATCATGATTCCGCTGCGGGAGGGCTGGCTGCCGTATCCGCTGGTCGAGATTAGAGAGGTGGTGAATGCGGACGGGGATGGAGGAGGAGGGGCAGGAGCAGGTGCAGGAGCAGGAGCAGGAGGGCAGGCGACGGCGTTGGGATGCGAGGTCGATTTGCGGAATCTGGGCGAGACGGTGCGCGTGGTGGGAGACAGGAGCGGCATGACGGTGAGCCTGGACGCGAGCGGGCCGGGGGGAGGGCCGCTGGTGTTTGAGAGCGAGCGGCTACCTGGCTTCAGGGGCAAGATAATCGAGTGATGGCATCATGCGATGTTGATCCGCAGGGGTTTCAAAACTGGCTGCTGCAAGTTGGCGAGATACAACATAGATAGAATTGGAGGGCACATGTACTCGTATCACTGATATAGATGGCTTCTTACGGACTGTACTCATACATTACACAAGACTACATGCCCGTGATGGCAAGCTTCCTGACGTCGTTTGTTGCTGCTCACTGCGGTGATGCAGGTTGCGCGCTATTTCACGGACCTCTTCCGTCCCAACGAGCCGGTGTTCCAGTACCTATGTTAGGGATCTTCACAACAATACAAATTTCGCAGCGTTACGCGCCCAACGGATCTCACAGAAGGGCGAGAGGGTTTTCTGCCATCACCTGCAGATCAAAGGACGTACTGTACGGGATAGTAATCGTCCAACAAGGAGAAAATAGGTCGGAAGGAAAAAACAAAAAGGGAGCGATAAGAAAAGCTTCTGTTTTACTTTCAGTTTTATCAGGGCTTGCCTCGGAAACGCTTCACTGTTAGCTGATCGGCGCTCCGTGCGCTTATACGAGTACTGGTGCCAGTCCTTTTGTGTTTTGGTGTTGATGAAACGGCAAGAGTGTTGGTATTATTACCAAGGGGGATGATTGACACTTTACTTACGTACGTATTTACTGTATGTATGTATGTATGTATGTGTGCGTATATCTGGTGTACAGGGCTGATGATCATCTTGGGATTTTTCCCTTTTGGCTTTGAAGAGTGGTTGCAATTACAACGAAGCCGATGGCACTGTATGTACATACAATTCGAGAGCGCGCCCCTTTCCACTGCGTACGTGAGGTATAATAGCTAGAATATTCTTGTAGTAATAACACGAACCCAGTACTAGATGTCTTTAAACAATGGAAGTGTTTGTCTTGCAATCGATGCGTGATGGCTCTTAAACGGCAAAAAGGGAAACCAACACATGGAACTGCGGAAAGGGGAATCACCACCACTATGACCTTGACCTTGTCCCAAGAAAGATGCATGCATGCATGCATGCATACTACTGTAGCTTCTACATACATAGCTAGCGACCTAGCTACGGTATGGAGAGAAGGAGAAGCGAAAGTGTGGGGAAATGAACCTTGTAGATAGTAGACAGCTTTTTCTGTCGAGTATCACATTCCTTCTCGCTCGGAGCTTTGGGGGGAGGGTCGGGAGTTGTTACGTACATACATGTACGTACGAGTAGCTCTGTGCCCTCCCTCCTTGGCTCATTTGGGGGAGATGCATAAGTGTCTTGATGTATGTAGGATGGAAGTCTATTTCAGAACGGTGTGAAGCAGTGATTGGATGATTGACTCGTCTTTGGTTGACTTTTGGGAGCGTTGTTTGGCTCGCTGTGGGAGGGCTGTTGCATATGCGTGGCGTCGGGTGTTGCATGTCGGTTAATGGGCATGTATGTAGACTGTGCTGGTTATAATCACTCTGTGATGCAGGTGTTTTTTGGCTGGACTCACGGAAACGCTCGTGTAAGTCCGCCTTCAGTTACCTTACCTAGCGTCTAATGGATGCTTCTCTGGTTCTCGAGTGTTGGAGTGATATGACAGGTATCTAGTATACGGCACAGTGTCACAGTCAATGCATCGGGAACTTGTTTGTTTACTTTCCTTTTTTTTTTCTCATCGTATCGACTCAGATCACTTCCTGTAAGAGGCAACGACTCTCGCAGTCCACCAAAAGAATGGCGCGGGCCAAGAGATCCATTACTTGCGTCAAAAGGCCACACCTTCAGCTCTTCCTAGAATATATACATACTAGTACTACCTACCCACACAAGCTTCCAAGGTTGCCATTCGTCCCCCCCTTAAACAATAAAGATCGGAACGCTAATCCTCTAGTTCTTCTCACGCAAGGTACACAGTAAAGCCGTTGCAAAAGCTACCTAGCTACCAACAACCGACCGACCCAAGTTTGAGCAGGATTGGGTGCTCCGTATCCTATAGTGTACCTAGGTACTGTGCATTACGCCATTATAACAGGGGAGTTTGCGGTTCAGTCATTGTTTCTTTCTCCCCCTTGAGTCTTTTCTTCCGAGACAATGCACGGGCTTTGCATTCGGTTCTGGTCATGCGGGGACGCGGGAGGGAGAGGTGCAGCATCGGGAGACAGGCGAGAGAAGGGAGAGTGCTGGAAAGATGAAGCTGGATGGTGGAAATTCGGTATGTGTTTTTAGTTGGGGGATTCACGATAGATGGCATTTTGGGGACAACAATGAGCATTGGAAAAAAAAAAAAACAGAGACATTGAATGACTCGAACAATTCCACAACTCTGACAATCGAAACCTTTATTCTTTGATGAGTGCAATATCACCATTATACACATGCCAGAAGCACTCTTGATCGAAATCTACTTTAACGAGATAAACTGCAGCAGAGGCAGGCAGATTCCACGCAAAAGCAGCCTCAACTTCATCAACCACGCACACACTCACCATCATACCCTTACATCAAGTGCCTATCCAAATGACCAAAATAAAGGCGCCCTACTACTCGTCACATCCCGCGTGGCGCCTCAATTGCCGAATCGAAACTACTACAAAACCCACCAGAATCCGCCACACCCCATCTACCTACCTACCTAGTAATCAAAGACCCCCCCAAGCACAGCACTAACACTGCTTTTCCAGAAGAAGCCACCACCACCACCACCACTAAAAAAAAACTAAATGAGGCGAAAAAGAACCGCCTGAGGATGATGAAATCGACGTCATATGTTCCCTCCTATATTTCGTCATCAAGGCTTTGATCTTCATCAGTCAGGCGATTTTCATCCTCCATTAAGGAATAAAGACAGAAGGCATTGTTGGGTGAAGGTCAAGCAAAGGGCTTCTTTGGGGGAAAAAAAATAAGCATACTGTGTTTGAAAGTACCTGCATGCACCGAACCTCTTTCGAGAAGCCTCCAAAGAAAGAATGACAGATATTACGCGTTCAAACTTCTACAGTAGGTACCTTATGATGAGCTATGCGTAAAGTAATACCTGATAAATATACCACACGTTAACCACTCTTTTTTTTTCCACCTTCTGAAATAGAACAAAGAGAGCTAATAGGAAAAAAACAAAAAAGACCCCTCTGACATCGGAGCCAGGTCCGGGCCCGGACTTTACACTCTCAACTTCACCTACAAACTACCCAACAACACTCACCAAAAACTACTTACCTACCTGTGCTCTCCATGTACTGTAGTCAATTCCAGTAATCAAACCATTCAAACCACTGTAACCCCTTCTCCTCGACATCTCTTCACCACGCCAGGGGAGAAAAACACCTTCAGCAACCCCCTACCGCCTCACCTAACCCAAACATCCCTACAACCAACACACACAACTCCCATACTTCATACTTCATACATCATACATCACACATACCTAACCTCCACAAAAAGCTCCCAGCCAACCCACCCTCTCCAACCCCTTAACCGATCAAACAAAAAACCCAAAAAAAACCAAAACAAAAGCATAAAGGCCAACACCCACAGAATCGAACAGAAATCTGACAAGTCAACTCCCTCTTCCTTCCCAACGCAACAACAAATGCCGGCAGTCGCACCGTTGTGGAACCCCCCCTTGATCCCTGCTGGAAAAAAAACCCCCCATCCCATCCCATAGGAACACATCAGAGCAGAAGCCCCCTTCTTTTTCTTCTGTATCAAATCATAATTATTGGTACCGAAACCTTGCGTACTGTATATCCGTCATATTGACGGGGGGGGGGGGCCTTCCGTGTTCCCAAAACCACACTCACGGAACCCCCGTCCATGTAGGTATGCATGCTACCCTACTGGTATCGAATCCTGATCCGTCCTACCGAGAGCTTCAACATCCTTGACATGTCTTCCCTCCTCCTCAGTGGCAAGCATGACATCAGTCTTCCCCCCCCATATCGTTTCCTCTCCGTAGTTTGCTTCCAATCGTTTCCGACGTGTTGCTGCGTATTGTACAAGCAACCACAATCACTTGTGTCAGAAAAAAAGGCAATGTGAATGACTTCGTGTTCTTGACTGTCGACACCATGGTCGCGCAATAGCCTAAGCCCCTATTCCTCTGTACAACTGTCCTGCATTTGTTTTCGATTTTGTTTCTTTTGGTTCCCCCTTTCCTCCCTGACCTGCCCATACCCGTCTACTCACTGCTCCATGCAAAGCTAAGAAAGAAACAAAACACAAACAAAAGATCCCAGACCCTTGAGCAGAACCTGCTCCTTGAACGCCTGATAGATATGCTCACTATAAACCCCCATCCAGAGGTGAGCGCCTGTAAGAATTGTAGCAATAGAAACAAGACAAACACACAGCGGCCGAGAGTTGTAGAAAAAGAACTGGTAGAAAAGAAAAAAAGGACAAGGAAAGAATTCGCAAACAAGACGCCCCATGCAATGACAATGCTGCCACCAAGGCTGTTGGCGCTCATAAACGTTGCTCAAAATCCCACGGGCTGAAGCGTAATATACAGTGAACGTCGCACCTGCACGAACTTCGTGATGCTCGTAACAAGGAAGAGAAGAGAAAAGGAGAAGACGAAAAGGAAAACCATGTGGTTCGTGGCGGAAAGCGCAAAAATGTTCCAAAGGTTGGGTATCATGAGCCCCCCTGCCCCTCTTCTCCTCGAGGGGGGCTCGGAGCGGCGCCGATAAGTCCAATGCTCCTTTTTTTGTTTTGTAACAAGACTGAGAAAGAAACGGTGATTGAAGCGCTGCCAACTCGGTGGCGCGATGAATGAAACTGGCCCGCGTGTTGTAGGTTCAGAGGTCGAAATCTAATTTGCCGGTATATGAGGGTTGATGCTTGCATCCATGATGCGTCTCAAGCAGTAGTCTTGTCCATGCTGACTGGTGGGGTCGTCACCATGAGTCAACTGGGAACCGCCTGTATAGGATTTTTCTGTTGTTGAAGACCCAAGGGGGGGGTGGAAGGATGCGCTGTTCGCTTGTTCTGCAGGGAGGCTGCTTTATTTCTTGCCCCGGCTGCCCGTGGCCGTAATCTTGCTGGTGCTCATCAAATCGCCAATGTACTTCTGGAGGAACTTGTTGTTGTTGTCGAGCTTGTCGTGCTCTTCCCGCACAGCCTCGATACGGTTGAAGATGGTGAGGAGCGACTCCTGCAAGAGCTTGGCGTGCCTGCATACGATGGCGGTTAGTTGTTGCAATTCTCCCCAAGTAGTCAAACAGCGTGGACTCACTTTCTCAACTCCTCGCGCGCCTCCTTGCCCAGCTTGTCGAGGTCTTCGTTGGTCCTTCGAGGACTCATGGCTCGGACGTCGTCTGGTCCAAAGTGCGAGTCAACAGGGCCGACGGCTGAGCTGTCGCGAGGGACGACCAAGGGGCCGCTGCTTTTTCGACTCGGAAGGCGAGGGCGGGTAGGAATGGGCTGGTGGATGATGGGCTCGTTCTGGTCAGAAGGAGTTGTGGAAACAGACGAGTCGGAGCGCTCAATGGGGTGGACGTGGCTGGCAGAGCCGATCGAATGGCTATCGTGTTCGTCGGACATGGTGGATAGAAGGGGGTGGGACTGATTAGGCGAAGAAGAAGCGGGTTGTTGAAAGGACAACTAGTGTGCTTTGGCGTCTTGTCGCCAATGAATGATAGCTGGGAGAGTTTGTCGGCTGCCCAAGCGTCGTGGACTGCTGCAAGTATGAAGCTGCAGAAGACTCTCGGGGTTACCGACGATGCTGTTTCGGTAGAAGTGAAGGTGAGGAGGAGCTTCGAGGGTGGTCGACGAGTGTCTCGTGCGGTGTGTCGGACGTCGGTTTATCGTCTGGTCTGGTCTAGTGTCTTTTTTTTTTTTCTTTTGTAGTTTGATGTCGGCAAGTCTGTCGTCTAAACAATCCGTCGCTGCCCAGGAATGAGTCTTTTTTAGATCCTGGTTAATGCCTGTTGTTCTCAACCTTGCTATGCCCAACGTGGGTGCAGGCACGGGAGGAAGTACTAATGTGCGACCGAGCTGGTTGAGGAGAGGCAGCGACCGTCAAGCTCCGTTGCGAGAGGACAAGGAGATGGGAAATGCACAGCGCAACTGGGCGTAAAGAAAGTGGGAGAGAGAAAGGGTGACGGGAGGAAAATGCTCTGAGCGGGCGAAATGGAGTTGGAAGAGAAGCAAGTTGCAGTCAGCCAAGTGGCGACGGAGAAACTCGGTGGGAGGCTTCTTTAAAAAAAGAAAAAAAGGGAAGAAGGGAAGAAGGGAAGAAAAGAGAAGAAAAAAAAAAACAAGAGCAAGCTGTGACGAGGATCGGCCGGGGGTCCGAGGAGTCGAGGGTCGAGGGTCGAGCGAGGGTCGAGGGCACAGAAGGGTGGTGATTTGTGTGTGCGAACCCCTCGTGACAAGTCAAGTGCAAACGGGACGAAAATGGGCCTCTTGGTCTGTTTCGGCGGCTCTTCAGTCAGCGTGGAGTTGCGTCGATGCGCTGGCGACTGGGAAATGTGGAATGCGGACGCAGATGTCGAGTGTGAACAGGCAGAAATGGGAGGGAAAATGGTTTAATGGACACGCCGCCGTCTGTGTAGGTTGTTAAACGGATGGAGGTGGATGGATGGATTGGATAGGATGTACCTCCTCGTGTGTGCGTGCAGACTGTGATACTGTACGGACAAGTACATACATACAACTACAGGCATTGGCCGGCGGTGGAGAGGACGGAGAGAGACGGTGGGTAAGGCAACATGAATGGAGGCCACGAGCTAAGGTACGGCAGAATAGAGGGTTAAGATGGGCGAGGCGAGGCAGAAACTCACAGCTGGAGCAGGCCGGCGCGCGCTGAATCAGGCAAGCCGCGGGTCTGTTTAGCGGTCAGCGCCCCCCGAAGCTGGTGATGATGATCTGCTGTAGCGTCCCGGTAGCGCTCAGAGGGTGCCGTAGGCCGGACACTCGGGGGTCTCTCTAGGTAGCTGGAGATAGTGAGGTGAGGTGTGGTTCTGCCGGTGCAGCGCTGTGCTGTGCTGTGCTGTGCTGTGCTGTTCTCAGTGCTGTGCTGAGGTGTGCTGTCTGGTGCTGCGTGACGCTGGGTCCGGTGTCAGGCAGATCGTGCCGGGATGGAGAGGGTAAGGTATTACCATCAGGTATGGATGACTACCTAGGTAGGTATGTACAGCACAGTCAAGAGACCTCAAGTTTCCAGCGTCGATTGCCGTAGGTACCCAAAGCTACCGCTAGCACTACAGTAGTGTCGACGTCTTACTTTTTCGTGTGTGCCCGTTGGTTCCAGTCGGCGTGACGATCTCCGAAGCGTCTCTCCAGCGCAGCTCGCGAATCGCGGGAGCAGAAAGAGATTGGAGGCTACAGTACTGTATGTATGTACGTATCGTACAAGCAGAAGCAGAAGCAGAAGCAGACACGGGCACAGACACACAGGGCAGACGGTCCGAGATGGCACTAGGATGCTGGCCAGCCAAAGGGGGGCTTGAGTGTGTCCTGTTGCGGCAATAATAACAACAGTTGTTTTCCTCTTCCTTTGCTTTTTTCCTTCCTCTTATTCTCTGTCTCGTCCTGCTTCTCCCGGGCCTTGGGGGGGGACGGGATGGACGAGAAGGGGGGGTTTTGTTGACGCTTTGATTCGAGGGCTTGGTGTGGGATGCGGCAGCTCGTGGGACTCGACAATGTACTTGTAGCTCGACCAAGCAAGGGCTTGTTGGAGTTGTCTGTCTGTCTGTCTGTGTCCCAGTCAGTCTCTGTATCATGTCCGAGTACAGTATGGGAACACAAGCAGCAGAGAGGAAAAGATTCTCGCCGACCCGCTCTGCTGCTCTCCTAGTGGGCGGTCGCTGACAAGGGACGTCGTCGGGATCGCTGTTCCGCATACTGTCCTGGATCTATGTATCTTGACACAGGAGAGCTCAACACAGCTTCAATCACTTGTTCAATACATGTACCTGAGCATCAAGCAGTACCTGATACTCGTCTATGCAGCACCCAACGGTCAGAAAAGGGGAGTGTGCTCTTGTCAGATGGTACAAGGACAACCTGCCTAGGTAGCGGGTGCCAGCCGTAGTCTGCAGTATCACAGCTCTGACTGCTTTGAAAAGTGATAACGTGTACCTAGCCAGCCAGCCAGCACCGTCCGCAATGCAGTTCAAGCGGTGAATTGGGAATTTGGGGGGGTGGGGGGAAGGGCATTGGAGCAGAAACGCGGACCAGGGCTCGTGGCTCAAGGGGGACCGGAAAGTTGGGGCCCAGCTTGTGGTAGTGGCTCCCCCATGTCGAGAGGACCCTTTGTGCGAAATGGGTTACGCAAGAGCTTCAGTTGGAGCTTGCATGTAGTAGGTACTTGTTCAAGCACCGGCCAAAATGCGTAGCAATACATACGTACAAGCACTCTTGCGCTCGACAATGTCAGTTCCAACTGCCTTTTGGTGATGCTTGGTGATGTCGTCCTTGTCCTACGTCAAGCTCGCAGTTGGTGGTTACCTCATGCGCGCGCCCCCGACGTGAGGTATGGATCGTATTCTGGGACCCCCGGATTTCCGCATTCTGTAGCAGCCGTCATCATCACCCTATTGTATGATTCCCCATCAAAAACGTCGTTTGCAACGGCCACCGAAACGCTCGATTGCTGCCACGGCATGTATTATCAGCACGCATATTTTTCCTCTACCTAGGTAAGGTACCTACCTCGATGCATGCACGCACTGACACCGGACGGGCTGGCATGCGCAGGTGTGCACGATGTACCCGGTACCGCCAGGACCCTTGCCCGCCCCGTCCCCCCTGCTCCGTTGGCCTGTCCCAATTCCCGCCAAGAAGCGCCCGTGCGAAGGACCCGCCGACAGGTACTGGGTACACGTGCGCTGCAGCAAAGCCCACAACGCGGCAAAAGCCCCAAAGGTACGTACGAGAAGAGAAATGACTGCAGCATCTGCCTCACGCCCTTTCGGTTTCTGCTGCGCTCCTCGTGCATATACCTACCTACATGCCCATTCTTCAAGTGCGCTTGTACACGTAAAAGCTGCAGCCCTCGTGGCTGGATTGGGCGGCTGGGCACGCACAAGACGAGTCAAAACGGAAATAAAAGGGTCGGCGACAGAGGTCGCCAGCATCGAAAACGGACGGCGAGGGTGTGAGGGAGTGCCAGATCGGTCACGTCCCCTTTCACTTTGGCGGGCGGATACACACATGTTTGCCTGAACATGGGATATCCTTGTCCCCCTTGGGTCCATGCTCTCTCGACTAGTAGTACTACTACTACTAGTAGGTCTCTTTTGCTTTTCTGCTATTACTGCTAGTAGTAGTAGCACTGCTCTTTTGCTCCCCACGATGATATGGTGATGGTCGCTCTCGGAGGCGCGAGTCGGCTAGTACTGTTGATCGAATGTTCTTCTGTTTTGCACTCCTCCTTCCCATGCTAGACAGAACAGACCACGCGACGGCGTTGACTAGTATGGCATTTGACGATGCAAATTCCAAAGCTTCAGCTGCGATAGTAGCGCCATGCATCCATCTCATGGGGCCGGAGCAAGTGGGCATCTTCTGCAAGCTAGTGGGAACGAAGTTGACGATGGAAAAGGGCAGAAACGAAGAAGAAGACGAAGAAGAAGGGGACAGAAGAGGCCAGCAAAAGACGAGCACATGGCTCGACTGCTGTCTGTTTCATCTGTCAAGCGTTTTCGGAACGCTGCACGCACATCGGCTTGCGATAAGGCCTTCGTGTGTTCTCCCCCCCGGGGCGCCTTGCATTGATGGACGGACATCAGTCGATGACTCCCGATGGACACATGTGCGCAGACGGAGCCACCGACCAGTCTGACTCGATATTATGTAGTAGGTAGTTTGACAGCTGGTGCCTCATGCTCACCACGGCGACATTGTGATGCGACAAGGAGCTGATGAAATCTCTCGAGTTTCGCAATTAGTCAGTCATTTGGCCATGTCTGCCCTGGCCTGCGTAATAACTACTGGCCTACGATGCTCTGCCATCTGGCGCATATTAGAGATGGACTTGCGGAGCGAAGCTGTCTTACACATCATGTGGTCTGTATATGCGTAGGTACATGTACAGTATCATCTTGGACTGCGATACCTACAAAACAACAAGGAGCAGATACTCCGTACTCCGCACTCGGCACACCTCAAATCGCTGTTGCGCATACGTACGATACAAAACTCATGCCTCCTTCCTCGCACAACAGATCCCATGGATATCAGAATCCGAGGTCGGGTGCCCTCTGTAGAGAGACAGAGAAAAAAGAGGCGTCCCGGCAAGGTCACGCCAAAGCCGCGGTGGCGGGGACCGGCCAATTTTGCAGCACAGAAGTGGTCAATGCCAGTGACGCCATAGCAGAGACCCCTTAACGGATGCCAGCAAAGACACCCACACGGTCCTACCTTAGTAGTGAGGTACAGGTACTGAGTACCGGGGCAGCCCTGCTGGAAGGTCGCCTGTTGCTGCACCTGAGCGAGCCGCTTCCCGCACGGACTGCGGTGGCCACGCGCTGCCCACGTTGTACGGTGCTGTGGCCAATGACGGTGCACTGTGTGGCGGGTAGCAGCAGCCGATGCCAGCAGCCCCCCTCACAGAGCTCGTCACCCGTTCCCCAGGTACTCTGTACTTTTACTGGTGTAAGCACCTCAACTCTGTTACGTCTCCACCACACCAATTTTGCCCTCTCACACATTTCCTCTCGGCAGAGACGTGTACCTACCTTATGTATTGCGAGCTAGGTACCTACTGTATCTACGAGTAATACAAGCTCTGTCCGAGGGTCTCTTTTTGTCTGCACAAGGCGCGCCCACGCTGAGACTTGTACATGATGTATGTACGGAAGACCAGAGGACGGTTGGATTTGATGAGCTGCCATCCATTACAACCACACACAGGACGGTCTTCGCAGCGATCGGCGCCAAGCGTGCGAGTACCGCTACCAGCGCGCAACTGCTTGCCATGCAGCGTTCGGCAGACCCTCGCCAGACGTGATACCTAGTTGTACCTAGATAATCCCTCCGCAGGGTAAGATGAAGAGCAGGCCATGCAAACTCGCAATCCGCCACAGGCTGCGTCTGTGCTTTTGCTGTTATGTACATTGTACATATCTCAAGCTCCCCGACGTCATTTGTGTCAGTCTGGTCTGACTAATCTGGCTGCCCAAGGGTCGTCGGCGGGTAGCCGCACAAGCGACAAGACCAAAGCGACCCGTCTGCATCCTCTCGACTATTACTACCTAGTACTACTTCACCTCTTCCCACTGGTGAAGACACACACACCCAGGGCGAGGACGCCGTCGCGACGAGCTGGCAAAATTTTGCTGCTGCTGCTGCTGCCGCCTCCGCTTTCTGCACGACGCCATGGGCGACGGCGCACACCGGGCAACCGCGGCGTCGCAGCCGGCGATGCTGGTCCATCGATCCATGCCGCGCTGCTTCCGTGATGAAGAAAGAAGGGGGCTTCGGGCGGGGACGCTACGAGCAATGTGTGGACTGGCATTGATGGATGGACTGATGGGAAAGCGAGAGGCCTGAAAGGACGGATATGGATCCCCCTCCATCGTGGCTCTGATGGAGTCCGAAGCAGCGAAAGGCCATGCCTCTCTGGCTCCTCCGCGACCCCTGTCCGTATCTCATCCAACGCTCCTCGGGAAAACGAGCCTTGCCCGGACAGGCAATCTCCCAGAAACTGAGAAATTGAGCTTGACGTCGGCCCCGCCTGATGTCATGGATCGTCCGCCCCTCGTCCAACAGAAATGCGTCAAAGCTGCCTCTCCACCATTCCCGCCCCAACCGCTTCCTCGAGCGCCAAAGTCCTGCGTGACTCGCAAGCCTCCCCCCCTCGGCGACGACGTGAGGTTGTCTCCCCTTGCCTGTACACAGTGTGCTTGGGTCCATCGCACATGCTGCCGGCGTCACAAGCGCTTCTCAGCCAAGCAGGAGGAGTTGCATCCGAAGTCGTGAGGTGCCTTGCCTCGCCTTGCCTCGCCTTGCCTTGCCTTGCCTGCCATGCGATGCGATGCGATGCCATACCATGCCAATGGGAAGTCAAGAGAAACTCAGCTGCTCGCCCCGTCCGGATCGTGTCCGCCTCATCCCAAATAGCTAGTAACGTGCCTGGATGTCATGGGCAAAGATGGACGTTTCGCCTCGGTATCACTGCAGCCAGCGTCATTCGCGAGAGACCTCTTCCAAGCAGCACGACAACGCCTCACACAGCTCCGGGGGGTTGCGAGCACATCAGCACCCCTTGACAACACCTTTCCAGAAGCCAAACTCAAGCTTCCCACGGGGGGGTTCGTTCAAAAAACTTTCCTGTTTGTCTTCTCTTTCCCCTCTTTTGCCCTTTCTTCAGAGAATCACGAGGGAGATAATCCGCAGCTGTTTGATGCCTGACGGTGCCTTCGATTATGCCTCGCTCAACGCCGCCTGCCTGCCTGCCTGCCTAGCCGCCAAGCATACAGCCAGACGGCCCTTTGTGGCCTCTCTCCACTGCCGCAGTGGTGTTGTGACTTTTCCACGCGTTTGACCCGACCAACTCGCTCGTTCGTGATGCTTCTATGGCTCACTTTCGCTTTCCGTTGCCAGCCCTGTTGCTGGACCTATTACGGAGTATTGCAAACTATGTACTAGCCGAGAGTTCTCCTGAGCAATGCCGCGGTCACGATCGAGTCCTATTTTCGACGACGGGCTGACCAGCCAGTTCTTCCATGGATCGACAAAATTGTGCGAACCACTACTTCTCCCCTTTGTGTCCAATCACGCTCTCTTGTACGACCAACAAGGCGGTACCGGTCCTCACGACCTCTGCTGATCGGCACCTCCAACCCACCTCTTCCCATCGACTTGCAGTGTGCCAAGCCATACCACGAGCTGCGCGTCGTGATTTGGGTCGTCATTGATCCTCACCGAAAAGCAGAGCCCTGGTCGTCGTCCCGCCTATCAAACCCTAGCCTCCCCCATCATGATACACTGGCAGGTAGAATCGTACAAGCACAGTATTATCCTTTCTGCCGGCCCTCGTGACGGTGGCCGGTTTATGCAGCGGAACCACTTGCAGCGGCATTGTTTCAAGTGCCTCGGGCAGCAGCTTGGGGATCGCCTTGCTTTTGCTGGGGACACATCCACTAGATTTTTGCCTTGGTGTTGTCCATGGCGACTAATGTTGGCTCGACTGAGATCATGGATACCCTGGCTGAGACGTGTTGCTGCTGGAACACTCCGCTGTGTTCACAGAGACCGCCATTGTGTCTTCAACGCAGCTCTCATTGCTTCGTGTTGACCAAGCTTACGAAACGGGAGTCATAGGTGTTGCCGGATGATATCGGCCAATCAGCCTCCCGTGGGAAAGCGGATGGCGTGCCGGGCCGGCCCTTCATCTGCCTTGGGGAGCGAAACCACCGAGCTGAAAATCAAGAATTGGCTGACCGTGTCTAGACTCCGTCCCCCATCTCAGCCACTTTCCTGGCGCCATGCCGCTCGCCCTTGCTGGATGTTTTGTTAGTAGTCGCCGTCTGGGATAGGCCAGGTTTGCGGTTGTGCTACCGGCCGTCTGAATCCATCGTGTAACACAAAACGCTGCCGCCGACGACTCTCCACGAAGAGGCCACCACACCCCCCCTCTTGGCCTCCCGGAGCACTTCTCCAGAGGCTGCTTGCATATGCTACTACTACACGTATGCCCGCACCTGTACCATCCGCGATTGGCCTAGGAAAGGGCTGTGATGGATGGGGCGAAAGCATGCAAGGCGATAACAGTCACACTTGTCCCAGTCCTATCCGTGTCCAGTCACCCACGAGAGAAAGGGTTAATAAGACCATGAGCCAACCAAGGCGTGTTCGGAGCGAGGGCTGTAGCGGCCGCGTGACTGTCACTGTGGCTCACAGCCGCATATTTTGCTGCGGGCCTTATCTATCCAGCAGAACTGGGCATGGGTAACAAGAGAGACCGACGAGGGCGAGTAATAGCATGCAGGAGCAGAAAGAAGAAAAAGGATGGCGCAGAGGCCAATGTATGTATGCATGTTCTCTCGCTTTTACTCTTTCCAGCCGTCCCCGGCGCCCTTCATCCAGTTCAGTCCGACGAGCTGTAGTTGATGCTTCTCGACGAATTTGACTGGGTCGAAGGAGCGCCTTTGCACAAACTCCTCGCCTCCTACGTCCTCCTTTGTCAATGCCAGGCCATGCGGCTCACGATAGAGCAGGAAGAGGTATCTGTGTGGTTGGGATCTGTTTTTGTCCAACGACATATGTCTCGCTTAGTAAATCTGTGTGTACCCCATGTTTCTTTCGGAGGAGAATGTGAAAGGGTAAGGTAAGGTAAGGTAAGGTAAGGTAAGGGTAGGGAAAGGCAAAGATATTCGCGAGAGAATTTGTAGGATGTAGCACAAATGGCTGCTGCGATCAATTCGTTCTGGGCCAAGGGAAGAGAGTCCGCCGGATACCACATGATAATAGGGGCAACCGTCCCTTCCCCCCCAAAAAGAAAAGGCAATCCACTTCCCTACATACATACTGCACAGCAACCCCCCCCTCACGGAGACCGGAGCAAAAGTGAGCCGCACACAAGAAGAGTTGCAGGGAGGGGGGATTGGTGGGTGTGGGTTTCGTTGCCACGACCATTGACCAAAGAGATCGAAAGAGGGCTCATTGACTTGAGTAGTACTCGAAGGGCAGGTTTCTGATTTGATCAGGAGAAAGGAGGGAGGGAGGGAGAGAGAGGGGAAGTTGGTTTATGGTAAAGCAGACACTTTTTTGGGGAGGAGAGAAAACTTACTCGTCTTTGGGACCGGGGGCGAGATATTCGGTCAGGACAGGCTTCGTCTGGGCGACGATGCCCTCGGCGCCGGCCAGCGGCTTGAGGCCCGGGAGGACCCAGTGCCGCCAGAAGGCGAACTTGGGGTCGTCTGGCGTGGGCGCGTCGGGATCGACGAGGAGGAGCATGTAGGATGCGTCTTCGGGGGCGTTGGGCTGTTGTTTTGAGAAAGAACGTTTTATATATAAAGAAGTGGTTAGGAACGTTTCTCGCCGGCACTGTTTGTGCTTTTTTCTTTTCTTTTTTTTTTTTTCTTCCTTGAATTGGATAGATTCGTGAGGTTTGATGTGATGATCTGAGTACCATGAGCAGCTCAAGATGTATGTATCACGGATTCGACGTAGTATGATGGGCGCTTGATGTATGAGCAGCTCTCATGCTAACATGTTATTTCACGATGGTTTGGGAAGATAAAAAACGTGAAAGACGCTCGCTGATGCCGCTCGGTAACGGAATGGATGGATGGATGGATGGATGGAAAGCGGACTAACCTCTGCTTCGAAGGAGACGAACGGAGCGAGCTTGACCTCGCTGACGCGAAAGAGGTTGCCCAGCTCGACGTCCTTGCCGTCAAAGGAGATGGAGAGGCGGGTGGTGGGCTTGAAGTCCGGGGGCACGAGGGCTTGCGCGGGGCCGGGGACGAGGTTTGCGGAGGAGAGGGAGGCTGAGAGGGCCTCTGCAAGGGCGTCGAGGGTGTTGGTGTCTGGCATGGCTGACGAGAGGGTGAGATTTTGCTGATGATGGGTGGTTGTCGCGGTGGTGTGTGTGTGATTATGGGAGAGTGAGTGAGGTTTGCGTGTTGTTCCGGGCGACTAACACTGGGAATTGAGAGAGGGTGGGGGAAAAAGCAAGAGGGAAGTGGGAGAGATAAAAAGCAAGCCGAGGTTTGATTTGAAGAGCGGAAAGAGGCTGCGGATGGATTGTTGATCCAAAGACTGGCGAGGTTCTGGGGGCAAAGAGAGGTAAGAATGTGTTGTTTCTTCGATTCTGCTTGGTTGATTTCCCCGCGAAAAAGGTGATGGTGTTGAAGATTGGGGGGGTTGGCGATATCTGACTGGTGGAATAAATTGGCGACTTTGCCGGGCTCGAACTGCGAGCATCAAACCTCTTCTTAGCAATTATTGACCATACACAATGAGACAGGGAAAAAAAAAAGGCAGGATTTTAAGACGAGGAGCTAATGGGCAATTGCAGGGATTCTGCTTTGGGAGGAGACACTGCCTGTGGTTCGCTGGAACTGGAAAGGTGATGGCTTGGGGCTTTGATGGGATCTGTCCGGTTGTTGAACGGGAAGAAGAAGCACTGGCATCGGGTTAGATAGAGATCAATGGGACAAGACGGCTCTATCTACATCTCTACATCAGGATTTCCCATGTTGGGTTGAGTTATACATGAGCAAAGAGCAATTGATATTGCGTCAAATCACTCTGCCTAGCGATGCTGTCCTCGCTGGTCCTGGGTGGTGCTCCCGAAATCATCTTCACTTTTTGCAATGCAAGCACTGGGTCTTAGAGGCAGTATGTTGATGTTGTCAGGGATCAAACTGAACAGTACCTAGTTGGCCTTGTGTTCTTTCACGATTCCAAGGAGGCTAACAAGTGATAGCTTTCATACAGCACCTACAAAACATGTTGTTGACCGCGCACCCTCGTCTATACGCCGAAAAGATCTATTGGCCCTTTATTCCCTCCCCCCCCCCCCCCCCCCCGACATTCCAAGCTTCACCTTGGTCCCGGACCGGATAGCAAGACTCTCCCCTCCTCATCCAACCATACACGATTTCGACTATCCCAGCGCCACGAATTATCTTCAAGTGGACGACCATATGCCTCCAACATTTTCTCAACACGATTCGGATATGCATCATAGGGAGGCAATGGACGGCGAGGATAACTCGGGTTTGTCATTCCCGTGGCTGACTTTTTATACGTCTTCCATGTGTGCCTCTCATCGAAGACATTTAGATAGTGTTGGTCGGGACACTTTGGCATCTTTGTCCAGCAATTGGGCTCTGGCGAGATGAAGTCTTTCGACAAGGTTATCCAGGATTCCCAATAATCGGTCCACGTCAAGAGCCGCGAGTTGACTCCTTGTGGTTCCTGGTGATCCACCAACGTTGATAAGTTGACAGTGGAAGAGGTATGGGGACCATCTGCTGACTGTTTATCCATTAGCTGTTACTTATTGTTAAGCTTACAAGAGGAGTTTCAAACATACAGTCTGGCATTTGGCTACCTCATCATTTGCCTCGGCTTGAAGGCAGGGACTGGTTTCTGCTTGGCTCAGCCTCGTCGGCTGCGGGAGGCCATCTATGTGGATGGCAAGCGTGACTTCGTATGATATCTCGGCGGCGGTAGCAGCAGCGCTGGTGGCTAATGCTGGCTGTTGGCGTGAACATGAGCTTTCGTGCATGTTGAGAGTAAGAAAGTCGTGGTGGGAGGTTTATGTTTGAGTCGGTTGGGTTTATGTCGCCGACTTATATCTCCATGGTACGGGTCTTCTTTGGGAGTTTCAGTTCAGTGTCTTGCTCGACTGGACTTTGTTCACTGGGCGTTGCTTGCTGTTTTTGCTTGACGGAAGTGACTCTTTCGGCGACGTTGTGTTCCATCTGGCTCATTTGACCATGTCACGCCTCTTACAGTGAATCAGATACCCTATGGAGCTGTATTCCGTGTTACATGCGAACAACCGCTAGTCAACTACGTCTTCCCTACTGTCTTTTCTCGAGACGAAAGACTTGACGTATAAGGTAGGGAGAGACACCATCAAGTGGCGAGTCACACCGCACAACAGCACAGAGGAAGATGACCGGGCATAGCTGACTCTATGCTATCCACCAAATCTCATCCCAATCTAGACAAGCAAGAAACATCATCATGCCAAAGCATCCGGACAAAAAGTCGAGACTCTGACATGGGCTGTCCGGAGCGCGGCAGGGTGGTTACAATGCACGAAGCGGCACCAGGGGCGTCGTCTCCCAGCAGCTCGGACAGCTTACGCATGATCCACCTGCACACGCCCAGACAACGTCATTTGGGCTATCCAACATGTTCATAATTGTTCTCCAACACCATTGGGACAACTGCCAATGTCACCTATTTGCCCATTTAGCCAAACGTTGACTGTTGGGCTAATGTCTCAGTGTCTCGCTCTGGGAAATCCCGGTCTCTCGACCCCTGGTGGGGACTTGTACGTATGGGCTCCGTATCATTTCGATGAGTTGTCATGATGGGGGGGGGCGTGGTTATGGAATTTGATCAGGATATTAGACAATAATGAGACTGGTCAGTTGTCTCTTGTTACTGTTCTGCAAGATACGAGGCCAGGTCTTGTCTAGGTAGTTCTGTGGCGGCATGGATAAATCGCGATATCCATGGACTGTGTAAGTCGTCTCCAAACGAAGCCTCTTGATGGTTGACTCCAGGTCTACTGACGTACTTTGTCTGCTGCTACATGGAGGTGCTCCCAAAATATCTTGTGTTTGTGGGTATATCCTATGAGATGCCCTTTCCTCTCAGTCTTCTAAGTCATCATCATCATCATCACCATCACATCAGGTCTCACAGATCCTCAAAGTCAAACTTGACCAGCAGCGTACAATCCGTCTCCTTGCCCTTGAGGTCCATCATGCGCAAAAACGTCCACCCCGGCTCCGCATACGCCAGCCTGACCGCCACGGCGGCAAACTTTGGGTTGCGGGCAAAGCTGTCGTCGCTCTTGATGAGCATGCGCAGAAACACCAGCTCGTTGTCCTCGTACTCCCACTCGAGCGTCTCGTCCCAGACGGGGTCCGTGGCGTGCGGGTTCTCGCCGCGGTGCAAGAAGCCCAGCTTGTGGTGGCGGTAGGGCGCCGTCTTGCGCTTGGCGGGCTCGCCCTCGCCGTTGCTGTTGGCGTCGTCGTTGTCGGCGGCAGCAAGAGGGCTGTAGAGCGTACACGTCAGGTAGGGCTTGATGGAGTCGCGCTCCCTGTCGGCGTCGTGCAGCGGCACGTCCGTGGCGCCAGCGACGTGGACGCGCAGCCTCCGCCTGCGGCCCGTGGCCAGGCTGCCGCTGCCGCCCTCGCGCAGGGCCGCGGGCTTGAGGACGTAGCCGGCGGAGCCGCTGAAGAGGGCGTCGTTGAGCTGGTTGCTGGTGCCAAACGTCTGCCAGTTGAGGGCGCAGATCTGGGCGCCGACGGCCCAGAAGCGGACGGGCCGCAGGTTGGACGACGAGATGCGCGTGCCCTTGGGGAAGACGCGCATGAGGTGGCGGGCGTTGTGGCGGGCGATGGCGACGGCGTGCTGCGGCAGGTGGGCGGCCAGGCCGGACTCGGACACGTTGATGAGGTGGTGATGCGGGCCGTCGACCAGCTGGCCCGGGTCGAACCACGAGTTGTCCTTGGGTTTCACCGACTGCGCGTAGACGCCCAGCTGGGCCAGCTCGGGCACGATGGCGGTTGACGACTGCTTCTTCTTGCTGGCCTTGTAGGCGCGGCGGGCCTGGCGCTGCTGCTCTTTGTCGTTTTTGTCGTCGTCATTGTCGTCATTGTCGTCATTGTCGTCAGAGGAGGAGGAGGAGGAGGATGACGATGACGATGACGATGATGAGGATGATGATGAGGCCTCGTCAGGCAGATGAAACTCGACAATGACGGCGATCCTGGAGCCCAGATCGGCCAGCGTCACATGCTCACCGCTCCCCTGCTGCTCGCGCGTGCCCTTTGCGCGGACGGGCTCGCTTATCAGGCGGTGACCGAAGACGTCCCTCATGATTTGCACCAGCCGGCGCTGCCCGTGCGGCCCGCAGTGGTTCTCGAGCGACAGCAAGATGGGCGAGGCTGCGGCAGAGGCAGAGACACCAGCAGCATCTCCGGCCTGCTGCTGCTGCTGCTGCTGCTCGCGATCAAAGACGTCGCGGATCGTCTCGCACACGGCCCGGAACGGAATGTGCGACACCAGCGTGTAGCCGTGCGTCACCTTGGGCTCGTCCGCACACTCCGGATCGTCCCAGGCGTCAATCTCGATGCAGCGCGACCCCGTCGTCAGCGCCGTCTCGTACGCCGCCGCCGACGACTTGCCGTACAGCTGGTGCGCCAGCAGGTACGTGTTGTGGCTGGAGCTGACAAAGTACTCGGGCAGCGCGTGCTTCGGGTCGAGCAGCGGCGCGGGCGCCTCGAAGCTGCGCCGGCCGAGCAGGGCCCGCAGCGGCTCCGGGGAGGAGAAGTCGGAGGACGAGTAGGACGAGTCGAGGCCGGCGTCGCGCTCCGAGAGGATGCCCTGGTGGACGAGAAAGGACCGCAGCGCGTGGCTGACGCGGAGCTGGGCCTTGCCGTGGTCCGACTTGCGCGACAGGTGGCCTGGTTCTGGGGCGATGAGGTCGCCCTTGTCGTCGTCGTCGGCGGCGGCGGCGGTTGGCTTGAAGGGGTTGAGGCCGGCGAGGCGGGAGGTGAGGCGGTCCGCCATGATTGATTTTGCCTTGTGTGACTCGAGTGATGTGGTTGAGTGAGAGTTGAGTCGAGTAATGAATAGGTATGATATGATGCTCTCGACACGCGAGGGCGAGGAGCTGGTGTTAGTTGGAGTCGAGGATTTCAGTACAATACCCGGTTTCCTCGGCTTAGAAAGTACAACTTCAGCAGACTATATATACCTTGGGGTGCAAGGTGATATGGTGGAGGAAGTAGATGAGATTGTAACATGAAGCTCAGGAATCGAGTAAAAGAGCTTGATGGTGTGTGAGATGAATGTTTGAGCTCAGCTCAATGGCGGGGTAAGAGAACAAAGGCTTAGCATAGCCACTCTCATCATCAGACCCAACATCCCAAGACAGTAACGCCTCCTAGTCATTGATGGATGGCTCATTGCGTGCATGGCTTGAGGGTTTCCATGCGTAGGTAGAGAGACAGGGGCAAGGCCAGTATATGAATACATAACCTCCTGCTGCAGGCTGAAGAAAGAATACCTAAGAACAAAACAATGGTTGCCGTAGGGTAGCTCCAACACAGGGGAATCAATCTATCTGCAAAGTACAACAGCGACGCTTGCAAGTGAAGTGGTATATCATCCAGCTCTGCTTCAACAAAAGAGGGAAGAAAAAAAGAAATGAGAGGAAAAAGCGTCAGTTGTCTGAAAACCTGTACAGCACCCAGTTGTCCTCCCCAATAATGTCCGCGTACCCGCCCTCGCCCATCGTGCACATGTACGGTATCGTAAAGTCCTTGTGCCCCAACCACACCCAGTACCCCGTCCTCCCGCCATCGCCATCGCCATCGCCATCGCCGCCGCCGCCCTCGGACAACGGCCGCCAGTGCCGCTCACGCTGGCCCCGGTGAGCCTGCTCCACGGGGTCGTTGTTCTTCAACGCCTTGTCCCTCTGCTGCTGGTACAGCGAGCTGGGGATGCCCAGCGAAAAGTCCGTGACGTGCGGCCCCAGCCTCGCCACTAGCTCGTCCACCGGCCGCAGGATCTCGTCGGTGCGGTCGAGGCTGCTGTCCCAGCGCGTCAGCCCGTTGACCGTCCGCGTCGGGTACAGCCGGCCCTGCAGCGAGATGTGCAGCTTCCGGGCGGCGGGGAAGGTGGCCGGCACGGCGTCGAGGAAGAGGCGGAAGCTGGCCATGTCCGACAGCGGCGGCTTGACCACCTCCGGGTGGATGCTGGGGAAGGGCGCAAAGTCCCACAGCAGCTCCACCGACGCGATGCTGGCGAGGCGCTGCGGGAGGAGGATGGACGGGAGGCTGAGGATCATTGCCTTGCTGGCGGTGTGGAACGTGTTTGTGGCGTATAGGACGTCGATGCCCTCCATATATCTGTCACACGGATACGATAAGCAAGGAGACCAACATACTAAAGTACTTACATACCTTATATAATACATACATTCTCATTGTAGTAGTATAGGTATGTATGTAAGTGAGATGTGAGACATCCGAGAAAGGGAAGAAGAGAAGAAGAAGAAAAGAATGGAAGAAGAAAAAGAAAAACTCACGCTTGACGACAGCTGCAGAGCCACCCCATGGCTCCTATGAGACACTTTGTCGGCCACTCGCCCGGCCAGTGCCAGCACATGAGATGCCACGGCGACTGGCCGAACCGGCAGTAGTCCTCGGCCGGCTGGACCTCCTCGCCGGGACGGCACCGGTGGCACACGGAGCTCCGCCACGCCCACTCCTTGGGCCGCGAGTCGTCGAGCCGCAGGTTCCTGGCGTCGCACTCGCCCGTGCTGAGCCGGACGTTGAGGTTGCCGTGCGCCCGCCTCGTGTATCGGCCCCCAAAGGCGCACGATGACCGGTCCTGGACGAGGAGCAAAGGCTGCTGCAGCACCGGATGGTCGTAGATGAGGTCCATGTGGACCGTCTGCGCGCCAAAGGCCTCGACCAGGATCTTGCGCCGAATCTCCAGCGGCAGCCGGGTGAAGAAGGCGCTGTCCGCGGTGGCGGCCACGGTGGCGGAGACGAGGCTCTCGCGGGACGGGCTGGGCGTGAGGCGGCCTCGGCGCTGGGCGGGCAGCCGCAGGTGAGGCGGGATGGGGGGATCTTGGTCAATGATGAGCAGCGGCGGCGGCAGCATCAGCGATGATCCCGACGACGCCCGTTTCCTGTTGCTCCTCGCGACGCGTCGGCGCCGGAACCAGCTGACGAGGGCGTTTGGCATCGTTTGGACGAAACGCCTCTCTCTCCCTTTCTCTCCTGCTGATGATTCTTACCTGTAGAGAGCAACAGCCAGCCTCGTGTGACACAGAGATCCAGCCAGGGCAGGAGAGTTGACACAAAGCCCCAAACCCAACAGAACGAGACCAGATAGCCTATGATCTTCTCGGAGAAAAAGATAGTAGATGACAGTCAAGGGCCATCCGAGCAACCAGTTCATGTCCGTCCGGAACGCAACGCCACGAGCATGCCACGAGTAAAAACAGGCATTAGGCTCCCCTGCATCATGCGCAGGTCGGTTCATGCGATTCGCGTGTGATTCGTCGTCACATGCTGGCTGTGCGGTTCAGCTGGACGGCAGGGGTTTTTGTCTGTCTGCAATATGTAGTACTAGTAGTAGTAGTAGTATTTCTATGCGGCTATTTTGCTGTTGACGATTGTTCGTTCTCTTCTCCAGATGCTTGTTGCGGGTTAGCTCTGTTGTCTCTTGGGAAAGCCGAGATCTGAGCTGTTGATTTTATATGTATGTCCCTAAGCAAGTAGGTGCTGAGATGCAACTCCCGCAAAATTGGGCACCAACAGCGAACCCTCCTTGTCAGTCGCACCTCTCCATACAAAATCCGCCCGTGCGCAAAACAAGGACGACAGGCACCAGAAAGAAAATTCCCGCCTCAGATCCCAGGCGCCAAACATGCGCCCCCACTCTCAACGACCCGCTGCCTATTTTAGGAAAATTTTCAACTTCCAAATTTTGATTTTCTTTTTCTCTTCTTTCTTCTTCATGAACAACGCAAAAAATCACGTTCGGGTTTCTCAAAAACCTACTTAAAAAGTAAACCTGGCACGAGGTGCGAGCCCACGACTGCCGGGGACCTGAGGAACGAAACGGAGAAGAAAGCGAGCAATCTTGGGTGCGGTGCTCCCTCTACAAAAAATGGAGAGGACCGCAATGATTGAACGTACATGCCTTGGATGGTGACTGGTGATGTTGTTTTTTGGAGGGGAATCCGGTCCTTGATGATACGTGCCTGATGCTGTAGATTAGAAGCTGATGCTTTGCGTAGAGTCAGGGAAAGATCCCTGTTGACTGTCGCTTGGCAACTCATCCGTCGTTGGGATGCTCCTCCTGTCCTGGCTACTACTTGTGCCCTGAGCCCTGACTCCGTGCTCTCTGCAAGCGATCCGGCGAGCCAAGTTGGCCGTGGACGTCGCTGAGCAAGCCATCAATACAATCGATACGTGACGCTTGAAAAAAAAAGTCTTCGAGAGGCAGCTACCTACACAGCCACAGCCAGCAGATTCACGTCCCGTCGACAAGTGTCATGGTTCAGTCACGGCTCAGTCACCACACAAGAGTCACCAAGCGGCCTGCTCTTACAGAGGAACATGTCTCGTTTTCATTTTCGTCTTGAAGCCACCACTCATATAATACATCAAATCCATGACCATCGTGTAAATCTCATGCCGGCCTAGTCGACCACGGACTCAGGCGACGATAGGTGTGTACCCAATAATAACGGAATTCTAGCCAGTCTCGCAAAAAAAGACCCGAATCCCGCCGTTGTTTCTATGTACGAGGCGTCGTGGGACACCAGAGGAAGAAGTAAAAGAAAAGCATGCATGATCCATGTGATGCCTCACTGGTTCTGGTTGAGGGTCGAGCTCTAGAAGAAGGAGTATCAGCAACCAGGTTCCGTGTCAGACCGTCTTCTCTCAGAGTGTGCAACTGAACTTACTCAAGAGCCAACCCATCTACTGCATGGACTCGATGACGCTGCGAGCAACGTCCTGGATGGTCTCGAGGTCGCGCTTGGCCTTCCAGCAAGGCTCGCCGATGCGGTAGCACCATCGCTTCTCGTCGGCGTTGCCCTCGGCCTCGACGCTGCGCTTCTCGTCGCCCTCAATGGTGGCGCTCAGGACGGCCTCGGCGACGCGCTTGGTCTTCCAGCACTTTCCTCCGAGGATCCAGCACCAGCGCTTCTCCTCTGAGATTTCGTCGGTGCGCTTGGCCTTCCAGCAGGGCTCGCCGATGCGGTAGCACCAACGCTTCTCCTCCTCGGCGGCGGCCTCGGCCTCGGCCTCGCGCTTGGCCTTCCAGCAGGGCTCGCCGATGCGGTAGCACCAGCGCTTGTCCTCCTCGACCTCGACGTCGCGCTTGCTCTCGGGCTCCGTGGCGTTGGGCGGCAGCAGGCTGCTGGGGTCCTCGGTCGACACCAGGATCAGCTTCTTGAGCTGGTCCAGGCCCTCGATGGCGGACAGGGCCACCTCGTCGGGGATGGCCTCGCCCTGGGCGCGGGTGGTCAGGTCGTGCGAGCGGACGGCGAGGTTGAAGGCCTCGGCCGTGCGCTTGAGCTTCCAGCAGGGCTCGCCGATGCGGTAGCACCACGGCTCCGGGTTGGGCGCCGCGAGGGCCGCGGAGGCGAACACGGTGACGGCGGCGAGGAACTTCATGGTTTGAAGCTTTGCGATGTGTGGTGATGGAGACAAGAGATGTGATGGCGATGGGGAGATGAGAAGAGAAGACGGATGAAGGGAGACGCGATCGAGGGAGAAATATATGCTCAATGGGCTCTTGCTTTTGGGAACGACAGTCTTCTCCTTCGTCTCCATATCTGCGGCGAAAGCTCAGATCAATAGAGATGCTGGAAAGTGAGGCCAAAAGTCCACTTCGTCCGTTATTGAGAAGTGTTATTGACGGGTGTTGGTCAATAAGCCCTCTCCTGATCGCGCTGTTTGTCACCTTGGATAACGGCCTTTAGATTCTCACGCACGCTGTTGCTATTACGCCACGCAACACACGGACTGGCCGTTACGTTCACTGCTGTTCAGCAGGACGTTGAGGAGGGATGATGTTGGTGGAAAGGGGGAGTGTTGTTGACTGAATCAAGTTGGGAGCTATTGGCGAGAGTTTGATGGGCATGCCTTGGTGTTTTCTTACGTGGCTGAATCAAGAGATGCCCATGGCTAGGTAGGTACCTAGTAATACTACTCTAGTATGCTAGATGATTGCGTTTGAGCATTGTCAAACGTTGCCGATACCTTGGGAATTCTTCATATGCAAGTGCTTTGCCGCAGGATCACCACAAGGGACCAGCGCAGCGCTCTGTGCGCAGATCAGGCAGATGCCGACAACGTCTGGAATTCACGCAGACCAACACCCGAAAGGTTGAGACGGAAAAAACCCCCCGAAAGAATTCACTGGAAAGTTCTTGCACGGCAGAGCAGTACTACGCAAAAGCGGTGCTTACAAACACCGTCTGAACGTTGAGGCGACAAGCTGTTGCTCTACCTTGTGTTGTTTGTTGGTTGATGGTGGCTGTATATTGAAGTTCCCCTGGCTTTGGGCTATTGACACCCAAATCGGGTAATTCGCTGGCGTCGGGAGCCAATTGGCTGCGGGTCTCTCCTCGACTTATACGAGTACCTGCTTTTGTACCTTGTGCTTCTACTACATCGTTTGCATCAATTGCGAGAAAATGGACTGCTTTCTGAGGACTGCTGAGGACTTGACTGACTAAATGGTTGAGTCATGTTTCGTATTGTGCCATCAGCGTCTTTGATATCCCAATGTATTGCGTTTCCATGCAGTTTTTCTTACAGCGGCACGGGTTCGGGGAGATGAGGTCGAAGAATCACAACAACCTTGAACCTACGAAGCACAACACAATCATATCGCGGTGTGACGTGGCGAGGAATGCCGCTTGCTTGCATGAAGTTGGTTCTGCAAATACAGTTCAGTTGGAGATACACGCGGATCAAAGCCACGCTGGATCCGATCAACACCAAAGCCAAGTCTCGGGCGTGGCGACCAAGACGAGGCACAGAATATAGATCTACGATTAAGATGGCCGAGTCTAGGCCACCGACATATTCAGAAAGGCAGATGCACCAAAAGATAGACTGTTCGTCGTCTTCTAGAACAGAGACATCGTGTATTCTGGCCTTGGGGCCGTATAGGTACGGCTGAAGTCTGGTATGCTGCTATTCAGGTACAATAAAGCCACCGCTACAAAGGAGGGCGAGATCTCGGCATCAACACACGTGGCAATGTGACACTGGTAGTACTCCTGCGGAGGAGGCATGTGATGTGAAAGATCAATTCCCGTTCATTTTGATGACGGCTGCAGTTGGAGGAACAGGCAAGGGCAAAGTGCCGAGGTGGGTTACGGAGTTGGAAAGCCAGATTCAAGAGTAAGACTGATGGATACGACATGGGTTTGTTCGGCTGCGAGGCACTTACTCACTGGCGGTGTTCATAATTATCGATGCCCGTTGGTGACGAGTGGGTAAACCGTTATTGACGACTGAAAACAGAAAAGGAGTCGTGGATGCTCTGCAGCCTGAGGTAAGCTTAACGTGGCCCCATCAAGACACCAAAGACATTGGAGATGATAGCCTTTGCAAGATCTTTGGTAATAGTGATACAGTAGTCCTATGGCGGAAGAGTCATGTGCAATGGGATCTCTGAGCGGGTCGTGGAATCTGAGCGTCGCAGGCTCAAGGCCTAGGCTCTGCTGGTGCTGACATGTGAACCGTACATTAAATTCCCCGTACTTGGGCTAGTATTGCTTGGTAGACCGTCTTCAATGAACAATGACTCACTCCCATCTCGAGGTTGGAAGCGAGTTGCAAGAGGACGTTCTCCCTGCTGACGAAGCCACCTGCCCACCGTGGCGACAGAATCCAGTCTGAAGCACGAGTCCGAGAGAAGAACAGCCAGACTAGAGAACACGAGTGCTTGGCGATACCATCATCGGAGTGTCAACTTGCCCTCCATTTGAAACCTAGCCCTTTACCTGCGACACTCGGTTTAAACTACTAGGTATATTTAGAAACATCCCCGGACTATGCCATCACTGCCCCTGGGCACTGGTTTTAACAAGGTTCGGTGGCAAATGGTGGATCGGCATAGCTTCATGCCTTGATCAGGAGAGAGCCACGGCCAGGAGGACCCTTGCCACGATGCCAACTCGAATCATATGGGGAAAACCTGGGGATGGAAAGCTCGAGTCACTGCTGACATTTCTCTGCTTCCCGAGAGAAAGAGATGCGTCAAGAACCCCTGAGATGATATGTGAGGATCTGAACTTCAAAAAGCACTGGACTGATCGCCATACAAAAAGCACCAAATACAGTGCTAGCCAGTCCGGTGTTTTTTCTTTTCTTCCATAGGTAGTCTGACTGCTACAGAACGCAGACTGGCTGTTGCAATCTTTTCACAATTTGCGTATGCCAAGTATGTATGTATGTGTGCATGTTGTATCAATTACGTCCTCTGCGTTGATCAATTCATGCATACTCGCGCCAGACCGGCCGACTCGTCCAATCACTTCAGTTTCCCCTTTCCTAGTAATCTTGAACACTGCTGCATATGGCGCCACGCTCAACTGACCTCTAGACGGGATAAGCCACATCCCCGGAGAAGAGAAGAAATTGCAAGGATAAAGACTACATTTTGTCAGCTCACTGGCTTCGAGAAATAAATCCAGGAGCTCGCATGCCAATCAATTGGCTCTGGTCGCTCGTGCGTAGAAGTAGATGTCATCGTGCCTGACGGATCTACCCTGCAAAAAGCCGATGTGCCGGCGAATACGAGGTTTTTTTTTTTTTTTTTTTTTTTTTTTTTTTTTTTTTTTTTGTGTGTGTGTTTTCTTCTTCTTTCTTTTGAGTGCTGGACGTCTGTGAACAGAAGGGGGGCTTTTAAGTGTTGCTGCGCGCTCTGGATCGGAGAGAGGAGGCGATTTCACCAAGTAACCTCATGTTGGTGACGCAATGTCTGTTGCAAGTGACTCTATTCCGGCAAGGCTATAATACTTCCTTACTTAGAGGAAGAGGTGGGCGGGCACCAAGAGCACTTGAAGACAGCCACAAGCTGGTCATGATGCTCGAGAGGCGAGTGCGGGCTGCTAAGCCACAAGATCAGCTCCAATCGACTCTGTACCTGCATCTGGAAGGATTCCCGCGGGCTGAGTGCGACTTGAATTAGAGGACAGAGAGAGTGAAGCGGCGGATTTGAACCGGGGGCGGCCATGTTCCCTCAATGCGATGCTGAAACATCATGTCAAACCTGTTTTTTTTTTTTTTGTTGGCTTGCATGTTCTAGTTAAGAATCAATCTGATCGCAGAATTAAAGGGGCATGCCTTTACTATGACAATCGAAAGAAGTAGGTACAATTGGACGGTCTTTGGTTGTAGGAAGATGCGTCTCTCAAACTGTTGAAGAAACTTCCCGGTAATAGTACAAACAAACGTATCGCAGCTCCCAATAGGAAGATGAATTCCTTGTTGTACATATATAAGGACGTGATCAACATGCAATGCCACCAAGATGAAGTTGATTGGACTATATCAGCTATAGGCGCGTTTGGAGAAAGACCAAGTTCCCTGTTTTTTGACCTCTTTGCGCCCCTGTCTTCGGACCGTCGGCATGCCCAGGACGTTTCGCCACAAACAATCCCGGCCAAGCTGACGGCCGTCTTAGGAGGCCATTCTGGAGAGGATAACATCAAACCAAGATGCCTGTAGAGCTATCTCGACATGCCTTGCCCTAGGAACGTGAATGTTGCAGTTGGTGGACTGGATGAGGTTGCAATGGGTTCGATTTTCAATCGATCAAGAGAGGTTGAACACACATTGTCTTATGCCGACTTGTCGGAATCTTGGACCTCAAATGGCGAGTAAACAAAACTTCAATTTGAACATCATCTATAAATACATCGCTGCTGAGGACGATCATATCTGTGGCGTCAAATTGAACACAGCGGTTGCTTTTGCCAGCTCAGCATGAAAGCCAACAACATTCAGATCGTCGCTCCGTCTCACCAACCATGTCGGCTCATTCCCTGTCCTTTAACAACTTCTCTGCATGTATATCCCTGCCCGGATGATTGAGAGATGATGATGAAACTTTATGCAAAGAAGTCTACTCCAAGGTCGACGATGCGATTGAGTTTCTAAGAGGTGAGATTGATTGGCAGCTAATTGGGTTACCAACACTGTCAGAGTAGAAGAAGCCTGTTTGCCTTCGATGTAGACATAGCTGTGCCATATACATGACTTGAATATAAATATCCCGTTCAATCTCTCTCCAAAGTGTCTCGACATCACAAAGCAGCTCACCAGAAACAACACATTCCAAGATATCACTTTTTCCCCCACAAACCACGTTCGCTTTCGTTCCACAATCGTTCTCAACCGAACCGACTCAATTCTCACTCCATTCAAAATGAAGTCCTTTGCTACCGTCGCTCTCTTCATCGCCGGCATCCTCGCCGCCCCGCAGCCGAACATGAAGCTCCCCAGAAGCCCCGTCTGCTCTGGCCTCACGTCCACCCCTCAGTGCTGCGCCACCGACGTTCTCGGCGTCGCAGACCTTGACTGCCAAACCCGTACGGAACACCTCCCCCTTCCCTTTCTTGAAAAGCTCCTGTTTGGACCGTAACAAGTACTGACTGTCTTTGGGGGGAAATGTAGCTTCCAGCCCTGTGCCTGATGCCCAGACTTTCGAGGCTGTCTGTGCTGCTGGCGGACAGCGTGCTCGCTGCTGCGCCATTCCTGTTGTAAGTCACAATTGCGTTTTTTTGCTCCCTTGATCGATTGGCTGATATGAAGCTCACTATGTATGTTTCGACAGGCCGGCCAGGATTTGCTCTGCCAGACGCCTGCGGGGATCTAAGCTCGACTGTGGCTCTGCCAATTCGGAACAATGTACCGACAAGATCATGGAAAGCTTACTTACTGTGTACTGAAAATTTGGAGAACATGGACGTTGGAAGCCAAGTCTCTGAATACACGCACTGCTTTGGCTGTTTGAGGATCTGCTAAGATAGGAGATACAATGATCAAGATTTCAATGTGTTAATGATCTCATCTGACTCCCATCGTTCAAGTACGATATGTGATTGTTGCTAAAGTGACCAAGTACCACCAGTGTAACTCTAGGTAGTAAGTCCAATGTCTGATGCGTTGAGCTGTCTGATGTGTTGAACTGTGATGCGTTGAACCGTCTGATGCGTTCAACAAGTTAAAACAATGACTATGGGAGCTAGTAGTTAGACATATACACGGACTCTGGGTATATGAGAGCTGACATGAAAATAAGACATAGTCACTCGATAGCCAGTGACATTCATGGTCTGGTTAGTCCGAACCTGGTAGGCTGCAATGTTCAGTAGTTGCTCAGGGGTATTACTGCCTGTTCGACTTTGATACGTTGAACTCTCTGATGTGTGTAACTTCCCTGATACGCGCTGCTGGATGATAAGTCCAACTGCCTGAGGGAGTCAGCTTTGCAATGAACCAACTTCCAGATCTTACAAGGTAGGGCTGAACGTTGATCCCATCTCCTCTGTTGAGCGAGTAATTGTATCAAAAAGTAAATCAACAGTGCTCCCCTTTTGGACTTTCAAACATAACAGACTGTTCAAATGGAGATGTGGTGTACTTGATGTCTGAACGTAACCGACATGTTTCCATATACGACTGAACTCCCACAACCCTCAACACCACGTTCAAAGTATCGTGAACCCATACAGCACTCAACACAACCTCGTAGAACAACACCAAAATGGCTGCAAACATGCAACAAGACTTCAATTATATCTATCCCATCATGTCGCCTCCCAAATCCCAAATCTCAACCACCATCTCCAATATCATACTCAACAATCTCAACATCAATTACACCATCCCAAGACCACTTACACCATCCCAGCACCACTTACACCCTCCGAAACCCCCCCTTAATCACCAAAAGAATGTCTAGCCAAGAAATCACCCTCGGCTGGGAGCTCGAACTCATCGTCCACCTCCAACCCGGCGAACAATCCGGCCTCGCCCTCGAAGCCCACAAACTCCGCGCCCTCGCACTGACCCTCGCAGAACAAGTCCCCAACCTCCCCATCGCCGCCCACTGCATCCACCGCCCGTCCGCCTCCTGCATCATCTGCGAGGACGCCCCCGCCGAGCACCGCCTCCCCCACGTCCGCGTCCTGAACCCGGCAACCCCTATCCAGCTGCCCAACCGTCCCATCGAAGACCTGTACTACTTCGTCAAGAGGGAATGGCTCAACGTGCCCACCGACGACGACGGCGAGAGGCTCGCCCACGGCTTCGAAATCACCTCCCCCATCCTCTCCCAGACGGAGCTCCGCGCCGGCCTCCCCCAGACGAAGCAGATCCTCGGCGCCATCCGCAAGTCCGGCCTCCCCATCTCGGCGCACACCGAATGCGGCCTCCACTTCCATGTAGGTGTCAAGAGCGGCATGACGCTCAGCATTGCCAAAAAGGCCGCCACCCTCGTCATGCTCCTCGAACTGCCCCTGCTCAAGAAGTTTGCCTCCGAGGAGCGCTCAGAGAGCCGGTACTGGTTCATCCCCATCTCCAAGAGGTCAAAGTTCATATCTTTTGCAGACAGGTACCACGACGAGGTCACTGATGCCATCGCAAGCCCCGAGCTGCGCCAGCACGTGCCCGACTTGGCCAGCATGAAGCCAGCTGAGTGGAACAGCAACGAACCCAAGAGACTGCACCTTGCCCTGAACGAGATTTGGCTAACTGACAGCATATGGAGGCTCTCGATGGGCCTCTTCTCGTATGAAGGCCAAAAGGCCAGCTTGGTTCTGTGCACTCGCGAGAAGAACGGCGAAACCGCCTCGGAGCCTGCTCCTGGGACCACTGACAATCTTGAAGGAACGCCGTCCACGCTCGAGTTCAGGTATCCGCCCATGAGCTTCGATATCGATTTCGTCAAGTCTTGGGCCGAGATTGGTTGCAAAATCGTCGAGATTGCCACGCGAGATACCGCGGCTTTCCGCCAAGTGGCTACGGATGTGCTCAAGGAGTTGGAGAGGAACGATGCCTCCCAGTGGGAACGCCTTCTGAAGGTTCTCGACTTGGATCACCAGGTTGGATTTTGGAGGCAGCAGTTGGCCCGCTTTGATGAAGACGAGCCGATTCGATTCCTCGACGATGACGGCTTCTTGATCCCCCAGAAGAAATAGGACAGGGTGAGGTGTTGCTTTTGGAAATGTCAAGTGTAGAGTAGAGTGTATGATTTGGAGTTCAAGTTTTGATATTCATGAGTATCTGCGAATTGAGTCTTTTAGTCCTTGCGCCCTCTCCCCTTTCATATCCTTGTTATTGTGACATGTAAACATGCGAAGATGCTGTAGTCTTCCCATTCTCCTCATAACTAGTATGTACGCATCCATGACATACAAAGCAAAATGAACTGTCTTTGGCGTACATTATTGGCTGCTCACGAACTGATATATCCTCGTAAGCAAGTACCTTGATCGTGTACATACTTTTAATTACCACCCGATGCTCATCCACTGCTTCAACTAGTGAGTTAGAATAATCACGGCAAGAGATCCCGCTATTGGTTGTTGAATGTTGGGCTTTGCGCGAGTAGAGCCGTGATGTGAGCTCGAGGGCTTGGCCGTCTTTGGTCCTTGTCGCTCATCACGGCGCTTCCAGGACCAGATGCCGAATCGTGGCTTCTCTTTGTTCCCTTGCCGGTAGAGGTCGGTGCTGAATCGCCCACAGCCGTGTCTTCGGCCAGACGGGCTTCCAAAGCAGTGACATACTCTTCGACCGAGACTAGATGCTGGTTGGCGGCTGGCAGAGACGATATGTATCCGGAGCTGCTTGACTCGACTTGCGCACCAATGTTGTGCGCTTTTTGGGGCCGTCGAGCGGTCTTCTTCGCGCCAAAAATATTGTTGCGGGAGGTGGACGTCGTAGAGTCACTCGAGGGAGATGGATCTGGTGCCTGGTGAAGGTCGTCTGCCTGGTTAGGCCTTGCCTCAGGGTTTGCAGCACGAGTACTGTTGCCCAAGAGGTTGGCTGGCATCGGTTGGTTAAGCAGCGAGTGAGCCAGTGAAGTGGGCGTATCCATCGTGAACATGTTGTCCTGGGACAGCCGAGGCAAGAATAGATCTATGTCTCCAACGTTAGAGCCTACTAATGGTTGTGAACAAGCTCCGTCTTTCATTCATACCTTGTGTCTCCTGGCTGCAAACGGCTTCGACGCCCGAAACTTGGGCGGTAGACCTCAGATAGTCAAACTGGTCGCGGCTGACTTCGTTTCGGAAGTCCTGCAATTCCAGGCTTTGGTCCAGATATGGTCCCATGCTATTGCCCAATGACATGTATGGTGGCACACCGGCACTGGGAAGCCGTCTTCCGTGCTGGCCTGGTGCGAATAGATCGTTCTCAACGAGCTGATATGAATCAGCTGTTCCGGTGCCCATGCCATTGAGCCACTCAAAGTAGGTGTTTGAGTCACTGATAGTCTCCAGAGTGCCGGTGCTGGTGCTTCCAGAGGCAGCGCGAGTGTTGCTGCTTTGGAAGCTAGACATCCTCTGACTCGGCCGGACGCTTCGGCTGTTCATTGTGCTGCTGAGGTGCTCAGTCGAGGAAGAAGGAGGGTTTGCGTTTGTCCGAGTGTATTTCCTTCTTGGAGAATGGGCATGTGAGTCAGTATCGTCAGACGGATAAGCTTGAACAGCCCTCGTTGCAGGGGCTGGGATCCGTCGCCACATGCTTGGATTTGGCCAGGCGATGCAAGAATTCTCCAGGATCTCTATCCAAACACGTTCGCGTTAGCTTGATTGTATGCATTGTAATCAAAAAGAACCCGGGGCGGAAGCAGCGTACCAAGAGGCGCATGCTGAAAGGAGAACGCAACAACATTCTTGACCCGCTCCATGGGCAGCGACAGAGAGTCGCGCGGGAAGCCTTCGCTAATCACAATCTTGATGCGGCCAAAGTTGTCGGCGGGATGCCAGTGATTCTGTCGAAGAAGCTCCTGGCGAAAGCTTGGGAACCTCAGAGGCTCGAGGTCTCCGTTCTTCGAGACACCTATGGCAGCTCATCAGCATATGCGTATCACGGCCATGTCTACCGCAGGCGTGGTTCTTCCTACCGAAGCTGTGAACGATAATGTGCGGCCAGTCCTTGTCTTGATCGAGACGCGCAGAGCTGGAAGCAAAACTTATTAGCATACAGAGGCGAATCACTGGGCGGTAGCAGCAGCAGCAGAGCCAGGACGAGGACTCACGCAACCAACTGTCCGTCAACGAAGACGCGGGCCTCAAAGTTGGCATCATCGCCATACTTGCTGTAGCATCTGGTAAACTGGCTGACGGTGGGCGATGACCAGGAGTGAATCGAGACTTGGAAGGGAGTCCCAGCAGGCAAGCTTGGTATGAAGCAGCAGACCGTGGGCAGGCCGAAAGAACCGTGGGAGCTGTTGATTTCTTCGCTCCGTTAGCCACGCAACACGGAGAGGATGGCCAACGGCGAACTTGAGCGCACGAAAACGCTGGAGAGAGCACATACCGGCATCGTGGATGACATGGCAGGCCACCTTGAATTCTTTCACGGGGACTTTGCAGTCCCGCGGGAAGAGCAAGACATCCCAGTCCTCGAACCGCATCGTGAGCACGAGTTCGACAACGCAGCCGGCAGTTCAAGAAGAGATATCAGGGAAGAGAGAAGTGGAAGAACAAATCAAACGCAGAGGAGACGCGCCAAAGAGCGGTGCTGAGGAGGCCAAATGTGTCCCCTGCTATTCCAAGGTCGGCTCTGAGGAGGTGAGAATCCAAGCTGCAGCTTTGGATACGGTCATGCCTCGAGACATATAGTAGGCGACAACTTGATCAGGTGGCAGGGCAACGCTATCGGTATATCTGTAGGGCCGTCGTGACGCTCATTCGGCAAAGAGCGAGTGGCCTCGGAATCGGCAGCTGCACGCGCGAGAGACTTCCGATGGAGTATCGACTCGCTTATTCTCCTGAGAGCTCGCTTCTCGCTGCTTCCTGCACCGATCGCTCTGGTTGCCGAGGAACAAGGCCAGCAGAACCTGGAAGACAGTCAGAAAGAAGAAGCTTGCGAGGAAGGAATTTGTTGATTAGAGCATCGCAGCCACGTGGAGGCCCTTTGATAGGTAGGTAAGAAGACCGCCTCCCTGGTAGGTCAGGTAGGCCAGGTAGGCGTGGAGGAGAGTTAGCCAAGGGGCAACATACTGTCGAGGGGAAGCCCAATGGTCTCAGCAGAAAAACACGACAGGCTCCTGAGAGATGGACTGATCGTGTTTCTTGCAAAGAATGACCCGAGATTGACGTAGGTGAAAGAATTGTCTCATAATCAGGTTGACGAGCCTTGTATTTGGGGGCATCCCATCGGATATCAGCCTAAACATACGGTACTTCAGATCAAGTACTTGAACTGAGGCGTATCGCGTCCCAGGTTGATCGAGGGCAGCTACGAAAGAAAAACTATCCAATTTGCAGACATCTTCCCGGTCCTGGAACATATGACTTGAAGAAACTGGACGTGAGACGAGCCTAGTCCAACCATATGTTGACACTCGTCCCCCTTTGCACATACGGTCCGCAAGGCGTGATGCAGAGCAGTAATGTCTTTTCCTGAAGGCGCTGGAATGACTCCTTAGCCTGCCTCATCATCTGAGAGATCGCGTCATGCCAACATTTGCTTCGTGGAAGAAGCACCAACTTGTAAAAAGCTTTTATTCTTGATTATGTACAAACTAACAGAAAACCTCACGGGTCCTCATCACCAGCCATTCGCGCCTGCAGCCCCAGTGTCAGCACGTGCCAGGTCCAGTTTATATTCATCAGACAAGATGCCACTTACTCTTACGGCTCCTGGGCCGCCCAACTCTCGCTCCAGGCCATTCTCAAACTCCCTGGGGTAGGCAACTCGGTCAGGGTAGTTGAGATAGACAAGTCCAGAGACGCCCAAGAAAACGGCAATGAAGCTTCCAACCATGATCAGACCGGGCCCCGTGGTGGTCCATGTGTACTCCCAGGGGGAGAAGATGCCCAGCACGTCGTTGTCTTCGTGAACTGGCTCGCCAAAGTTTCGTCGCTCCTGAGGGTCCCACCAGGTGGCATATGGGTCGCGGAACTGTCGCTTGATTCTGGGCGGGTTGATGTAGCCTCCGTTCTACAGTAAATGGTCTGTATTAGATCCCACAGCTCCCTTTCAAAACAACGCTGGAGCATCACGAACCATTCCAGGATCCTGGGCCTCGCTGAGTCGCGGGAACTCGGGGTACTTCTCATCGATGACCTTCTTATCGGAGAATTGGGATGGCAGGAAGCCTCGTCGCTGGATCGTGGGGAGCCTTCGGCTGGCGGCCAGGGTGTTGCGCAGAGCCGAAGCTCGCACAAGTCGTTGCGGGAGCATCTATTGAGGACGGGGCATGGTCAGCTGGGGAGTTCGCTTTTCTCGCGACCAGCTCTCTAGCAATCATAACATGGACTCGGAGCGCTCACCTTGGGCGGATTGACCGTAGCTTCGGCGCCCAATTGCTGTGTTCCGGAATTGCTCTCCGTGATGACCTCAACAGACTTCCAGATTGGTTGGATTTGAGGTTGAATCGACAATCGCCCTCGAGCTGTGCTGCCTCAGGCATCAAAGCCCGGATTTCTCTGCAGCTGGGAGGGAATTACGACACGGGGTTTGAGACGGGCCGCCTCGCAGAGCGCCGGTACTCGCGGGCTACAACAGCTGACGACCCCACCCGCGCGAAACCGGGGCAGCGATCGCGGTAAAGCACAGCTGCAGCTTGGTGACTCCAGGTACCGGCAGGTACTCCAGCCCCTCCAGCGCCCTCCACTCTTCTTTTCGCACCACCTTACCTGAGGTTACCATGGCGCCGTCGAGATTCTTCCTGCTCCAAACTTTTTGCTGAGCAGACTGCAATTCCTCGCAAAAACCGCCGCAGCGCTCCGCCCAGGCCTCTGATCATGTGCAAACTCTGTCCGAATGTTCGGTAAATCGCCACGAATCCGTAGATGTCAATTTCTCCCCGCCAAATGATAGCCTCACAGAGTTTTCGCCTGCGACGTCCCCTAGCTCCACGTTGCGATTATGCTCGAGACCGCGTCGCCAGACCATGTGCTTCCCGACGCGGATCCTCTGGCTGCCTCGCCCGCCGACGGAACGCTGAACGCTCCATCCAGTGACGCGCCGCGCGTCGAGCCCGAGGGTCGGGAAGCCGCCGGCAAGGCTCGAACGAACGGCCATGGCCAGCAGGACGCGACGCCGGCCCAGACGAATGGCCACGTGCCGCAGCCGGCAGAGGCCGCGGACGATGCTCGTGTGGACGACGGCGAGCGGCCTGCGAAGAGGCTGAGAACCCGGAATGCGACGCCGCCGCCGCCCGCCGTCCGCAAGCTGAAGCCCATCTCGCCACCGTGGAAGAAGATCGAGGCGGATGGCCCGACATCCTTCACTGAGAACGGACGGCGCAAATCCGGCCGAATCAACCTGTTGTCCACCCCGGCCGAGCCGGCTCACGCGAACCCGAAGCGTAATACCCGTCATTCGATGAATGGATCGAACGGGAGCACGCCCAAAGCCAGCCCGCTCACAAATGGCAAGTCCAGCAAGCCCGCGGGAGTCGGCGCCACCAAACAGAAATCCACGAGCAAGACGACATCAGCCAGCACCACGCCATCCGAATCAAGTTCGAGACACGCTTCCAAGAAAGGCGCTGCTCCCGAGCCTCGGCCATCCTCACGGCCAAGCCGCCGACGAACTCCCTCTCCTCCGCCACAACCCCTCAGACACTCCACACGAACGCGAAGAACACGGCTTAGCGATGCAATTGAACAAGAAGCTGCGGGCAATGCCGCAAATCACAATACCTTCGAAGGCTCTGGCAAGTCTCCCCGAGTCAAGCTGAGGGTTGGGTCCCGGCTTGGCGTGATTCCCTTGGTGCATCCGGACCAGGTACGCAAACGACCTCGAATAGGAGCCGACTTTGACGATTTCTGGAACCGAGCGGGAGATATCCCAGTCGAAGAAGGTGGCCTCATGGTATCTGAGGATGGACCACCTTACACGGACGAAGCGGCGCGACATGACGCCCGCATAATACTACGCATCGAGAAGGAGGTTGAGCCGGGAGGGCTCCTGTCCATGCAGCGGTGCTCTCTGTTCGTACCCGAAGGAGAGGAAGAACCGCCAAGACAATGGGCACGGCAAGACCATATGACGAGGGCCGCAGCCAACTTTCGAAAGCTCATGGTGGTGGAACAGCAGCGGCATCGATCAACCGCCAAAAAGCTAGCCGAAGCGTGCCGCGAAGAATGGATACGGCGCCAGCCCAAAACGGCCGAAGAGCTAGAGGCGGAAGCAAGAGCCTCGTGGTTGGCACACTATCGAGTTGTTCTCAGATCGCTATTTGGCACTTGGGAGAATGTTCGTGCAGAGGTCAACAGGCGGCGATTGATACAATGGGAGGCAGAAGAGCAAAAGAGAGTCAAGGCTGCGCTTAATCAGGCAGTCAGTCTGTCGGAGCAGAAACTGCAAGCTCGGCGCGCTGGTGGCATGGATTCAGAATCTCTCTACGATGAGGATGGCTTTGACGACTTGAGCGACAGCGCTAGCGAGGAGGAAGAAGGAGACGAGTCCCGCTTGTCTTCAGGAGAGACTGATGAAAGTGGTGACGAGGACGGCGAGGACGATAGCGATATGATGTCGTCTTCGGAAGATGAAGAGGATGAGGACCATAAAGACGCAGCAGACGAGGGCTTGACGCAGGAGCAGTTACGGGCCAAATATGCCAACATACCCAATCTCGAACGCGAAGATGCAGGTTCGAGGGCTGACAACGCGAGTCGAACCCCGGGCAACGAGGACGAATCCGAGGCTGAGACAAGTGATGAGTCGGTGGATATGGATGACGATCTGGGTTCAAGCGACTTCGATGGTAGTGATGACGAATCTGGAGACGAGGGTTCGACAGATGAATCGGGATCTGAGGAGGAGGCTGGTGGTCTCTTGGGACTCTTTTTCGGGAAATCAGAGCTGAAGGCAATGAAGAAACTCGATACCCATGATGAAAGCCCACAAGATGACGAGAGGGGTGCTCAAGCTGATGCATCTGGAGCCGAGATTGCGCAGACCAATGCCGGGATGGACGAGGATGATGACGATGAGATGTCGCTAGTCCACCATCCTGACTCAGTCAACGGAGACATCGCAAAGGAAACCGGCGAGAATGCTGGGCCCTTGACACCTGCGACCGAGACCAAGTTGAACGGCCTGCAAAGCCACATGCAACTCGACGACGAAGACGCCAAAAAACCCGCCGCCCCTCCCGAACCCGCCGATGCAGATACGAAACATATGCATAAGGACGTTCCAATGACTGATGCACCACCAGAATCATCAAGATCGGAAGAGCCTGTAGCCACGAAAGCTCCAGAGAAGGATGCTCCTTCCGAAGCAGAAGCAGCAAATGTTCGCGTTGCTGTCTCTCACGGTACAGCCTCACCAACGATAGCGGACGCCGAATCAGAAACGAAGCCCGAAACCCAACCCGAGATAACAGCGCCAAAGGAGACTGAGCAGTCTGGATCATCCACCGCCGTTACCAGGGTATCAACACCGCAGCCTACAGGCCACAAAATAGAAGTTCCCTTTCTCCTCAGGGGAACACTACGCGAATACCAGAGGCAGGGCCTCGACTGGCTTGCCGGCCTTTATGCAAATAACACAAATGGTATTCTCGCAGATGAGATGGGTTTGGGTAAGACGATTCAGACCATTGCACTGTTGGCACACCTTGCCTGTCGTCACGAAGTTTGGGGCCCTCACCTTGTCATCGTGCCCACCAGCGTTATGCTGAACTGGGAGATGGAATTCAAGAAGTGGTGTCCCGGCTTCAAGATTCTCGCCTACTACGGATCTCAGGAAGAACGCAAGAGAAAACGACAAGGATGGAACAACGACGACGTATGGAATGTCTGCATCACCTCGTACCAGCTGGTACTCCAAGACCAGCAGGTGTTTAGGCGACGGAGGTGGCACTACATGATTCTGGACGAAGCGCACAATATCAAAAACTTCAAATCGCAGCGATGGCAGACGCTGCTAGGGTTTAACACGCACTCACGTCTACTTCTTACCGGAACCCCGCTTCAGAACAACCTCACGGAGCTGTGGTCGCTGCTCTTCTTCCTCATGCCTGCGGAGAATGGCGTCGGGGGCTTTGCAGATTTGCAAGAGTTCCACGACTGGTTCCGCAAGCCCGAGTCCCAAATTCTGGAGAGCGGGAGGGACCAGATGGATGACGAGGCCAAGGCAATCATCTCGAAACTTCACAAAGTTCTGCGGCCATACCTTCTCAGACGTCTCAAAGCCGACGTGGAGAAGCAGATGCCGGCCAAATACGAACACGTTGAGTTCTGCCGACTGTCAAAGCGGCAGCGCGAACTGTACGATGGATTCCTGGCACGCAGCGATACGAGGGACACGCTGGCGTCTGGCAACTACCTCTCCATCATTAACTGCTTGATGCAGTTGCGCAAAGTTTGCAATCACCCCGACCTGTTTGTCGACCGACCCATCATGACCTCGTTTCGCATGAGCAAGTCTGTACCTGCAGAATATCAGGATACGGTAAGGGCCGTGCAGCGATCACCCTCAAATTTCGAAAGCCCCATGAGCACTGTCAATTTGGGTTTCTTGAACCTGGTGCCGACTCAGCATGAGCATCTATCCACCTTGAAGGCGGACAGCATCACCCAACTGAGCTCGCATCGCATCCTCATGGATCTCAGAGAGGCGCAAAAATGCCGGGCTCAAAATGCCTACACGACCCTGGACCCTTCCACGGTGGAGTCCAACATTGCCTACGTCGAGAGTGCTGCCCGCTGGGGCCGCTTCGAAGAGCTGCAGCACTGCGTTTACCTCAATGCCCTCCGCCGTCAGCAGAGGCCCATCTATGGGAGCAACGTTGTCAATCTGTTAAACATCAACGCTCATGACCGTCTGCGCAAGCCTCGGCCTCAAGTTCCTAAGAAAATACTCGAGTGGTTCGATAACGATTCGGCCTTCTTGCGAGCGTTATCACCGTCTCTCGAGCAGAGAGCCGATAGCCTCAAGACCACCATCGAAAAGTTCTCGTGCGTCACGCCCGCGGTGGTGACTCGGGATCTCAATCAGGTGATTCTCGGTCGGAAAGGTGTCGAGGCGTTTACAGACGAAGATTTGAAGCTCTCGGCGCCGGTGCGATGGGCTCCCTTTATGCCCAAGGAACCCCCAGCAGACCCCTGGCACGAAGCGCGAATGCGTCTTACCATTCAATTCCCCGACAAACGCCTGCTGCAGTATGACTGCGGCAAACTCCAGGCGCTGGACAAGCTATTGCGCAAGCTGCAAGCCGGCGGCCACCGCGCGCTTATCTTCACGCAAATGACAAAGGTGCTCGACATCCTGGAGCAGTTTCTCAATATCCATGGGCACAAGTACCTCCGATTAGACGGCGCCACTAAGATTGAGCAACGTCAAATTCTGACGGACCGGTTCAACCACGACTCGCGTATCCTCTGCTTCATCCTGTCGACTCGATCAGGAGGATTGGGCATCAACTTGACGGGCGCCGACACTGTCATTTTCTACGATCAAGACTGGAACCCGGCCATGGACAAACAGTGTCAGGATCGATGCCATCGTATCGGCCAAACGCGCGACGTCCACATCTACCGCCTCGTGAGCGAGCACACCATTGAAGCCAACATTCTCCGCAAGGCCTCGCAGAAGCAGATGCTCGACGACGTGGTTATACAGGAAGGAGAGTTCAATACGGATTCGTTCAACCGCCCTTCTGTCCGGGATGTCCTTGGCGAAAAGGTGGACTTTATGAGCGAGGGTGTTGCTGCCGCAGATGCCGCTCTCGACCTGGTACTCGGCGGATCGGAAAGCAACAGCGATCAGCGCCGCGTCGGTCGCGTCTTTGAACAGGCCGAGGACAAGGAGGATGTCGCCGCCGCACGCGTGGCAGAGAAGGAGATTCTCGCGGACGACGCCGACTTTACGGAGAAGCCCGGCGGAGGTGCCTCGGGTACTTCAACGGCTCGTCAAGGGACGCCGGCGGGCAAGTCCATCTTTGACGGGGGCATCGGAATACTGGACGGACCGGTCGAGCCCGGTGTTGACGCAATCGAAGAGTATAATGCCTGGGGCGGAAGAATGGGCAACATTGACGACTACATGCTTTCGACCATGACGGAGGAGCTGAAGCATACGAAGCTGGAGCTGCCCAAGGACAAGAAGAAGGGGAAGAAGAAGGGCAAAGACACGAGAAAACGATGATAGGAGAGACAAACTCTGGTACTCTGTCGGGGGAAACTACTGTTGTTGTTAGTTGTCACTGTACGATTTCATGTAATCACATCACTGTGTATAGTATCCGGTCCTTTTCCGCCTGTAAGCTACCTAGGTATGGTGTTTTGAGAGAAGAGGGAGACTTTGGTTCTGTGAGTTCACCAAAACGGTTGCTTATGAGAGGAAGGAGTTTGGCGAGGATTTTAAAAGGTCTGCTATTGATGGTTTAGAGGCACGAACTTGATTTAACTGAACAAAGACCCGGATCCTGACTGATATTCATAAGGTACCTTGTGTGTTTTCGAGGTCGCGGTGACCATGCAAGTGAATACTCGCTGAGTCGATAAGGTAAGGCAAGGTAATTTTGTGCTAGAGCAGTACGATGACACGCGCACTGGACGCCCGCTGAGGAAGATGTCACAGCGCATCTGAGGCCCACCTGTTGCGTGTGCGAGCCAATGGGGACGGGCCATCTTTTGCCTCTGGACGAGCGGGAGTGGCGGTACGTTGAGAGACGCAGCATCATTTACAGGCTTGAAGTCGAGAAGCAACCGTAACTGGGGAAGTTGTAGATCCCTCGGGATGAATCCCATCATGTAAAGCATCTGTCGTAGGGTGGAATACATACAGTGATTGAACGGTACCTGAGTTATTCCTGGTTTAGACGAGAGGAATGGCAGAGGAATCCGTGGCTGAGCTGGGGCAAGGTACGGGTACCTACCTGAGGGGGGAGGTACCTCTACCTAAGTAGGTAGGTACCTGGCGAGTCTCCTCCAGCAGAGAGCTCTCCATCTCAACTCTACCTGTACCCGTTTTGTGCTGTGCTGTGCTTAGAGGTACTACATGTACCTAGGTATGCTGTGCTTTTCAAGGTTCAATTGCTCCGGAGAGTCTCATTGGATGGATCGCTGCTCCAGCTCACAAACAGGCAGCACCTTGGCTCGGCTACAGCGGAAGAGGCTACAGCTACTAAGGTAGGTAGGTACAGGTACAGGTGCCCTTGAGGTCATCCAGGTCACAGCAGGTACCTTCAGCCACCCCCAGTGCCGCATCGTCAGCCGTGTCAGCCCCCCTCGAAACTGAGCTGCCAACATTCAACCTGTAACCCGAAAGTCACCGTCACGGACCCCCATGTCGAAATTTCCCAGTCCATCCTCGCCCTCCCAGCAAAAGACAATCTCGCTTCTCACCTTAGAGCAGATACCAGGACCCGGCGGGGAAACAAGGCAAGCCCGAAAAATAAGCCATTGCTATTGCCGTCCGTTCGTCTTTCCCCCAATCTCTCCCACACGAGAACACGCGTTGCCCCATCCCGGGCCAATTCTACAGCAACCGACGCCGCCATTCCGCCGCCACAAGCTCGTCGACCAACTCAGGAGCAGCAGCCCGCCGCCGTCGAATGCATTGAGTGTCGCCGCAGGCTGAGCCGGAGCCTGACCCCCGAGCCCGACGCCGCGAGGAGGACACGCATAGGGGGCGAGAGCGAGGCGGCCCCTGTAGACGCGGAGGAGGAGTCTGAACCCGAGCTCGATCGCGACACCAGGAGGCCCCGGGCCCGGAGCCGGATTTTGGAGGCACTGTGCTTCTTGTCTGCTGCCGGCGGCGAGAGAGCGTGCGCTGCGGGCGCGGCACGACGACGAGGCATGCAGACGGCAAAGGGGAAGGCCGAGGCGCAGGGACGAAAGGCCAAGGTGGGTTTTTTGTCTGTCGACGTTGCAGCGGAATCGCATGATGGACAGACGACGGGGGGCTAACAGATGTTTGATGGCCATTCCAGCTTGCCACTTCGTACCAGGAGCTTCTAGAGTGAGTGTCCTGTGCTCCCGTGGTATCGCGCTGTGGCTTGGTTGCTGACCGAGGTGGTTGCCTCTCTGCAGCGAATTCTCGAGCAAGGACCTCAAGTCTGTTGGCAATTACACCCTCGGCCGCCTCATTGGCAAAGGCTCCTTTGGCAAGGTCTACCTGGCCACCCACAAGCTCACGAATGGCTCCAAGGTGAGTGCTTTTGCCATTCACATGCACTCATCGACACTCGACTCTTACTAACGGGCTTGTTCAGGTTGTCTTGAAGTCGGCGAACCGGACCGACTCCAACCTCGCCCGCGAGATCCACCACCACCGCCAGTTCGTCCATCCCCATATTGCCAGATTGTACGAGGTGATCGTGACGGAGAACTTGGTGTGGATGGTCCTCGAGTACTGTGCAGGTAAGGGCTCTATGGATGACGCGAGCTTCGACTCTCCAGATTTCTCGACAAGTGCACTGACACGTGCGGACTTTCAGGTGACGAGCTCTATAACTATCTGCTCGATCATGGCCCCCTACCCGTGGCCAAAGTGCAAAAGATATTTGCCCAGCTGGTCGGCGCCGTCAGCTATGTCCACATGCAGTCATGTGTCCATCGCGATCTGAAGCTCGAAAACATTCTCTTCGACACCCATGAAAACGTCAAGCTTGTCGACTTTGGCTTTACGAGAGAGTACGAAGGGCGGACGAACCACCTACAGACGTTTTGCGGAACAATATGCTACTCTGCGCCGGAAATGCTCAAGGGGGAAAAGTATGCGGGCGAAAAGGTGGACGTCTGGAGCTTGGGCATCATCCTGTACGCCCTGCTCTGCGGAGAGCTGCCTTTTGACGATGATGACGACAATGTGACCCGAACCAAGATCCTGACGGAAGAGGCAAAGTACCCCGAGCACTTTCCCGTCGAGGCTATTCCTCTCATCAAATCTCTTCTCTCGAAGCGTCCTCTCCTCCGACCGACACTGCCGGAGATCCTAGCTCATCCGTTCCTGGCAGAACACGCGCCGGCACAGCAGGCCATTCTCGAGACCAAGTCGCTACCCCCTTTTTCGACTCACCTGGAGAAGGAATGTCTGCACCGCATGCGCAGTGCTGGAGTAGACATTGACGCGCTCATGGAGAGCGTCACTGCGCAAAAATGCGATACCCTGGCTGGATGGTGGACGCTGCTGCTCGAGAAGGAGGAGCGAAAACAGCGTCGGAGGGAGAGGAAGAGGAAAGAAAGAGAGGCGGATAAGAGCCTCCATCGGATCTCGGTGGCGTCGAGTCGGTTCGAGCGGATGCTGCAGGACGTGGACGAGGATGGTGGTCTGACGAAGCAGTTTATCAGGCTAGGAGAACCCGCCATGCCCAGGACCCGCGGGAGACCGGACCGAAGGAGCGCTCACTACTACGATCTGGCCATCCACGACATGTCGTACTTTACGGAGGGAGGTCGTTCGAATGGTCCGCAGACCCCCGATGAAAACGGGCGCCATCGTTCTATTGACAGCCACTCGATCCGCTCGGTCTCGACAACGCGCAACTATCGACCCATCCCGCCGCCTAAGGAGGGCATTCTGCGCAGCGCCAGATCTCGAGGATCGACTCTACACCTCGTCACCACCACCGAGTCCCTGGGCCTGGGCGACCACAGCGCTCCACCGAGCTCGCAGCAGCAGGACGACAGCAGTCTACAGAAGGCGAAGAAGAAGCCTAGTCAAGCCATCATCGCTCACTGGAAGAATTGGACGCATTGGTTCTTCGAAAACACGACCAGAAGGCGGCGCGGGCATGAACGACGCACAAGTCGGAGCGTGCCTGATCTGCACAAGAAAGAGGGTAGCACCAAGAGCAGCAATGATGTCAGTCCTAGGCCGCAGACGAGCAAGTACCCTCACACGAACCCCCTTGGGGCCAATGCAACGGTTCCCCTGCCCAAAGGGGTCGTTGCGAACGGCCACTTGGGGAGGGCCAACGGGTCGTCCAGCTATGGATCTCTCAGGGGAAGCGTAAGCGGGCCGGTGGGAACACCATCTCAGCATCCCTTGAGGCCTCACATTTCTACGTCGCAGCCTTATAAGCGTCAGTCACTGTCACCATCGCCATTGACACCTCGGGGGACGGTTCGTCGCTCATCTGCAGGCTTGCGGGGAAGAAAGTCGACTTCCTCTTCCGTATCTTCCGTCCGGTCAATGCACCACCATCATCACACCCATTCCAAGGCGTCTTCCACCAGCTCAACGGGCTCCGTGTCAACGACGAAAACACCGCTAGGCCGTGGACAGTCACCTCACCACTCGGTTAAGGTTCTCCCTGCGACGCCCACGGGCACTGCTTTCCCTTCGAACATTCGTCTTGTCCGCATGCCGCCGGTCAACTCCTATAACGAGGGTATGCCTTCAGCCCAGCCACAAGCCCCTGGTTCTCCCAATCCATTTGGCTCGGGTGTCATGTTTGCAAAGAGGAAGAAGAATATTTTCAAGGGGCCGAGTCTCAGCTTTGGGGGCCCTCACGGAGCCATGCGAAATGGGGCTGGTGGTTCCCATTCTCACTCCCGCAGTGGTAGCGCCTCGGGGCTGGGGCGCCGGTCAGGAGAGATTACCATTCAAGAGGAGGATGAAGATCACATGGGAGGTGTCGACGAGGAAGAGATTGAGGAGGTGGATGCTTTTGGGCCCGTGGTGGGCGGCCCTGGGGAGATTATTGAGGAGCAAATTCTCGAAGACGAGGCGACAACCCCTACGGCGGAGGTTCACAGTCCTTCGGCGATTTCCCCCAGAAACACGATTAGTAGCCGCATAAATATCCCTCGGGCGAAGGAGAACGAATGACGTCTGTCATCCAGCGACCTTGGGAAGCGGAGCCGTCTGCTTGAAGAAAGATGGCAGATATCGTAATACAGCGTAACATGAAACTACACCGACACAGCCAAGGGACATGGTGCCCTACGACAACCTCAGCTATTCTTTATCCTTAATCTTTATAATATTCCTCTCTTATTACTTCAAAGAACCGTGTTTGTGACGAGGATGGGCGAGACACGCTGCTACTGTACATTGCACGCACACACTTACACACACATACCTGCCCTCACAATTGAGAGACCCCTTCTCCCTTCCCTCGCTTTCTTTCCTTCGCTGTTGTTTGAGGGTCATTCTGAGGGTCATCGAAATTTGCAAACAAGAAAAAGAAGCTCTTTCATTGCTTTCCCTGTGATATGTACAAATAGTATACCCGCTGTGGTGATGGATAGCAAACGTTGTGTTTTTGGTACGGCTTAGACTGAGCTAGAAGTTTTTTTTTTTTTTTTTTCCGCATGCCGATAGAAGTCAAAACTTTTTCCTTGTTCCTCTAATCCGTTCAAGATGTGTTTTGTGCTATGAATTCAGCACCCCAAGACTAGAACTCGCTCTGACATTTACTTCTCTTTTGAAACTCAATTCTTCATAAAGCATAACTGCTATGTATATGTGTATATAATGTAAGTGGTCTTCCCAACGTTGGTAAAAAGGGGCGGAGGAGGTTTTTTAATGGCTGTGAGCCTCCCGCTCATGCTGCTTCCTCATCCTCTCGACAATGGCCGAACGCTCTTCCCGGAGAGTAATCCACGTCCAGAACCAGGCCATCATTTCGATGAACATGAATGAGAAGAGCAATCTGTTGTGTAAATGCTCCGCACCAGAAGAAGCAGAGTGCTTCATGAAAGGAGCCCCCCCGGGACGTCGTGCTGATGTCGAGGAAGAAGAGGAAGAAGAAGAAGAAGAGAAGATGGGTGATTTCGAGCCGAAGCAGTAGGAGTATGCGACGAGGACCATGGAGAGGAAGAAGCGGAGGGGGGCTGCGTTCATTGAAAACGTTACCTTGTTAGCTACACATGGTATAGGGGAAGTTGGAAGGGTGGAAGATGGGGTGGGATTCGTAGGGAGGGGGTTTGAGGAGGAGATATACGGACCTTGAGTGCCCCAGTAGTATAAAGCGCTGAACTCCTCGGGCATGGAGAGAGAGACGAGGTCGCTTATGCCGGAAAAGCCGAGGACGACGGCCAGGAGGGCGAGGGCGGGGCTCGGGGCGTCGAAGCCTCGGACGGCGGGCTGTTTGTACACAGACGCCAGTTAGAACCACGGCCGGACAAGTAGTAATAAGAGAGTTATGAGAACATGGAGGTTGAAGGGGGCAAGAGGTGGGAAGGGTGGGGAAAAAAAAGCTTACAATGTTCATGCTTTCGCCTAGGACAAAGACGAGGGCCTGGTCGTCGACGGTCTTGGGGCGGAAGAGGAAGAAGTAGGCGAGGGTGAGGTGGAAGAGGGAGATGGAGGTTATGATTGTGGTGGATGATATGAGGGCCATTGTGGCGGGTTTTTGTGTCAGGATTGAGCAGTTGCTTTTGCGAGATGCGCGTTCTTGAGGTTGTAGGCGATTATAGGCGTCTGTAGTTGAGGGAGCGAGAGGTCGATGTCGTGTTTTGGAGGGTTCGTATACGTGGCACGAGTCCTTCTGTTTTCCGCGATCGCTCTGTTGGTTGACGCTGCCGTCGTTGTAGAAGGCGGGAAAAGCCGCTTCTTCTCCTGTTGAAGACCGTGAAGCAGACAGAATCGCTGGAGCTTTGGAGGAAGAAGAGGGATGCAGGAGAGGCAGCTTAGAGGGCCATGTGGTTGATTTGGCGTCACATGCTGGAGTGTTCGGAAAGGAGGACGGGATCAATGCCTTATCGATTGGAGAAGAAGCTCTTTGGAGCTGTGACTGTGGCGCTGCGGGTGTGGCGCATTGCAGATTTGATGTGGGGGTAGAGGGACATGAGGCTACTGAGCTGAGAGCTATGGGAGCTTGACAATATACCTAGTAGTACATAAGGTAGCTTGATGATGGAGCAAGCCTTCCCTTGAGCTGTCGACTCACCTCACCTCTCAAACGACTCACTCACTGCTCAGCGACACCCAGTCACGCATTGGAAACTATCAAGATCATACTGATCCCTACAAGAGTCATCTTCACCATGAGCAGCCCAGACGCCCAGGAGGCGCCCCAGCTGGACAAGGCGCGGCACATCAAATACTGGCAGCGCTGCCACAAGACGTTCCTCCCAACGCCCTACACCTCCAACGACTCCACCAGGCTCACCTTTGCCTTCTTCATCATCTCAGCCCTCGATATCCTCTCCGTGCCCTTCACAGCTCAGGAACGAGCGGCCGTCCGGAGCTGGGTCCTGAGCCTCCAGCACCCCGACGGCGGCTTCTGTGGGAGTCCAACCCACTCCATTACCGGCGAACTGGCGTCCAAGGGGTCAGCAAACATCGCTGCGACGTTCTTCGCTCTAATTCTGCTCGGCCTGGCGGCGGACACGGAGGAGGAGCAGCGCTCGGCTTTTGCGGGGGTGAATCGCAGGGGGTTGCTGCGCTGGCTGAAGAAGCTGCAGAGGCGCGACGGGAGCTTTGGTCAGGTGTTGTGGGATGGGGAGCCGATGGGCGGGAGGGACATGCGGCATAGTTATCTGGCGAGCGCGATCCGGTGGATGCTGAGGGGAGATGTGAAGGAGGGGGATGAGGACTGGGTGGAGGATATTGATACGGAGGGGATGATTAAGTATATCAGGGGTGTCCAGGTGAGTTTCGCGGTGACTGAGGCTCTGGTTCGTTGGTGCTAACTGGGGTGATAGACGTATGATGGCGGCATTGCCGAGTCTTCAACGGAGGAGTCTCACTGTGAGTCTCTCTGAAATCTGAAAGATCTCAGAGCGTTGACTGATAAATTGACAGCCGGATACGCATACTGCGCAATCGCAGCTCTGGCGATGCTTGACAGGCACTCTGATTCTTTGGCGACGGGAGAGACAAGGCGGGCGCTGGATCGCGGCGTTGCAGATCGCGAGAGACTGCTCAGATTCCTGGCGCACAGGCAGTTTAAGTATCTGTCGAAGCAAGAAGAAGCCGAAGACAGCACGGTCAACTACCTCGAGGCTAAGCTGGGAGACTTGAGCCTTGAAGGTATCCCCTACACGGGCTTCAATGGCAGGTGGAACAAAAAGGCCGATACGTGCTACACTTGGTGGGCATGCGGCACCCTAAAGGTGAGTTTCATTTAGGCACACGAGGTGTTCTTTCTTTTTCTTCTTCTTCTTCTTGTTTTTCTTTCCTCTCTCTGACAAGGAGTGATGTGTACAAGATGCTCGACTGCGAAGAATTCTACGACCCTCAGCCATCTTGCAACTACCTGCTTGACATCACCCAGCACAGCATCGGCGGCTTCGGCAAGTCCGTTGGCGACCCTCCGGACATTTACCACTCTTACCTCGGCTTGACCACCGTAGCTCTACTAGGCGGAGCTGAACTCAAGGAGATTGACGCCGGATTGTGTTGCAGCAAGGAAGGGGTTGCAAAGCTGGAGGCTGCGAGGGATGGCCTGCTGCAGTCCCTGAAGAGGCAGAGGGAGCAGCGTGGTGGGTGGAAGGCGGCTGAGTTCTGGGGCAAGGCCGCGGAGATGGTCAAGGTTAAGTAGGGGCGTCATTCTGCTGGCGTTGGCGGTTGACACTTCGAGAAGGCGATAGAAGCATACAATGATCAGTCGCTATGTATGGGATTTACGAGAAAGCTTAAGATGTCAATGCACAATACACTCCATCATTTCATAACACTTCAAGCTAGGGTATCATAGAAGACAATCAATAATACAAAGTTGGTCATACAGAATCAAAACAAACAACCAGCAATACAAAATCGGTATCACAGAACCAAACAACAAAACAGACAACCAACAGACACCGGAACTAGACAACCAGCCCATCATGCTCATCAGCATTCTCCATAGCTGCGTCAACATTGAATCCGCCAGAAACCACTCGGCACGGCAACTCGGGTATATCCTTCAACTCCTCCTCCCGAGCGTCCACACACCACGCCTGGAACTCGTCCTCCGTAAAAGGCAACATCTTCAGCTCGGCATGCTGCGTCAAGAAGTAGTCGGCATCACGTCTGCGGAAACAGTACTGGATGGCATCCTTTCCGTGCTTATTCTTCAGCACCATGGTCTCCGTGATCTGATCCAGCCGGTTCATGTTCCTCGTAAAGGCACGGTCCGCCTTTGCTACAGCCGTCACAATGGAAAGCCGGGCCTCCATGTACTTGGCCAAATCAGGCGGAACCGGACGATTGCCCCGACAGTAGAAGGCGAGCCGTTTCCAGTCCTCGCTGGGCCAGTACAGCTCCTGTCGCTGCGGACCTTCATACGCAGCCTCCAGCGCCGACTTTTGTATCCTTACTTGCACAAGGACAACGGGAGTCAGGCTGCTACGTCGTCTTATGTAGCAGGCCTGCTGCTCGGCAATGTCCCGGTCTACGTACAAGTAATACGCGCTGGAAGAGCCGCGGGCGTTTCCTGGTGGGAACGTGGCGAGGGCGGAGATGCGACTGAGGTCTCTCCTGTCGTCGAAGAGATGGCGGACGCTTGCCCTGTCGACGCCCTTGTACAGGGTGACTGTCGTGTCCGATGGGCTTTGAGAAGCGCGCAGGACAGCCTCGCTCATTGCCGTTTCTTCGGGCTGGCTGGGGCAAGGAACAGCGTCTGTGGAGGCACTCTCGTCTGCCTGGCCTCTCTTCAGGGGGACGGATGCTGCTGCCTCTGCAGCTCGCAGGTCCTGGAGAGCCTTGAACCTCAACTCGATCGTGTTGCGGACCCAGTGGAGGCAGGTCTGGGTGAGCCGGATCTTCTTGAAGACGGGATCCAAGATGGCCGCCTTTGTCTGCCTGTCGAGCCCGCAGTGGTTCAGGCATTGATGCCATAGCCGAAGGTTGTCATCGCACGTGTTGGAGACGTGACCAAAGTCATACACGTGCTCGACAACTTGAGACATGAATGCTGTGCTCAAGTTGCCGTCGGGCTTGGTGGCGTGGGCTCTGACCAGTTCCTTGATTCTGTCCGCCCATATGAACTCGGCTGTTTCCTCGTCGAAGCCGAGGTATTCGAGTGTGTCTATAGACACCAGGTCCTTGGGCAGGACGGGGAGCTGCTGAGGGCTGCTGGTGATGGCTGTTCCAGACATGGTGACTGATGGGAACGCGGGGGGTGGATGTGAGTCTGAGAGGTATGGCTGGGGTTGACAGCGGGTTACAAGTCAGAAGAGTCTTGATGTACGCAAGTAGACTTGATCAAGTGGATGTGAGTGGAGAGAATGGCAGGGAGACTCTCTTAGGGGGGTTTCCGCCTTCTTATAGAGATTGCTGATGCTTGTTCCATGCTGGATGATCCGCGGCGGCACGATTTCTCTGAGACTCAACAAGACAAGCTTGTTCGCCTTGAATTCTTCATCAGCTGATGGGCAGGAAGCATCAAAGTATGCATACTTTTAGCCTACGTGGCTTGATAACAGGGCTTGTAGTCTTGAATCAGGATACATCTCGTACATATCCGGTCAAACTAAGAGATGGAGCCTTAGACAACTCCTGTCAAGCAAAATATCATCAGTTTTCGAAGGTGTTGTGGTTGCCCTTGTGAGTCACCTTGATGGGAATATGAAGACTTCAGGGCTGTCGTGTAAGCGACGTCGCCATCGTGGTCTGCGTTCGCGGCACGTTCAGCCACCTTCGCTCGGAGTGTTCACCTGGACACTCCTCGCTTGTCCCAAGTAGCCCTGTTCGCGTAGAAAGGCGGTCCGGCTGGACGCCGCCATCCTTGCCGCGGTATGTGGCGCTTGGTGTGAAGGGTGTGAAGGAGTCTCAATCGCGGCCTCAAATGCTTTGGTACACGGTATACAGTTGAGATTGTCCTCCGAAGCGAGCTGATTTCGTCTTCCCAACAAGGCTGTATAGGCGGCCTGGAAGGACTCTTTGCAAAGTGATGGACAGGCTCTTCCAGAGGTCACAGCCAGACTCGGTTCGGCAACATCTTTCGATTGTTGGCAGATACGACGGAGAGTATTCCGCCGAGTGGTTTCCGAGGACTCATTGTCTGGGCTGAAACTTTATCGTCAAGGCACTACGGCCCGAGATTAAGCCTTCTCTGGTAGTTTCTTTGGCAACTCGGCTCCCCGAGGAGGAAAAGGAAGTGGGAAAAGGCGTCTGAAACTACGAAGCGAGGCATCCAGTAGGTGCCAATGTCTTGGAAACAGATATCACCGATTATTACGCTAAAGGTAGAAGCGTAAGTCTATCAGTGTTACTAGAAGGAAATATTGCGAGTAGCAGAGAGTAGTGATGTCTGTTCTAATTTAAGATCCAAGTGTTCTAAGCGAGTAACGCTACTTATATAAAGCCTGTGTGCTCTCTTTCCCATCCATCCCTCTCCTTTCCACCTTTACCCATCATTGTTCTTCCCTCCAGCAAAGCATGTCTATCCCAACACTGCGCAACGGAGAGGCTCCAGCCAGCCAAGGCCTCCCAAACTCTGTCTTCATCCCTGGGGAGCTTGTGTCTTTGGCAACAATCAAGTATCTCGGGTATAACGACGAGGCAGCCGCCGACATCTGGGGTCGCTGGACAGCCCGATTTCCGAGTGGCCAACCCCAGGAGCTGGAACCCGTCCTTGGGGGGCCGTTCCTCGACCCCATCATTGAGTTCTCCCACCATCGATTCGACCTGGATGTAGACGACGGCGACGACAGCAAGTGGCTCGAGTGCATGGGCCAATGTGGCATCAACCAAGCCACGCAGACGGCCATCATGGACCCCGTATACAAGCGAGTCCGGCTCACCCGATCCTGCCTCTATTGGCTTCGCGACACCATGGAGTTGCGTTACAGAGCTCTGAATGAGCTCCTAGAGGCGCGAGCACGGGGTGTATCTGCAACGCCCCCTGAGCGCCCTGCATCTCAGCAACATGGTGCACCGACTGCAGGTCCTCCGGGTGTTTCCACAGACTCTGCCATGTCCGAAGCCGCGTTGTTTGCCGTCCCTGCCATGACCAGTCTGTACAAGAGTGTTGATACGGCTAGCATACCTCGCCTGTTTGACAGAGACGGAAACGTCGAACACATCGTTGATCTCGCCACAAGCCCCCCTACCGATTTCTGCGGGCGAGAAATTTGCTATACCTTTGCCCTTGAACTGGACATTGCCCTTCTCGATGCCTGCTGGGCCAAGGCTCGAAGCAATCTGAGCTGCATGGTCATCATTCAAGCGACGCTCTGTAATTCCACAATCCAGGATCTCGCTGGGCAGGAGCTTCAGCGTGTATACTGGCCAAGCGAAGAATGGAAGCAGCTTGTTTTCTGTTCCAGACAACTTCGCAGGCTTCCTCCTGAGTTGCGCAGGTTTAAAGAGGCTTCGTTAATCGTCGGTACAACTGCGACCAAGTCAGATACGGTGTACTGCAGGATGGAGTGCCCCCACGAGATCACGGAAGAGATGGTCTACAAAACGAAAGATGGGCGAAATGTGGTTCAATGTATATTCATCGGTGACGATGGGGAAGATCTGTTGACTGATAAAGCAGACATTAAAGGGTATATCCTGACAAGGGAGAATCACGAGCAGTGGCTTAGAAGGGAGGCCGAGGATGGATGAGTCGTCTCGCGGCTATCATAGGCAGTCGAAGTCTAGCATTTGGTTATATATGCTCTACGTGTAAGAAGCTCTTAGCTATGGTATGAGGCTTGGGGCGAGTTATTGTCTTTAATCGCAATGTTCACTTTCAATTCTGTCTACCTAAACATTTCACCACACTTTACTCCAGAAAAATATTAACAGACGATGGGGCATGGACGCATCGCTTGTCCCCAGGCATCAATATGCCATGGACCTGAGTAAAGCATAAAAGGGGAAAAGAAAACAACGCCAAAGGCAAAAAAATCGCTAGGTAGAGCACATTCCTTGCAATCCACGGAACGCTATCAGAGTAGAATTGATAATCAAAGTAGCTATGCTGTCGTCTTAGATAACTTCAGCGGCAGGTACTTGAGAAAGCAAGCTGGCTGGAAGACAAATAACCGTCCATTCAAGCCTCTGACCTGACTCTTTGGCATGGTAGCTGGCAGTACCTCGAGTGTCTGCTACTTCATGTATGTATATGACTACAGAAACTTCAAACCGTACGTCACCCTCTTTGGTAACGCTGCCTTCATCTACCCCAGCGGCCCTGAACCAATTCGCCTTCTCTTCGCTTGACGCGAGCAGTCGTTGTGTTCGACTCTCTGGAGCTCCCGTTCTCTCAACAAGGAAGCCTCTCGAACTTCTTGCAAACCCCCATAAGCCAACTCGACGGTACCGCGGAGCCAAAAGAAAAGCGACCCTTCTTCCCGCATATTCTTGAACACATCATCCATGATGATATTCTGAAGTTCCTGATCGATACCCCATTGATCCATAGACGCGATCCACGTCTCGCCATCGTCTGACCATGTGTCCAGTTCCGCCTTCCGGTCGGCCAGGAAACCAATGGCAGCATCGAGGAAAGACACGCCATTGACAGGCTCGGTCTCAGCAATGGGTGCGCCCTCTGGAAATTTGATGACCCATCGAGCCCATATTCGCTCAGCCGTCTCGTCGTTGAAGCCCATGTATTTGAGCGAGGCCATAGAAATCAAATTCTCGGGAATGATGAAATACGCCTGGGGAGCTACTGAAGGAGGACTCGGGGGCAGGTCCACGTAATCAGGGTGGCTGTAGCTGTATATGCTCAAGCAACGCTTGTGGAGCAGGATGAGTCCCGGGGTGTCTGCAGGGCCCATGAGACCCTCGGCCAGAAGAGCCTGACGGTCTCCGGGGGCAAGGATGGACATTGTTGCAGCGACTGAGGGAGGAAGAATGAGGATAGAGGAGGCAGACGGTGAAGCTGGAGGAGCAACGGACGAGACCACAATCTTTGCGGCAAGTACGATAAGACTGCGAAGAAGCGGCTGATGTTGCGTTTTGCGATGTAAAGAGAGTTGAGGGAGATGAAAGGGACAAGGGGCTAGAAGAGAGCTTTATATACCTACAAATTGTCGTGTCATACATTAGGTAGGTAGGTATAGATGGCCCTGACTTTGAGTTTAAGGCTTCCGAATACGCCAGTGTTGAGCCTCCAAGCCACCAGACCTTATCTATGCAACGCAGTTACCTACTACCAAGGGGAATTAATTAGCATGCAAAGAGATTCGACGGACTTGGCAATTTGAAGGCAGAAGATGCTGGCAACGTCGTACGAGCCGCATGGCTGTTATGGAAAGCTATACTCTGATGGGAGAGACGAACCATGACCTGCTTTCCTTCCCTTCGTTCCTTTTGTTTGTCTTCTTTCTTTTTATTTTCCTCCGGTCTTTTTTATTTTGTCTTTTCTTCTTCATGTTCTTTCCTCTTTTCTATTTTTCTTCTCTCATGTCTTTTTTTGCTTTTCACATGCATCTTCTGGTCTTGTTGAAAGCAGGTATTGTGCGCCATGTCTACCTCAGTACATAGTTACCAGGAGTTCAGATGTGGCAGACATCTTTTTGAATGTGTCAGATAGCGTTCAGAAAGACAAAGAGCATGTTTTGTTTAATCTAAATCCAGCCGAAAAATCGTATCTTAGAGAGATAGATAGGGTGCGGCGCATAAATCAACTCTGAAGCTGCTGGAGTCAACAACCCAACAAATCGGCCACTTCCCTTCTTAAAGGCGGAATCATTTCTCTGGACTGAATCTCTCAAAATTACATGACAGTCGGATTAAGAAGCAAAATCAATGAAAGAAAGAGAAGATCCTTTTCAAATTATGCATATATCTGATATACAGCCCAGTCCTAATCGAGACGCCGACAACTTGTCCCTTTCTTAGATGGCCGCATCGCCGACTGACTCATCCGGCGTATCCCCTACACCCAAAGTACCTATGCAGAGACGATGCCAACATCGACATTGGTTTCTATACATGCGTTCGATATCTTCGCCAGAAGAACGTCTTTGACTGACTGTTTGGTCTTCCTCTGTTAGGAGCCTCGAACAGTGCATTGGTAAAGAAGAAAGAAGAAATATCCGTCTCTCTTCCGATAACACAATGTCGGCCTCCAACCTTGCCAGAGAAGCCCTCTCGACATGGGAAGCCAACGCCGAGTTCTGGGACTCTACCATCGGCGAAACAGGCAACAAATACTGGAAACGGCTCCAAAAGCCATCTCTCCAACGCCTCCTCGGCCCAACCCTCAGCAAGAAGAGCTGCTCCGCCCTGGAGCTGGCTACGGGCAACGGTCTCTGTGCTCGGTGGCTGGCTGAGAACGGCGCCTCCAGCATCATTGCTACGGATGGCACTTTTGGCATGCTGCAGCAGGCGAACAAGTACATGGATGAGGACAAGGCTGGCAAGATATCGTATCGCAAGCTGGATGTCACGCAGGAGGGGGATTTTGCGCCCCTTGTGGAAAAGGCTGCTGAGGTGATTATCAACTCCTCTTGTCTCTGTCGCTCATTTCCTTTGCTTGAACTTGTTCAGCTGCTGGTGAATGTGCTTGATGAATCGGGCTGATGATGAGTCTGTGTGGTATGATAACGGCAAAAGAATGACGGCTTTGACATTATCCTCATGAACATGGCCCTCATGGACGTGGCCACGCTCGATCCCCTCGCCGATGCCCTCCCAAAGCTCCTCAGCAAAGACGGCGTGTAAGTTAACTTGTTCATCTGTTCCTCCATAAACCCAGGGCGAAGAATGACTATGCTGAACAGAACTCCGTCAATGAAGCTTCGTGGCCACTCTCCTTCACCCCGTCTTCATGACCTCGACCTACTCCCGCACCGTCGAAGTGACATTCGACCCCCAAACAGGCGACCAGATCATCACCCGCAGCAAGTCAATCCGCGAATACCTCCACGTGAAGCCCTCAAAGGGCGTGTTTATCGTAGGACAAGAGACACGCCAGGTAAGCCAAGTAGCGCCCTACCAATTCATTCTCGAGCTGCATGATGGCATCTCTGACAGCAAGAGAAATCCGGCAGTTTTACTTTCATCGCCCTCTGCATGAGCTTCTGGGCACCTTTTTCAAGAGGGGCTTGATCTTGGATGCGCTTGAAGAGCCCGGTTTCACGGAAGAGGACGGTGATGCCGACAAGGCGTATGCGACGGCCAACTTCCCTCAGCTGCCGCCCATTCTGTCCTTGCGCCTCAGAAGAGGCCTATAGGTAGGCGATGGACAGTATGTAGCTATACTTGTTATTAGCTATCTATACTAGAGCCTTGTAGCTCATGCCATGTCAAAGGCATCTCCATGGCCTCGTCCCTTCCGATCAGAGATAATGCTCTAGAGCTGCTTTGTATATTTTCATATAGATGCGGGTGATGGAGGGCTGCTCACCATAAAGTTTTCTGTTCAAAGCAATCTTTGGATGCCTTCTGTCAATGCATCCGAATACCCTCCAGCCGTCAAACTGGGCACGCGATCCGGACTCGTAGCCATCTGGAGGAACGCCTCCAAATACCCAGCCCTCTCGAATGTGAGATTCGGCTCATCGCTCTGCAGAATCAAAAACTGCAGCGCACACGGCAACTCCCTTCTCAAAGTCCCCCGCCCATCTCCATCTCTGTTCATATTCACACGCAAGCCAAGATCGATGGCTCCGTGTCTAGCTTCCAAGCGCTGCAGCTGCAAGAGCATAGTCTCCCCGTTCCACAGGTGCGACTCTGCGCCTCCGGTATCCCCGTTCATGATGTCAAAGATGACAAAGAACATGCAGCACAGGATGGCTGGTCGGAGGCTCTCTTGGGAGTCGTCTGTCTCGCGGACGAGTTGCAGGGCACGGCCGTAGTGCCAGAGGGCTTTGCCGTAGTGGTTGGTGCCCATGCCGGCTGCGGACTGGGCGAAGATGAGGATGAGGACGGCCAGGTTTGCGGATTGGACGGCGACGTTGTTCTGGATGAGGAGAGGGACGTTGTGTTGCCAGAAATTGGGGTCAAAAATTGTGCTTTTTGGGAGGCTTGTATGGTGGCTGGTTTGACTGAGGGTTGTGTGCCCGTCTTGGTAGTTTGCGGAAGATCCGGTGTTGGGGAAGATGAAATCTAGATCTGGGCTTGCAGAATCATGTATGTTTGTCGAACCGAGGATGTCTGAAGGCGGTTTGCCTTCCATTGCGTCGGATTTCCCTGTCTCATTGAACGTCTTCCTCGAATAGGTAGTTGGAACGGATGCCTTGACGACGGTATGTTACTCGAAAGCTCTGCAATCTCTCTTGTCGTGTCAGCCCCAGCCCAGTCACCGATGTGCTACTGCATGCAATAACAGAAGAGTGCAGAGTCTCGAGAAGCGCCTTGTGAGAGCATGCCATATGTCTCCAGCTTCTGGGCTCCAAGTGCCGTTCTTCCAAGTACATACATGTAGCAGCGATACTGCCATCATGTCAGCCCCAAACTGACCACCTTTTCCATCTGCCGGGGCCGGCATAGGTCCTCTGGCGATCAATCCCTCCAGAGCCGCGGCATGCAGTCATCATCCTGGTGGTTGTGCGTGCCAAGTATCTCATCATACCTACGGACAGCATGTGTAAGCGCATGCGCGATCGACACCGCGGTTGGATCCCTACCGATATATGACTGTGTGAGCGCCCTCATGATCTGGAAGTAGCCACGATTGCAAGCACTGCGTCGATCAAGCGATCCCAATATACCTACATATAGGTGACATTCACTGCATGATGTTCACAGTCTGGCGTTTACTGGAGAGCGGCCACCTCATTCATCGTCAATCTCGTATACCGCGTTCATTGGCAATGAGACTCTGGGCGACTCGACATGGAATCGAGCCAATGAGACGCATCAATTCGATTGGAGTTTCAGGTGTCCGTCAGACTCCTACTAATACCGCCCTGTTGGTCTTCTGACTACAGATTCTGGGGTAATACCACCGTGGAGTAAGCAAACGTATGGGGTAAGAAGAGTACATACTTGTACCTGTTTACTGCGGCGCCTGGTTCAAAAGTCAGCATCAGTATTGCATGTTTCCTAGGTACTAGATAGCAAAGCTTCTCTCGCAATCTGGGTAAGAAAAAGAGACGATCTACAATGTGAGGACAAAGAGCCATATAATCATCCTGTGGTAAAGCCGTCGTTTTCAGGGTCTATTAAGCTATAACTACAACTCTCATCTGAGAACTAAGGTAATGCAAATGCTAAATGTCTCACTCTTACCAATGTCTCTGTTCTTCTCTAAATCGAACTGCAACCACAACCAAATCACCTCTCCAACAAACGTCCTGTACAGTCTGTACGAATACTCTCAAAAGATGCTGCTGCATCTTGAACCCTCGGCAACCCACACGACGAGCCTCTCCGCCCAACTGCCGGTTTGGTCTCACCGTGACCTCCTCAAGCAGCGGGGTATCTGCAGCACTGTTTTCCAACGGACCAATGGCATATTCTGGGCACTTCTTTAGCAGTTTGAATGACTAGTAGCAGCAGCACCTCACGAGATGAGACACTTTTCTGTGCCTTATTATACGACAGGCTAGTTCTTTTCCTTCTGTTTCTTCTTCTTCTTCTTCTTCTTTTCCCCATCTGTAAGTACCTTACACCATCCAGTACCCGAGACTAAAACAGGGGGGAGAGAGAGCACATCGTACCACGTAGCACAAAGAGCACTTCACCACTCAAACTCACCACCTCGGTCCAGAGACTACTACCAAACCAATCACCACTCACTCAACACCAGACTCGCTCTCTCACCGACCAAACTGATAAACCACCTGCACCCCCCATTGACTCATCCAGCAATCCCACACCCTCACCATGTCAGCCTCGGCCTCAGCCTCATCACCCCCAGCCTCCTCCCTACCCCCCTCCACCTCCCCAACCATCACCCTCACCAACCCAACCCCCAAGGAACGCACCCGCACCTGGCTCTACAACCAGACAGAATGGGGCAACAGCCTCACCGTCCCCGCCTATCTCGAGCGCGAGGAATACCTCCTCTCCATCCCCCTCGCCCGCAACGGCGGCATCACCAACTGGATCCTCACAGACACCTCCTCCTCCTGCTCCCCCGTCAACAACAACAACGACGACGACGACGACGGCGAGCGTCCCGTCCTCGCCGCCTGCGAAACCCTGCGCAAACGCGCCCTTGTTAGGGACCCCGCTGATGGTACGGTGCGCGACGTCTGGGCGTATGGCGTCGCCAGCGTCTTCACCAACAAGGAGTTCCGCGGGAGGGGGTATGCCGGCAAGATGATGGAGCTGCTGAGGGGCTACATGGCCGGCCAGCACCGCGAGACGGGCGAGCCGGCGTTTTCCGTCCTCTTTTCGGACATTGGCAAGCAGTTTTACGCAAAGCACGGCTGGATCCCTCTCGAGAACACGCAGATTGAGTACCGCGTCAGAGAAAACCCTCCGGAACCGGAGCCCTCATCAAGCAGCAGCAGCAGCAGCATTATTACCCTTCTCGGTGACGAGCATATCCCGGAACTCGCAGAGAGGGATGAGGAGCTTCTGCGCAAGGAAATCGCCAAGCCTAACCCTGTGAACCCCTCAAAGGTCAGGGTCGCTGTCATTCCCGACCTGGATGCGTTGCAGTGGCATTTCTATCGCGAGGCCTTCATCTGCAATGCCGCGTTTGGCAGGAAACCCTCTGTCCACGGCGCCTTGTACACTTCCCCCTCGACGGGTTCTCGTGTATGGGCGTGGTTCGAGAGGAATCACTATGGCGGCCCTGAAAAGCCAGAGAAGAACCTCTTGAGCTTCCTCCGCTTCGTCATTGAAGACGAACACATCTCGGATGAAGAGCTGTCTGAGGCAGTCGTGGGCATCTTCCGGGCTGCTGAGAAGGAGGCCAAGGACTGGAAATGCTCAAAGGTCGAGATCTGGAATCCCAACCCCAGAGTCAGGAAGGCTGCCGAGGCCGCCACCGAGTTTCAGACTACCTTTGTCGTAAGACAAGACAAGAACTTGGCCAGTTTGAACTGGTTCGGCGAGGGGTCTGCGCAAGACTTGGACTGGGTTGCCAACGAGAGATTCGAGTGGTGCTAGCACGGAATGCGATTGGATATAGATGTAGAAATACGCTCACAAAGGGAAAAAGGAAATAAAAGTAAAAAGTCCAACATGGAAATGAAATCATACACATCGTTTAGTATTTATCCCTCTGCATCTCTCACCCTGTGAGTCTCAAATCGCCTCGCAAATCACAAGTGGGATACATGAAAGCGCCCTTTTTAACACATCAACTCCTTCTATGCACCATCAACCCGTTCTCGCACTCTAATAGCTTCTGCCAAACATGGTCCAGAACTGTGCCTTGCGCTGGCACTCGGGGTTGAGACATTCCGTCTCGCCGGGAACAATGCCCTCGGGCTGCTCAAAGGGGATACACAGACTCTTCATGCCCATCGAGGGCAGCTTCTGGCTTTCGGGCACGTCGGGCTGGGTGTCCTCGCGAGTCGTGAGCTCCTTGATGCGGTCCTCACACTTGCCGTCGCCGCAGAAGGGGATCAGGACAACGTTCTTGTTGTCCAGAGAGGGGAGAACATCATCCCAGTTGGTGATCTTCAGGCGGTGCTCACGGAACGACTTCTCGGCCTTGGCATACATGTCGGCCTGGATGGTCTCCAGGAGCTCGGGAACCTTGGTGGCGACCTCGGCAATGGGGATGGTGCCCTTCTCGCCCGTGTCTCGGCGCGCCCAGCTCACAACTTCCTTGGCAGCGTCCTTGGGGCCAAACTCAATTCGCAGAGGAACACCCTTGAGCTCCCAGTCGTTGAACTTCCAGGCAGGAGTGTAGCCCTCTCGCCAGTCGGACTCGGCGCGGACGCCAGCCTTGCGCAGGGTATCCCGGATGCCGTCCAGCTGCTCCTCGTGCTTCTTCCTGTCCTCGGGGGTAGTGTTCTTGTTAATGCCAACGGGGATCAGGACGGTCTGAGTCTTGGCAATCCGGGGAGGGAGGACGAGGCCCTTGTCGTCGCCGTGCACCATGATCATGACACCAATGACACGGGTGGACAGACCCCACGAGTTCTGCCAGACGTGGATGTGGGAGCCCTTGTTGGCCGGGTCTTCAACAGTAATGTCGAACATCTTGCTAAAGTTCTGTCCCAGGCAGTGAGACGTGGCGCCCTGGATGCCTCGTCCGTTGGAGGGAATGTAGCCCTCGACGGTGGTGGTGTAGTAGCCACCCGCGAACTTCTCATTCTCCGTCTTGCGTCCCCGGACAACGGGGACAGCCAGGAGTTGCTCGTAGACACCAGCGTACAGCTCCAGGATCTCCAGAACCTCCTTTCCAGCAAGCTCCTCGGTCAGGTGAGCAGTGTGGCCCTCCTGCCAGAGGAACTCTCTCGTTCGCAGGAAGGGGGTTGTCTGCTTGGCCTCCCATCGGACGACCGAGTTCCACTGGTTCAGTCGAAGAGGAAGGTCTCGGTGGCTGCGAATCCACTTGGCGTAGTACGGGTACATGACGGCCTCGGAGGTGGGACGAATCGCAACGGGGACCTCGAGGTCCTTGTCACCACTGGCAGGAGTCAGCACACGCACACAAGTCTCTGTCAACTTCCGAATCATGAAATACGTACGCCTTGGTCACCCAAGCCAGCTCAGGCGCAAAGCCCTCGACGTGATCCTTCTCCTTCTCCAGAGACTTAGATGAGAGGAACATGGGGAAGCTGGTCTCCTCCACGCCCATCAGCTCGATGCGCTCCTGGAACCACTTCCGGATCACGTTCCAGATGTGCATCGACAGCGGGCGCAGGACGAAAAAGCCCGAGATTTCCTGGTAGTACTCGACCATCTCGCCCTTGAGGACGACCTCCTGGTACCAGGCCGGGAAGTTCTCAGCCTTGGTGACGGTGATGCCGATGATGTCGTCCGTCTTCTTGCCGCCCACGACGGGGAGCGCAGCCTGCTTGGCGGCCTTTGCGGCCTTGTCGGCAGCCATCTTGGCCTGCTTCTCGGCCTTCTTGAGGGCGCTCTTGGAGGGCTCCTTGGGCTGGTCGGCGGCGTTCTCCATCGTGTAAATCGTCTTCCGGTCTGCGAGCTGGTGAGTTTGCGGCGACTCTTGTGGATCAGGGACTCCAAGCAGAGGCTTACCTGCTGTTATATGGCCGTTCGTATGACACAGAGCTCGTCCCAGGCGGCAGCGACAACTTCAGGTCTTGACTCACTGTGCAGGGGCGCAAAAGGAAAGATTGGGAGTCAGTCGGCCGGAAAAAAGAGAGTCACGAGAGAGAGTCAATGCCTCCAGTCTCTTGTATCGGGCTGCCCCGCTATCAGTCGTGGCTGTCCCTCACTCACCAGAAAGGAGGGGCACGGCAGGGAAATTTCGACGTCGGGTCCCCTGAGCGGCACCCAATCAGGGCTCGCTGGCGCTGGAACCTCGAGGCCTTGGAGGGGCTGCCAGCGCTGTGGGAGGCGTCGCTCAGGTGCTGCGTGGCTGCTGTCGGGCGGCCCAGGCGCTGTTTCTGGCGGGTGGTGGCCCGTGTCGCAGCGCCGGAGCTGGAACAATCTGTGCTTCCGACAAAAAAGTCGAGGGGCAGCGGGACAAGTGCCGCCATTACATGAGCTGCGAAGCTTGGAGAGGTAAGCCAGGGCCATTATTGCAGACTCAAGGCAGAAGTTGTCGATTCTGGAACCTTCAACCTCCACCACTCCTTTGTCTCGTCGACCTACTCCTGCTTGAACAGTCACAGCAACGGTCAGGCAGATCACACCACAGCTACAGCCATGGCAGCCCTGTTTGAGCAGCCGCGGAACGGCACCCTTTTCCTGGGCGGCCAGAAGATTTCGGGATCCGATATTCGAGACCAAAACGGTGCGTTGGGCTGCTGCCGATGAGTTGGACGGTATCGATGGACTAACGGGCGCAGTGCTGGCGACACAAGCTATTGCCAATGTGGTGAAGAGCTCGTTCGGCCCCAGCGGCCTCGACAAGATGATGGTTGACGACATTGGCGTGAGTACATACACCGACTGCCCCTCGATGGGGACTCTGCAGCTATCCCACCTCCCCCCCTATTTCTTCATTGATGAAGCAACTCGGTATTACATCACGACAGCTTGCTCACACAATTCTGTCACTGCATACAGGACGTTACGGTAACAAACGACGGCGCCACGATCCTCACTCTCCTCGACGTCGAAGACCCCGCCGGAAAGATCCTGGTGGACCTGGCCCAGCAGCAGGACAAGGAGGTTGGCGATGGCACCACATCCGTCGTCCTGATCGCCGCCGAGCTGCTCCGGAGAGGTAACGAGCTGATGAAGAACCGCATCCACCCCACGACCATCATCACCGGCTACCGACTGGCCCTGCGAGAGGCCATCAAGTACCTGAACGAGAACGTCAGCATCAAGGTCGACAACCTCGGCCGGGAATCCCTCCTCAACATTGCCAAGACGTCCATGTCCAGCAAAATCATCGGCGCCGACTCCGACTTCTTTGCCGACCTGGTCGTCGACGCCATCCAGGCCGTCAAGACCACCAACAACAAGAACGAGGCCAAATACCCCGTCAAGGCCGTCAACCTGCTCAAGGCGCACGGAAAGAGCGCTCTCGAGTCCGTCCTGGTCAAGGGCTATGCCTTGAACTGCACAGTTGCTTCTCAGGCCATGCCCACGCGTGTCCAGGATGCCAAGATTGCCCTTCTGGACATGAACTTGCAAAAGGAGAGGATGAAGCTCGGCGTCCAGATCACCGTCGACGACCCCCAGCAGCTCGAGGCCATCCGTGCTCGTGAGTCCGGCATGATCATCGAGAGGGTGGAGATGATTCTCAAGGCTGGCGCCAACGTCATCCTTACCACCAAGGGTATCGACGACATGGTGTTGAAGATGATGGTCGAGAAGGGCGCCATGGGTGTCAGGAGATGCAAGAAGGAGGATCTGAGGCGAATTGCCAAGGCCACCGGCGGTACTCTGCTGAGCACGCTCTCCGACCTCAACGGTGACGAGAAGTTCGACCCCTCATACCTGGGCCATGCCGAAGAGGTCTTCCAGGAGCGCATCTCGGACGACGAGTGCATCCTCATCAAGGGCACCAAGGCCCACTCCTCGGCCTCGGTCATCCTGCGAGGACCCAACGAGTACTCCCTCGACGAGATTGAGCGATCAGTCCACGACTCCCTGTGCGCCGTCAAGCGGACGCTGGAGAGCGGCAGCATCGTCCCCGGCGGCGGCGCCGTCGAGACGGCTCTGCACATCTACCTCGAGGAGTTCGCCGGCACCGTCGGCTCGCGCGAGCAGCTGGCCATTGGCGAGTTCGCCCAGTCCCTGCTCATCATCCCCAAGACGCTCGCCGTCAACGCCGCCAAGGACGCCGCCGAGCTCGTTGCCCAGCTGCGCTCCCGGCACGCCCTGTCACAACGCATCCAGGAGGGCGACGCCAACGAGGACGAGAAGACGATTGCCAAGAAGAAGGGCTACAAGAACTACGGCCTGGACCTCACCAAGGGCCGTGTCGTGGACGAGATCAAGCTCGGCGTGCTGGAGCCCAGCATAAGCAAGGTCCGGCAGCTCAAGAGTGCCGTCGAGGCTTGCATCAGCATCATGCGGATTGACACGCTGATCAAGCTGGATCCGGAGCAGCCCGCCGAGGACGATGGCCACGGACACTGATTGTGGGGATTGGGATGTTCGGTGTGAGATAGACGAAAAGATGTCGTAAAATACTGTACTTCTGTCTATAATTCTTTGGCTACAAGCTGCGTTTCCCCTTTTGCCATACTCATCGTGATGCCCCTCATTGTCCTTTCGTGGTGAAGTGATTGTTATAAGGATATTTTTATTCATACAATGCTGCACATGGCTCACGTCTAAGAAACAAGGGAAGTTGTTGGCGCATCCCATTCCCAGCAAAACATGAGACACGCCGTCTTATCCATATCTTGGTTCCCAACCAAACCCATCCATCGCCTCACCGCACCTCCCATACTCTCCACCAATAGACTTGGCCACCCCCAGAGGAGAAATCTATGCTTTTTGTCGATGTTTTCATCATCCCAAGACGAATTATGTACCTCTTCTTCTCTCACCTTCTCCTTCGGGAGCTGTCCCTCTCGTTCGCCGATTTTGTTTCCGCCCAAGTACTGTTACATCGTCGTGTGCGATAGGACAGTTTCCCCCCCTTTCGTCTCCAAGCGTCTTCACACACACACACACACACACACCTGTCCAGCTCTTTAACCAATCACAAGCTTGCCGTCCTCGGGGAAGTCGTACTCGGGAATCTCAAGGTTGAGAGGCGCAGGGCCCTTGCGTATCCGGCCGGAGATATCGTAGTGGGAGCCGTGGCAGGGGCAGAACCAGCCGCCGTAGTCGCCGGCCTCGCCGATGGGCACACAACCCAGGTGGGTGCAGACGCCGAGCATGACGAGCCACTCGGGGCGCTTGACGCGGTCCTCGTCGGTCTGGGGGTCGCGCAGGGAGGCGACGTTGACCTTGTTGGCCTGCTCGATCTCGTCCTGGGTTCGGTGGCGGATGAAGACGGGCTTGCCGCGCCACTTGATGATGACCTGTATGGGAATATTTGGTTAGTCGTGGGATTTTGGTCCTTTTGGGGCGGGGAGGATGTCGTTCGGGGCGTGTGTGTGCTCACGTTCTTGCCCTCGGGGATGGTGTTCAGGTCGACCTCGACCTTGGCCATGGCCAAGACATCGGCGGAGGCGGACATGTTGACGAGGAACTCTGCAGCAAACCCCACGTTAGCTTCCATGCCATTCGAAAAGGAACACCGTCAATTGCTCCGGCACAGCTCCTCCAATGCCTCAATTGCCCTCCCAGCATCCTCTCCCAGTTCATTCCGAAGACGTCCCCCCATTCCTCTCCTTTACCGCATCGTAACCCCCCCTTCCGATATCCCGCTCTCGGTCAAAACCCACCTTGGACAGTGCTCTTCGCTCCGGCAGCCGTAATCGCACCCATGGTGCCAACCATGAAGTAGCTAAACAGCTTGTTGGTCGTCTCGTTGCCCTTGGTCATGTACTTTCCAAAGTCGGGCACCTGGCTGGCCTTGCTCTCGCCCTTGAGCTTGAACGGGCTGCTGTACGCCGAGGCATCGCCGCCGGCCTGGCAAGCCGCAGTCGAGCTCAGCGCGCGCACGGCGGCGGGCTTGGTGGCGGCCGTGGCCGAGCGCAGGCACAGGCGGGTGGCAGTTGCGAGAGGCGCCATTGGTGCTGTTTGCTGTGGGTTGACGTGTGACGAGAGAGAGAGAGAGAGAGAGGAATCGGGTGCAAGTGAGGTCTTTTCGTCTGCCTTTCCAGCTTTCGGGCTAAGGCTCAGTGGTGATGATTGCCGAAATGTTTTGGGATCCGGTTTTTTGGGGTGGTGGCCTGAGGCTGCCATTTGGTCAGCCAAGGTGGAATTTGCCGGCCGCTGATTCGTCGGCGGCTTCGGCCTCCCGGTCTGTTCCGCTAGAGATCGACTGATGAAAACGAAGAGCTTGTGAACAATTGGAGCTTATGACGGTGATGAATCCAGTGATTAGAAAAAAAATGATCATCATGATGCCAATCACATGGAAATGGAAAATGGAAAGAAGGCAAAGAGTTCAATCTTACTGAGATTTGGACACATCTAATAGCAGGCTAAATCAAGAGCCCCTTCGTCTCTGTGCAATCCATGTCCGTGATAGCTTCATCACATCACCATTCATTCACCATAACTATCGTTTATACATACGTCCTTCATCTACAACCACATCACCCACCCACTTCAATGCATCCTCCTCAGCTCCTCAATCAGGTTCCGCATGTCCTCGACGTTCGGGCCCAGCCCTTCGCAAACCAGCTCTTGCTGGCTCTCGTCCAGGTCTAGGAACCTCTCAATCATCTCGCCGTCTACAAACCGGTAAGGACTCTCGCCCTCTCTCGCCTGGTTCCGGAAAGCCCGCCAAAGGTCAAACGACAGGTTCCCCGGTGTCTGGATGTACCCCTGCAACCGGGATTGGAACGTCATCAGCAGATCCTGGTACTTGGGAGCAATGTCGCCGTACAGATACAGCGTGCCTTCAATCTATTTGTCCAATCGTCAGCTTAAGCTCCCACTCACGAAGCAGTCTAAGAACCACACTTACCGAGCCCAAAAACGCCTTTGGTACCACAACGGCATTCTCACCGGGCGCAACCTGAAGCTTCCGAATTCGATTGATCTGCTCCCCAATGTTGAGCTCGCTGGTAATCTCCAGCTGGCTGCGGTCCTGCTCTGTAGGTGCTTCCTGCCTCTGCCTGAGCACGATGACATTTCCCTGAGCATCTGCCTCGAGCCACCTGGTTTCATCCAGGGCGCAGACTGACGTAGTCCAGGCCTGCTGATAATGACGTGCCTTTTCCTCCAGCTTTGCCATCTTACCATCCTGAGGCGGCGTGAACTCGATGAGCGTGAGGGATTGCATGAGGTCCCCCACACCAATCATGTTTCCAGAAACATCCAGGTCGACTGGAAACGACGCTGGCCGGTATGATGCCACTTTCGTTAAGCTGGCGGCCGTCGACGTTTCTTGGGCGTAGCTGTAAACAACCACCGTCTTGCTCAGCCCGGCGACAATGTAGTCATCCAGCATAGCCAGACAACGACATACCCCCTTCAGATTGTGCGAGGCAATCTGATACAGCTGTCGCGATTCGTCCACGCCGAGGACCACGATTCTTCCCCTCGTCTCTCCTGCTTCGTCTGTGCCAGGATCCGCGACAAAACTTGTGCCAACCAAGAACCTTTCCGTCATGTTGCCGTTGCTATCGGGCAATTCAGCTCGGATCACGCACTCGACTAGCTCCAACGACGCAGAGGCATTCAGCTCAAAAGGCTGCCCCAGCTCCTGGAAAATGATCTCGTCTACCAGCCTGACGGTGCTTGTGACGACCTCTTCGTTTTCCACTAGCTCCTTCTTTATGCATCCCAAGCCAAAGGCCTTCAAGCCTGGCGAATACGCTACGCGACGGACCGTTTCGTGCATTGGGAGTGATTTGACGTGCGTAAGCCTTTCGCTATCAACGTGGCAGATCCTAATGTGCTCATCGGTTGATAGCACGATCGAGTCCGGGAAGGCTTCCGAGTCAAAGGGGGCCACAAATGTCGCATCATCAGCCGTCGTCGCCGAGTAGACAATACGCCCCTCCGAGCTATAAATCAAGCTGGCATGCTCCGTAGTCGCAAACACGTTGCAGATTCCATCCGGCCGAGGCAGAACGTGCAAACGAGCTGGACCGCTTCCCAGCGTGACCGTCTTCCTCCCAGATATTGAGAAGCCCTTGAGAGAGACATTGAAGCTGATGACATTACCATCCTCCAATGCCACGAGCAACGTGGGGCCGGACATGTCAGGCGGGTGTAGCTGAACCAGCGCCACGTCTCTTGGAACCGAAGCACTGTCGTCTGTCTGCCTCAATGATTCGCCGTGGAGTGGCGTCAAAGTCGCGAGATCCACGACTGATATCGTACCGGAAGCCCACCATCCCACGACGCCAAAATCTGGCGGATCGCGAGCCGCATGTATGCAGGAAATTTGATCGGGCTGCCCAGAGACAGGATTCTCCGAGGCGTCTTGTACTACTGCCTTGAGGCCGTCGAGAAGGTTCAGCGAGACCAACAACGACCCATCTATTGACAACAAAGCCCACTTCGTATTGGCAGACGCCGCCGTGATGACCTTACCATCCGGCGATTGCCATGAGCACAATGAAGCCCCGCTTTCGGGATCCAGGAGAGTGACAACTCGAGGGGTTATTTGCAATAGCTGACCGTTGGGCAGGTTGGCAGCCAGAAGAGTTTCCGATTCGAGGTCCATTCCCTGAAACGAGTACACTTCCTCAATACTTTCAGGCTCGAAACGAAGGACTCGAGTTCCAGCAAGTGTGGATACAACAACGGTATCGACTTTTTCTGAGTCCACGGATCGCAGTGTGAAAAGACCTCTGGTGCCTGGAAACTCGTCCAGGAGGCCCCGGTCTTCTAGGCCAACACCACTGCGGATGCTGCGCAGACTTCCATCTTGATAAGCTCCACAGCCAGCCACGATCCTCGCCTGCCCGGATGAAAAGGTGTTGCCTGCCTGTGCGTCTCCCTCTCTGTTCCCCAGATCCATAATGGTAAAGTCCATGATGGGTGCGTTATTCGGTAGGACCTTGAGAAGAGTCATTTGCTGGGTTTCGATGTCGATACGTAACAACTGGGAGTCGCCATGATGTGATCCAATGAAGAGGAGGTTGTTTCCCATATAAACCAAACTGGATGCTCTTGACGTGTATCGGCTCAAATCCTCAAAAGCGAACGGGTGGACTTCCATGCCTGTCACTACCACTCCTGTCGACTCATTGGTGGTCTTGATTTCCAGCATGTCCAAGCGGCCGTAGTCATCGGCCAATAAGTAATGCGTACCATCATACTCGGCCCAGGCAACGTAAATCTTGGGCTCCGCAAGGCTGGAGCACACGCTGGAATATGTGAGACTGTCAAAGTATGTAAGCAGCGTCTCGCCAACCACAAGGAGGCCACCCAAATGTGCCCTGGCTCCCTCATTGTTTCGGACGTGGTATCGCTTTTCTTCGTATACCGGAACAGGTATGAGCATCGATGCATAAGGATCACGAATGACTTCTTCAAAGTCCCTGTTCTTTTGGGGGTCAAACTTGGACGAAACGCCGGGCTTGTCGTCTTCTGTTAGCCGGTAAACAGCGATCCGAGCTTCTTCGCGGTCGAGTTGGTTCTTGTACAGAAAGGCGATTGTCGGGTGGCCGGTTCGACTGTATAGGAACGTGCTCGCCTTCATCCACAGCTCGGTCAACCGGACCTGGTCGAGCCCTTCAAGCTTCGTTGTCAAGCCCTTGCGTATCCGAAGGCGGAAGACGTTGAGCACTCCCTCCCAGAGATGCATGGCCATGAACTTGCCCGTGGGGTCAACCAAACACCTGTTCTGGCTCTGCGATTGCCGCATATAGGGCTCAGCTGTGTCCTCTATTGTCTGCTCAACGGCATCAAGCTGGTTTGTTTCGGGGTTCCAGGCTAGGTTGAAGTATTGCAGCCTGTCGGTACCGATAAAGAGAAGGTCTGTGGCAGAGTCCTTGGGTTGCAGTCGCTGGAGCATGTCTATAGTGCCGTGGATGACCTTTGTGTGGAGGCACGTCATGCCTTCTTCGTGAACTCGCCATATCTCTAGTCGGTTTGCTTTCCTGTGCGTCGAGACGGGTTAGCACGTTGTGCGTAGACTATTAGATAGCTTAGAGACACTCACGCAACGACCAAGTCCTCGATATCCGGCGACAGGAACCGGATGCGCAGGGCGTGCCTGATGCTCGTGGGCTTGTGGACCGGCGCGACGTATGCCATTATGAAGGGAGGGTTGCTAGCCAAAGAGAGAGCGGTGTCGTCGGCTCGATGCTGCTTCGGCACAGGTTGACGGGCTACATGGAATGGTGAGATTGCCCCAGGATGAAGCTTCCAAGAGGCATTGCGTCAAGGCAAGCATCGCGGCAGAGCTGATGTCGGGTCGGGTGCTTACCACTTATCGGAGATAGCGCTGGGCGATATGTCAGCGGCTTCTATCACCCTAGATTGGGGGGCTTTGGAGTCGTTTGGCGGGGCGGCAAGCCACTTCCAGCGGGGTGGTGCCCTGTATCAGCGCTACCGGCCAGGGGATGATGCCTGCCTGAGCAGGTGTGATGTGCATAAAGCGAGCCTCCATGTCGATTTAGAGCTTCAACTTTACAGGGTATGTTGACGTTGAGAGGAGATATTCCAGCTGTTTGTTCATTCTGCAAACATTTGATGGAAACATGTATATCTACTACCTAGTAGTAAGTACCTACACTGCATCAAGTGTCACGAGCGCAAGCACCATCGATACCGGTTCCTTCCCATTATGTCATGCTTGCTCTTTCCTTACTCGTCGAGGATCATTGGCCATGACAACTTCAATTGTGACGAGCGATGAAAATCACCATCAATTTCGCCCTCTTGTCCCTTTCGATACCGCAGACCAGTGCATATCCTCATTGCTAACAACGAGCATGAATACACGTCGATACCCAGCATGACGCAACCGCCTGACCGATCTATAGCAAGGATAGAAACCGCAGACGAATACGGCCGTCGAGAGCAATGCTTCATCAATCATAGACGGCATCCCTACACCTTTCAGTCTCATATATCAAGCATCCAGAGCACTAAACAGGCTGTTGAGAAAGACGGATTGGTAGCCCAGCCGGGTCTCAGAATAGCGGCTCTCCCAACCCGGCAATTGGCTGAAGAGATACTGGATCAGGATCAATGCCACAGCAATGACCTCGAGAGATTTCTGGAGAGTCCGCCGTCGGGACTCTCTTTCCGCTACTCTGGCAATTCTCTCAAAGACCTTCATCTTCCTGTTGGTGAACTGGACCTGGGCTCTTGCCCTGAGAAAGACCTCCAATACTACTTGCAAGAAGCTCGAGCCCTGAGGAACAGAAACCCCTTTCAAGAATGGCTCCCATTGGCTCAGACAAGAACTGAGAGAGACGAAGGGCTGGAATTTCCGCTTGAACTGGAGCGGCTGTGGGCACAGCTGAACCGGGAGTTTGACATGGACAGACCAGTCTTATCCGAATCTGCGGCGGATCTTGTGAGAGAACAAAACAGATCACTGTCAACGTTTGAATGCAGGGAACTACTCACTGAACCAACGAACATCAAGCCCGTTAGTAGCTTCCACTCTTTTACTGTGGTTATATGCCATAACTGACGAATATTCAGTACCAGTACAGCTGTCTGGACCCCATCTCGCCTCCCCTGTCTCCGGTATCTGACGATGCTGAACCATTCATTCCCGATGGGGGTGCGGCAGTGATTGATCTTTCTTCCGAGCCAAGCACGCCTAGACGGTCCTTCGTCGAGGCTATTGAACGCATTCTTGACTCTGATCCTGTCGTTTCTTCCACTTTCATGACTTCGCCTTCCACTGGTGATCTGCCTCGACTCATTCAAGCGTGCCACTCCGTGATTCAAGAAGCTAAAACCGAAGCGCCTGTCGTCTCTAACAACTCAGATGCTCCAAGTGACGAGAATGCCATCGCCGACATCCGCCTACCTCTAATAGGTGACACTGACGAAACAGCCCTCAGCCTGCTCGAGGAAAAGGGACAGTTTGAAGATGCGTTCGAGACACTACTCCAGGACAGACAGTATTATGCCAATCAGTTGGTAAACCAAGAGCGTTTCGATCTGGTGGATTCGGCATGTCGTATTCCCGTTCCTCTGCTCGATTTCGAAATTTCTCCCCCTGAATGGACTATTGGGCACCTCACTGCGAAGATGCAATTCATGTTCCTGAGAAATGGTGCTCCCGATACCTTCAAACTCTCGCCTGTCCCAAGGGATCCGCGCTCCGAAATATCACTTCGATGGGCCTTTTTCCCACCTCAGAAAGGGCAGCCAATGCTGGATGATGAACTTGCGATGCCGGATGCTACACTAGCAAAATATCTTTCTGATGAGGAGACAACTCACCTGAGCAGTCGCGACTTCGTCTCCATCAACCAGGACCTGGAAGTCTTCCGCCCCCAAGAAGACGAAGAAATAGAAGAGATATTTTCACAAGATGTTGAATCAGATGAAGACTCTCTTGCTGAGTACGCCCAGCCAACTGAGAGCCTGACTGGGACCATCTCGGTACACAGCAACGTATCAAACGACACTCTAACCCGAGACTCGCCTGATCTCAATCGCCCAGCCCGTAGGAAGCTTGACGATGATGCCCAAAGACTTTTACCTAAATCGTACGATACGAGTGCTACGAGTATACTCCTCCATAACTTTATGGAGCTAAGGGGCATAAAGCGACCTCGTCTCAACACTCAGCCTCCTGCAGCGAGTCAGCCTGGGGATGCCTCACCATCTAAGCTTGCCAAAGGACTACCGGGGAGCAACAATTATAAAGCAACACTCCCCGAAGTAGTCAAGGAGATGCCCCCGGCGCCAGCTCCTCAATTCGAGCTTCCTTCAGAAAAGGCTTCCATCATCATTTCGGTCGATCTCCCAAGGCAGATATTGAGGAAAATGGAGAGTTCATGGACCCCGGAGAAATTGATCGACATGGATTACTCTCGCCACAACACCCAGAACTGGCCGCCAGGTGCTTCTCGTCCTAAGGAGGTCATGTCCCCCTTGAGCTTCGAAGCAGACATATCCCTATCACCAAGCACAGGGATCGTCATCACGAATATCCTCAAAGTGAGACAGCGCCCTCTACCAGGCTCCCAACTTCCAGCTCCACTACGAGAACGCGTACAGAAAGTCAGCGAGAGATACGAAACCCTCATCGTCCTAGTCTCAGAGTCAAACTCCCAAGGTGAAGTCATGGGAACATTAGCACCGTTAGATGCAGCAGCTTATGCAGACTTTGTAAATTTTGCAGTCGCACTCGATGGGGATGTGGTTGTACAGTTTGTCCCGGGGGCGACGGGCACGATAGCTTCGTGGATTTTGGCCTACATGTGTCGATATTCCTCGCAGTGTGTAGCATTATCGAGGTTCTTGACGTCGGAAGAGACGCCGTGGGAACTGTTGCTTAGACGGGCTGGCATGAATGTGTTTGCTGCCAAGGTTCTGTCAAAGATGCTCTTTCAGCAGGCTGGGCAGTCGGGATTGGCTGCGTTCGTCAACATGCCGGCTCGTGAACGGGTGACGAGATATGGAGCTCTGCTTGGCGGAGAAAAGGTGTTGCTGATGACGGGGAAGGTATTGGATCGGAGATGGGGAGACTGATCTCTTTACCATATCCTTTAGATCTCTGAGAAAGCTAAGCGGGGACAGGTGATTTGAGATATGTGAACGGATTGAGATGGAATGTATATATTGTCTCCCCATATGTCGTCTATTCCCCTAGCTGTATTAAATGAATGACTGCAAATGCGTTTAGAATAATTTATCGGAGAATTGAACACCACTTCTGGCAGCTTGTGAGCTCTGTTTGCCCCAAATCTTCAAAGGGTTCGTGCCGTCAAGGCACTCATCGATGAACTCAGCAAATCTCCCACAAAGGTCGTGGCAGCTGGTTCATTGGAGCATGACCCTTTTGCAATCGCGGCATCTGCTTCAAGCCGATATACACCACCCTCTGGGCGTTGGCCAGGGTGACCGACCGCGACGTCAGGCCGTAGTAGTCCGAGATGGCATGTGTAAGCCACCGCCTAGAGGAGAATACCAGGTTAGTATTCTCCGATGTCACATTAGGGTATCACAGAAAAGGGGGTTCGTACTTGTAGGCAGCGCTCTCATCATCGCCAAAAGAATCAAACAACAGCCCCGAGTCAACAGTCTCCTGCGACACCTCTCGGTGCGCGGTCCTGTATCTCGCTGCCGTTGCCGCGGCAGCTGCCCTCTTCTGTTGCAGGTCCCTCATTCTACCGTTGCGGCCCACAAAGACAATCTCCTCATCATCAGAGTCCATCTCCTCCGCCGCGCTATCAGCATCCTCATCGTCCTCAGCCTGACGTTTCCGCCGCTCGTCAACCATGTACTGCCGCACAGGCTCTTCCAGGGCCTTGACCCAGGTGCGGATGACGGGGCTGCGCTTGGTCGACTCTCGCAGGTCGCGCGGCACTTCGCCGACGCCGAGGCCCGTTGCGCTGCCCGACTTGAGCTGCTGCTTCTTGCGCGCGGCCTGGAGCTTGGCCGTCTTGTCCTGGACGCGCTGGCGCACGCCGTGGTCCCAGAACTGGGCGAGCTGGTAGGGCACGCGGTGGATGGGATGCGTCGGGTGGACTTCCCAGTCTGCGGGCTCTGGAGGCTGGACGTTGGGGACGCCCACGAGACGATCTGTTTGTTACGCGGGAAAGCAAAAGTTTCCCCTCATTCATCAGCGAACCCGCGCATCATGACAAGATTTGGAACACAATGACATGTCCGGTAAAGGTAGTAGTGGTTCAATACCGTTCTCCCATCGCCGACGCTGCCGGCTTCCTTCCTTGCCCTTGAGGAGGGCCTCTCTGCGCTTCTGGCTGTCCCGGGCCGACGGCGGCCTGCGCGGGGGAGAAACGACGGTGACCTGGACCTCCTCGGAAGAGGTTGCAATGGTGACCTGCTGGCGGCTGGCGGAGCGCTTGGAGGGCCCTGCGAGGGCGTCGAGGGGGATGGACAGGGGGCTTCCGGTGCCGCGGGCAATGGGCGAGACACTGAGGGATTGAAGGGCCGATATGGTCCAAGCCTCGATGTCGATGGCGGTGCCGGATGCCGGTGTCGACGGATAGATGATGTTTGCCGTCGACTGGCTGGGGGCAGGGGATTCGGGAGGAGGCGGGACAGCGCTGTAGATGGCCATGGTGGTGATGATGCTGCTTGATGCGATCTTTTTCTCGGCACAATGTCGAGCCAATCGAGACGTGATCGAGATGGGGTGCACCTGTTTATCAGCCAGAAGCACACGGAATGCCGCTCTGTATCGGACGAGGCCCTGTTCAGGGGGGGGAGAGATGGAGATGCGGAGGAGAGGCAGATGCGATGAACAAGGCAGCGGCTCAGCAGTGCGTTATCCTTCCTTATCTGGTTGACCATTTGCTCCGTCCGTCTGCATGGCCAGGCATCGCGTCTTTCGGACACAGTGTGGCTCTTGTGCTATCTTTGGCCAATCACGTCTCGAGCGCAAGGCATGAGGAAAGATTTGATGGCCTGTGGCGGAGGTTCGTCGCGGACAATTCGCGCGTAAAGTGGTCGTTTGGTGAGGAGGGCCGATGTATTGGCACTGCGTATGGCTGATGCGTATTACCATGGGAACCTCTATTGTTAGCTTATGGGTATAGGTACTAGAAGCTCACATGCCTCTTGCTCATGGTCTTGATGCTGTGTTTTGACTTGGGATCTCATTCTAAGACTCTATCACATGATGTCTTGATGTTGCATCCGACTGCTGGTTGACCATATTCCGGTCTGCTTCAATGCCTTTGACATGACCCGACTCCACATGCAACTTGTCGTGCTCCATCCCTGTACTGTCATCGATGACTCACGAAAGACTCATTGTAATTGCAGAAGCCGTAAGCTACCTACCTTATATGCTGTAGGCTACCTCATATGCTGTAGGCTACCTTAGAGGACCCCATACATGCCTTACATACCTAGTTGTAGGTGAGGTACTTTACATGACGGTGCGAAAAAACATAGGTCGACCTTCCAAGTGCACCTATTTCTCTTCAAGCCGGTCTTGGTATGGATACCGCGGGCACGAGTATAGAGCTGCCTGCTACGACCATAGCTAGCCTTGTCGTATCGATAGCTTTAAAAGCAAACCGTCCTATCTTTCATGTGCGTAGTACAGCATATGCCCGAGACGACTAATGTCAGGACGTCCCTCTGGAGGCCGATTGGTAGCTGGAATTTCAGCCTCAGATGTGGCGGGGAAACCATTCTTATGATGCCATACTTGATAGTTTACGTCGTCTGCCCATACCGAAGGCTATGATTGTACGCAAGGCCACGACATCATGGTACCTATTTCGAGAAGTGTGGAGGAAGACGTAATAAGGTAGGTTGAACGGCAATGAAATGCACTGCATGACAGCGATTGTATACCTACACTCTGGCATGGCATGGCAGTTTCTCTTATGTTAGGCTGCCATCAACCAGCCAACTTCTGACTGCTCTTATCCTTTACAGTTGGCATCATCGGCAGCATAGTTGGGCCTCAAGGATAGGACACGACTGGGTACTTGACGGTTCTCTGCTTTTTTGCAAGCTCCCTTACATGAGGGAGCCCTGTAGCCCGAGCTGAGCCGCGTCTTGAGATCAATGTCTGTTCTCAAGGGCAAGAAAACGAGATCAAAACCACACACCGAAACTTACATCTCTTGATCACAACAGAGCCTTTGAAACCCTGTTATTGACACCAAATGCGAGACTGAAGCTAACTTGTCAACCCAATTCGTTGTAATCAAGATCGCAAGATCTACCTACCTAAAGCAGATCTACCTTACCTAGCAATCTACTACTAGGTACCGGCTGGCGGCGAGTGGGGTTACGCGCATCAAGCACTTTGACAGCCAAGCTGGAGGGGCACGACATTTTCAACGCCAGGGCAGCTTACACTCAAGCTTCTCTCAACATCTTCAGTAGCAGCACCACCGTGACCACGCAAGAAACCATGGCCTTGCCTCTCCCATTGGGCCTGGTGCCCTCAGAGGTGGCCTTCCTATGCGAAATGGAGCTCGTGACTGTCGTTCCCCGGCAGCGTCTCGACAGCATTGAGCTTCTCTCTGTCAGCCATTCCAACCCCAGCCCTTTATCTGCATCTACCTCTGGATTGTGTCTGCTAATCTTGAGCAAATAAACAGGGCTCGACTCCCAAGCTCCGCCCGCCATACAGAGCCGATCTGCCACTATGGCTCGCACTCCTCCTCAAGAAGCAGCGCCGCGCCAACATTGTCCCCCCGGCATGGCTCCATCCCGACTCCCTCCGCGAAATTGTAAACTACGAGACGGCTGTCGACGTCAAGGACTGGGCGCCTCCTCCTCCGCCGCCAGTAAGAGCCGACAGCAGAGGAAACTCTAGACGATTCAACGCCTCCGACAACGACATCGTCCTGTCGCCGCCCTTCCTGCCGTCCTGCACCGCTACAGCGCCCGCAAGCGCCCTGCCGTACCACTGGTTCGAATTCGCCGAGATGCTCCTCGCCCACGCAAGCGACGATGTCCCGTCTGCCTCGGAAGTGCGCTCCCTCCTGAGAGACCTGCAGGAGGCTCGAGCCGCCAAGATGAGAGCCAAGATTACACACCCTGATAGTCACGGCGAGGGCGTCACCAGCCTCCGTGGCGTGGGGGCCATGGAGCTGGCCGAGAGCAGAGGCTTTGTTGTTGGCGTGGCCGAAGGCATACGAAAGATTGGCGCAAGCGCTGAGACCACACGGCGCGATGAGGAGGAGGAACATGGCCATGACATGGACGACGATCTCAGCGACGATGACATGGGACTTTAGAAGAAGAAAAGGCTCGACATGATCAATTGCCCGACAGCAGCCACGAGATGGAGCCGGCCAAAGCCATACATCGCCGCGCTCGCCGAAACCGCCAGCAAATCGAGCCCTGATGTAAGATGAGATCGAGACATGTGCAAGTGTCTATCGGGCTTCAATATCCGGCACTGTCTCTATCTGACACATTGAAGCCGTTCTCAAACCCGGCTGAAATATCCATGGAACCCTCGATCGACGCGAGATCGTCAGCTTCCCAAGCCACAGTTCCTTCAACAACAACCTGTTCAAGCGTTCCAAATCTATCCAGTACGATGCACGAAGATGGTCAATCGATTGAAACTGTAGGCACGAGATCGACACTGCGGTGTTCCGAGGCCGGTCGATTATTGGCTATTGCTTGGCTTCATCGCTGGCGTCAGTCTGCGTGATGGGAAATCATTCATTGACGGCAATGGACTCATATTTACCGAGAATGAGACGGAGCACGTCATTCTATCCATCCCAAGTTGACGTGCATATCAAGCCCGAGCTTTGCCGAAAAGGCAAACACTGGCGCTCTCATCGGAACCATCCAGGTTCAAGCTCGATGGCGTTCACAATCCGCCTTGATAGTCCCGGCGTCAGAGTCAAGAATAGGGTTCTGCTGCGCCCCAGGACCGTCATCAAAGCTCGCTACCATGTTCCGTGGTGTCGTCCACTCCGAGTCATCCCAGCCGAGCGGCTCACTGCCTTCACGCCATCGAGTTCGGCCCCGACGCTCTTGCGGTTCCGAATGTTGCTGCCTCTCGTTGGATATCTGAAAGTATGACTGGTTGTCCGTTGCCAAGCCACCGCTGGCGCCAGGCTGAGTGTTCGTCGTCGTCAGGTCCGCGCCGATATCGTCGCCAGCGGTGCTGTCTTGCCCATACGAAAGCACACCGAAACCCTCACAGAGGCGCTTTGGCGGTAGACCATTTGCCATGGAATACGTCTCATCATCCTGAAAAGGTCGCTTTCTGCAGCCTTCCGGCGCGGCAACGGCTCCCATAGTGCCGAACATTTCTCTGTGAGGATCGAGAAAATAATATCTTAAAACAAACAGCGAGATATCGAATCAGTTTCCAAAGAAGCAGAAGAATAAATTTGTTTGTCCGTTCGAATATCTTTGATGGAAGAGAAGAAGAAAGAGAAAGAAGGAGAAGAAGAGGAAACCCGGAACGCAAACACGACGAAGTTGAGAACTCACAGGGCGAAAGAAGGAGAGAAAGAAGGCAGGATGAAAGACGGAGGGGAAGAAGGGAAGAGAAGAACAAAAAGCTACCTACCTTTGCGGCCGTCGCTTCGAACCTTGCACCCGCCACACAAAGACCGGACCTGCTTCTGCTCTTTGTTGCTTTGCTGAAAGAGGGTTTACTCCCTACCTAGGTACCCTTCTATCCTTTCTTGTCTCTTGTCTCTCTCTCTCTCTTTTTCTTTTCTCCGCCCTCTTTCTTTGAAGCCTTCAACTCTCTTTCTGTTCATGTGCGAGTCGCTGGGCTATGCTTTGACTTTTTTTTTCCCTACCGGCGGCTTTTCTGCTTTTGAGGCTTTCTCAATAGGCGAGACTCTCGTCCTGACTACCTACCTACCTATGGTGGATGGAGACGGGCGTTCGCGTTGCCGGTTCCATGCCAACTGGCCTTGCCAGCTGCCACCGTTTGTCTTGCTGCATTGCGGCGAGGGACGGCTGCTTTGCCGGCCCGTTTTGACAGACCTTTGCTTCCCAAGAATCCTTTCGTCTCAAACTCGGACGAGTCTATGTAACACCAGACGCATACTCTGCTTGAATCGGAGACTTTGAGAGCCTGGCGGCACGATTCATTCTTTCGCCGCCTTTCACGGATACATTGAGAGGGGGTATTATCTCACAGACGCTCGAAGAGGAGCTGTTTCATCAAAAGATTGGATAGTTATAATTCTAATTCTAGCAATGCTTAAGCTACCTTACAAGAAGCTCCATCACTTCTCGCACCAACAACGGACGACTGGTATCATGCTATTTACAGTTCTGAGGGCTCATCACGGGCTGAGGAAAAGTCGTGGTACGCCAGCTCGTACACCAAGCCCAAGGTCATCTTGGCATGCTCAAGCATGTGGTCAAACGACAGATACTTGATCAGGTCTTCAGTGCCGTGGATGTGCTGGTCCGAGTTCTCAAATGCCGACTCAATAACAAAGGCAGAAGGGTAACCGGCCTTGGAGGCAGAGGCGTGGTCAGAGCAAGCATAGCCGCACTTGGTCTCGACCCAAGGGATGCTGCAGTACTATAGACAATATTAGCGATTTGTGGAGGAATTGAGAAAAAAGGCCCTATATGCTTTGAACGACCTACCTCCTCGATAACCTTCTTGATAAAGGCAGTAAGGCCAGGATCAACGTAGTCGGTGATAACGCCCACGCTCACTGGCTTGCCCGCGTCAATGGTCCCCTGAGCGTAGCCCGTCATGTCCTGCTGCAGCATGGCCTTGACGTCGCGGCCCGCCTTCTCGTACGCCTGGAAGATGGCCTGGCTGCCCAAGAGCCCGGCCTCCTCGGCGCTGTACCAGTGAAACTCGACCGTGTTCCTAGCAGAGCCGCCAACGACGTCCTTGTCTCCGAGCAGCGTGCGGAAGACTTCCAGGATGGTGACGGTGCCACTGCCGTCGTCGTCGGCGCCAGGAGCCGCGAGGATAGCGGGCAACCACAGATTGATGGAATCCTGGTGCGCACCGATGACGACGGTGGTGTTGCTCTTGCCGGGGATGCGCGCAATGACGGAGCTCTGCGGCCACGAGTGGGCAAAGGGGCTCGCCGTGACGGTGTCGCTGGCGCCGGCGTCCTTGATGATCTGGTTGACCTTGTCCAGCACCCACTCGGACGACTGGCGGCCGTAGTCGGACTTGTAGTATCGGGTGTGGAAGCTCGTCAGCTTCTCGAGGTTCTTGAGCATCTCGTCCTTTGACAGGTTGCCGGCGAGCTGGCCGACCTCCTTCTGCTTGACGCACTTGTCGGGGAACTGGACGGTGGCAGCCCGGAACTGGGCGCGCAGGGAGCCGAGGTCTCGCGTGTCGGTGATGTCCATGAAGCGTTGGCCGTTCTGTATTGGATTGATAAGTCCGTCGAGATCAGCTTGAGGCCGTTCATACCGAAGGCTACCTAGGAAGCCCGGAGGGAAAAAAACGTACACGTCTGAGATCCCACTTGTCCTCCTCGGTCACCCATTGCGTCTCGCCGGGGCCCAGCTCGATGAGGTACTTGGCCGGCTCCTCGAGAATAACATGGTCGCCCTCGTTCTCCGCCACGAAGCGGCCGCTGACGAGGGCTGCAGGCAAGGCCGCCACAAGAGAGGTCTGTAGGAATTTCATGGTGGCGAGGCGATGAGAATCTGATGGGGACTAAGCCTGCTTGATTCGGCTGATGCTGTAGATGGGCAGGATAGAGAGTGAGTGTGATGGAGAGATGGCGAGATGGAGAGTGACGGTGACAGGAGTAAGATCAGAAAGAGAGACAGAGAGACCTACTAGGTAGGACGGGATGAGTGACGAGATCAGGTACCTGATAAGGTCACGGATCTCCACTGATTTACAGGGGGCTGGGCCTGATGTTTGGGGTCGGATCTGCCTAGCCGTAACCGGTAGTGCAGCATGATGCAGCATGGAGAGCCTGGAGAAGACGCGATTGGACAGTCATGATTCGGTCAACACGGCCATGTGACGGACGACTCAACTCATGCTAGACAGTGCATCGCTTAATACATATATCTCGGCATTGCTGTATCTGTGACATTATGCTGCACAGTGATATTGCTCTATATGCATGTGAGAATGCTTTGTTGAAGAAGAATCTGCTTGGATGGTACCGCGCTGAGCTGCCATAAAATGGTGAAGATCATACAAGGGGCTACCTAAATACCATCCAAATCTAAGCGGTACAACTGAGGCAGCAATATGCCCAAATTCCACGAACCCACAGCCAGACGCCATAATAATTTTTTGATCCATATCCTTCTAGCTTATGAGAAATCCATTCAAATGTCCATCGCCTCATTGCTGAGGTGGCGGGGGAGGCGGCGGAACTTGGCCGTTCCATCCCGTCTGCCCGCTCTGTGCCTGGATCTGGCTCATCAACGCCGCAAAGAACGCAGGATTCACAAAGCTTCCTGCGCTGGAGGCTTGACCCTGTCCTTGAGCAGACCCAGGCCAGCCTGGCGGGGGCGGCGGCACCCCAGAGGGCATTGGCTGCTGCCAGTTGGAAAGGGGAAAGCCAAACTGAGGAAGAGACGGCGCGGGTGCGGAGTTGGGAGGTGGGATCGGGTTGAAGTTCCACGAGCTGCTGGCGGGTGCGGGTGCTGAAGGATTCTGGGCGCCCTGAGGAGGGAGAGAATACCCATCCCTGGGCTGGTTATAGCCTCCTCGGCCACCACGGCCCGCGCCCCTTCCGCGGCCACCTCTGCCCCGAGAGTCTCCTCTCCGACCTCCCCGAGAAAAGCTTGACCGAGGAGGAGGCTCACGACTCTCAGTTGATGGGGCGCCCGTACCGTAACCGGCAGGCCGTGCCAGCGGCTTGTACGGGCCATCGTCTTCCTCGTCATAATTCAAGCTGCCGTCCGCGGACATCTCCTGACGCAACGGATGGGCCTGCTTCCCTTCCTTTCCACCACCATTCTTCCACTTGTCCTTTTTCTTCTGCTTCAGCGATCGCTTGTACTCTGCTTCTTTTTCGTCGTCTGAAAATTCTATTTCCTCGTCGCCAATCTCCTCATCGTGCAAGTTGCTGGCGTCTGAGCCCTTGAGGTTCTTCAGAGGTTCTGTGAAGACGTACGATGCGTGATCGACGGGATAGAATATCTTTGTTCCGACCTCCAGTCCCAGCTCCTTGATTTCTTCTGCCGTGTTGAACGTGACTGTGTACATCGGCTGCTGGACCTTGCCAATTGTCTCAGCAACAACTCCAATGACAACCCGCTCTGAGTTGCACAAGATAGATCCGCTATCCAAGACTTGGTATTCTCCTGGAGTGAAAGCCTTGACGAGCATAATGTTTTCCACAATCTGCTCGACAACGCCCAGTTCGTCTATCTTCATCTCGGGAGTAATCGTCACGTCTGGTCGGGGGATGACCTCTTCGGGAAGCTCATTCTTGGTCCGTACGTAGCCGGAGGCGGACTTTCCTTTGTCGCCTTCGTCATCAGAACCGCCCTCCATCTCCATGAGAAGCCGTGCTGTCTCTTCGATGCCCAAAGGCTCATAGCCTCCATTGTCCGAGTCATCGTCATCCGACGAATCGGAACTGCTAGAGTCTGATGACTCGTATGGGGAGGAATCAATCTCCCATTCAGGGTTCTCGCTTTCGTCAGGTTGTAAAGGAGCCGGCTCCGCGTCGGGCTGGGGCGCTTGTCGGGGTGTCTCGCCGTTATCGAGGCCACCGAGGGCCGCTTCGAGGGCGTGTGTTACAGACGGCGGGCTTCCGGCTTGGTCCATTGGCATAGAATCTGACATGTTATGGTCGACTGGAGCTTCGGGAACAGTCTTGACGGATGCATTCTGGCCTTCTGTCGTAGATGGCGCCGTCTGAGGCTGGAGTTGGTTCACATCCAGCATCTCTCTATCATCTTCGGCAGCGCTCGCAGCGGCAACTGCAAGATCAGCTGGAAGCGGCGGTAAGACTTCGTTGGGCTTTGCCTGGCCTAGTCCAGGTATCTGAAAACCCGACATCGTGGGTCGATAGTATGTGCGATTTGGCGGAGGTCCGGCGCTGTTCAAAGGCGCCTCTTGGTGAGAGACTTGAACTGCCCCAATGTCGTGTTGAACTATTGAACTATTTGGCAGTGATAATGCTAAATGCAAAATGCAAGATAAAGAGAGGAATGATTCGAGTCCAAGCCTCCAAAGAACAAGAAATTGACGTGTAGATAGTGCTGAGATTTTCTTGCAGAATGCGATGGCGAAGAAATGCTCTGCAGCCGATAAGAAAAAAAAAAGAGAGCGAAGCACTGGCAGAATCGCTTTGCGGGCGGGAGATGGGGCCAGCCATGCCGAATCCGGAAAGGCTCGCCGCATTTCAGTGGTCGACAGTGAGCACTTACAGGCACCTGCAGTGGGAAGCAAAGGCGGTGACGAAATTGCTGGTCAAAATGCCCGGTGAAGATAAGAAGTGGATGCGCAACCCATGCTGCTCCGTCCTCACCGACGCTCACCGGGACTCAACAAGCCTCACCGCCATCCTCTTAAAGCTGTGGTGGATCTCGACCCCAACAACACACAACCTCAGCTGCGCATCTCTCCAACCGCCACCAAACTGTTGCATCCGCGACGATGGCGCCCAGAGTCTCTTCCAGAGCCGCTGCTCCGAAGGCCACTGCGCCTAAAGCTGCTGCGGCACCGGCACCAAAGAAGACGGCCGCTACTCCCGCGCCGTTTGAGCATCCAGCCGCCAGCCATGCAAAGAAAAAGTATGTCTCACCACAATGACCCAGAGCCCGGCTGCTGATTTGTGTTGTGTCCTCTGAACTGCAAGGCGGCCAAGCGCATATGGCATGAAGCCCATATCCGCCTTTTACCTCTTTTTCGGCGCCAACTTGATCGCGGCCTTGTTTGCGCCAATCCAGGATTGCGACGAGACGTTCAACTACTGGGAACCCACCCATTATCTCTCACATGGCTATGGCCTGCAGACATGGGAGTATTCCCCGGACTACGCCATCCGAAGCTGGCTCTACATTGCGCTTCATGCCATTGTGGGAAACATTCGCAGGATACTGCCCCAATCGAGCAAGGTGAGCATCGCAGCGTTTGCTAAAGTGCGCCTCTTGAGCCGCTGGCTTACTTTCCTTCAGGTTGCTGAGTTCTACTTCATTCGCTATGGTCTGGCGCTCCTTTGCGCCATCTGCCAAACCATCATGTTTCAAAGCATCAGTCTAGCCCTCAATGCTAGGATTGGTGTCCTCTTCGTCATCGCCACCATCGTCAGCCCCGGAAACTTTCATGCGAGTGCCTCCTTCTTGCCTTCTAGCTTCGCCATGTATATGGCCATGCTTGGCGCTGCGTCGTTTATGAACTGGCGGGGCGGTCTCAAGACCTGGCAAGGTATGGCCTGGTTCGCCGTGGCCGGCATCCTTGGTTGGCCATTTGCCGCCGCCCTTTGTGCTCCGTACCTCCTCGAGGAGTTCATCCTGGTGCTGTTTAGCGATAGGAGCTCTCTTATCGAAGCTCTGATACGATTTGTCCGTGGTGTCATCGCTGCTTTCTTGGTCTTGGTAGGTGGTCTCATTGCTTGTATAAGTGACTGTCATACACTGACATCGGCTAGGGCTTCGATTTTACCATCAATCTTTTCTTTTACAAGAAATCGGTAGTCGTTGCATGGAACATTGTAAAATACAACATCTTCTCCAAGACAGGCGGACCGGACCTTTACGGCACCGAACCCTGGACATTCTACTTCAAAAATCTGGCACTGAACTTCAACATCTGGTTCATCCTTGCCCTTCTGGTGCTGCCATTGTTCATCCTACAGAAAACATTCTCCTCGACTTCGCAAAGTCTGGCCAGCGGATTACGCACCATTGTCTTCATCGCCCCCTTTTACATGTGGCTGGGTATCTTCACTGCGCAGCCACACAAGGAAGAGAGATTCATATACCCGGCGTACCCTTTCCTTGCTCTCAATGCCGCGATATCGGTACACATTATCCTCTACGCTCTCGGAACCTCAGATGCCAAGACGTTTGTCGGAAAGATTCCAGGCCGCCTCAAGCTGCTCGTTGTCGGTCTCACGTTTCTTCTGTCTGTCAGTGTTTCCCTTGCGCGCATTTACGGCATTTACTCTGCCTACTCGGCCCCCCTCAAAATTTACTCGCCTCTCTGGGGAGATGGGTCAGGAAACACCTTTGGGGCAGAAGAAGACAATGTCTGCTTCGGGAAGGAGTGGTATCGCTTCCCAACATCCTACTTCCTCCCTCGCAATATGCATGCCAAGTTCCTACGCTCCGAGTTCCGTGGCTTGCTGCCCGGCGAGTTTTCGGAAGCCGGGACTGGCTTTGGCTTCTGGAGCGGCACTTGGCTGCCCACAAAGGGTCTCAACGACCGCAACGAGGAAGATCTTGGCAAGTATGTCGAGCCTCGAATGTGCTCCTTCTTGGTGGACACGCAGTACCCCGAACGCAAGTCGTCGCTATCTGCCAAGGAGCCGGATTACATTGCCGACCAGAACCACTGGGAAGTTGTCAAATGCGTCCCCTTTCTTGATGCCGCCAACACCCACATCTTGGCGCGAACCCTGTGGGTTCCCGATATCGATGCCATTCCCGAGCAATACAGGCGCAAGTGGGGACGGCACTGTCTGCTCCAGCGCAAGAGAAGGGCTCAAGACGCTGGCATGTGGGTAGCGCCTGGCCAGATGATGATGGGTTAACGAAGCTCAATGTTTGAGGGCCCTTATGAATCTTATGACAAGTCAGGACATAGAAAATTTAGAGCGAACAAAAGCAATTGACTCATGATTCCGTCTTATCGTTCGTTCTCATACTTTGATTTCTAACGTAGTGTATGTCTCTTTGATCAGTTTATGTATGGACTCATATCCTAGATGCTCTTGACTCCTCCGCCATTCCTAGATACTGATTGCGGTCGGCTTCTCACCAGTTGAGTACATAGTCATTATCAGGTATCTCCCCTGTTTGTCAAGACCAAGTATGATCAAGCCACACAAGACGACCCAAGCAGCGAATGCATGTCACAACGTGGGAAAGAACCTGGAACCTGTGTTTGTATTACTTCATCATTCGACAAGCGAGAGACCGTCATGGCAGTCAGGAGTGTGCGCAATTGTGCCGTTCATGAATGTCCACAACCCTACTCAGGGGCCGTTGTTTTGGCTGACAATTGACGGTACATGATGTCGGACCCCTTAAACAAACTCGACGTTTTCCCAATTTGAGAAAACAGCCCATGCTTCATCCATCAGTTTGCGAAAAAGCACATCTTCGCCATGGTCATGCCTTCTTGCAAATGCAACCCAATCCTGTGAAGCGCCCCGAGAAGGTGTCTAATGCTGGAATCGATCGAAGGGTCCCGCAGTAATCCGGAACTCGCTTGCTGCGAGTGGAGTCCGGTGCTCGGAATCGATAAATAGAAAATTGAGGCTTTCGATATTTGACGACTAGCCCAGTACCAGCTCGTATAGGATGATGAGCGTGTTCACTATGATCAATGGCGCTGTTTATAACGTCAGCTTCGCAATTCCAAACAGCCACAGAATTTCTCCAACAGTGAAGAAAGAGCGCCCAATACAGATAATGTCCCAAGTGCGACGACAGAGGGTAGAAAGACCAAAGGGGGGAATGGGCGGGAAACGTACGTCGCATAACCATGCGGACACTGGCAATGAGGGCGACAAGCTTGGCCTTTACGCTGTTGGCATCTGCGCCGGCGCCAAAGGCAGGATCGTAGGTGCTCGTGGAGAGGCCGATGCGCGCGAGGAAGCGGTCGTCGGAGAGGATGGCGAGGGCGTTTGTGAGGAGGCAGAGGACGTAGACGAGGTTGCCTATGAAGAGCATCTTGGGTGGTGTCCTTCTGTTGTTTTTCCCCCCCTTCTATGTCTTGCTTTGTCTTTTTCTTCTCTGACTTGATCCTAGAAGTTTGTGGAATCCGTAGGTTTGTTTGTTCCTTGTGATGTCTGGCGTGAGGTGGAGGAGGATGACTTGGTTACTCGATTGGTTACCGGAGGGTTGGATGTGGTTTGAGCTGTATCGCGACTGTAGGGGGGGGCATTCTGGCCTCTTTTCGCGGAAGCTAGTGCGATAAGGCGGGCTTATCGGAGCTTGGGGGAGATGACGAGGATCAGGTGACTGCGAAGGCCGAGGCATGTCGTCTCCTGGAATTTCAACCAAGTCGCAATAGCAACAAGGACCTTAAATGAGAAATTGAATCTTCAAATGACCGTTATTTGAATCTGGCAATGAGTGACCTCTTGAACTTGTGGTACCAAATGTCGCTTCTACTGTCTATGTATAACGCAGCTTCATTCTGCCTCGAAATGACGTAAGGCGATGACCGGCTCGATTTCAACACCAAACGACTTGGAGCGGCAGCCGACATTCACCCGACTTCAACATCGCCTTCTCCCAGCGACGTCAATCAGAATCGCTCCTAGAAACAAGGGATAGAAAGACATGGCTTCGTCAGCAGAGGGCTCAAAGGACGGTCCTTGGACCGATGAGACCAAGCAAAAATTTAATAGGTAAGCCGCCTGCTGCGCGACCAGGGCAATCATGCACATGTTTGTTGCTAACTTTGGGGCCGAAATTTGTAGCAAATCGAAAAGCGAATTCTACGATCCTTGCCAGGAAGCGGCGCAGCGGAGCTACAAGTGCTTGTATAGAAATAACGGAGATAAATCCATGTGTGGAGAGTACTTTCAGTAGGCCTTCCAGTCGAAACATGGCATCTTCGCCTTTGGGAGGATATGGAGAGAGGAAAGCTAATGGTGTATTCAGGGCGTATCGGGATTGCAAACAGGCTTGGGTATGTGGAATACTGTCGCGAATTCGGAAACTTTGGGGGTTCTCTGATATGCTGACACTGCACAGGTTGAGAAGAGGAGGAAAGAGAAGGGTACATGGTGGTGAAGAGCTTGGTAACGAGGAATTGGGGATAACCGATCGCTTGACGCAAAGAAATGGGCGTTGAAGCACGTTATATACACATGGCAAGCCGTCATGGGGCGACAGGATGATGTAAGATTAAGAAGATCAAAGTGTAAGCTGACCCGATATCTACGATGCCATGGCCTTTGTTGGCTTGCTAATTGTTGGAGCAGGATATGGGCTATCGCGAGGCTTCCATGTACAGCAGACGACTCCCCTCTCTCTGTCATTTAAAGTTCGCTTGGTGTATCAATATTTCGGCAGCATTCTTGTAATAGAACGTTTTCTCCTAGGAGCAAAGAAAAGGCCATCTAGGGCAACATTTGTTCCCCAGCCGCCGCTTTGCCTGCCATACTTTTTCCTTCATTACGAAGAAACGTGCTGTTGAACTCGAGCATTTCCTTCTTCCATAATCAAATTCATATGTCGACATCTCACTCATGAGTTCAGATGGAACTTGCACTCACACTTGCAGTTTACGCAACGCTATCTCTCGTCTTCGATGCCGTCGCCCATTCATTCCACCCTCATCATAATACAATCACGCCATTCGAGACGAGTCAGATATCTTGTCAGAATGTTATGCATACGACCACTTCAATACGACCGTTCAACAAAAGTAAAAGTACCTAGGTAGGGATGAAGCGAGTACAGTAGAAAGCCAAATATATATCTGATTATAGCAAAATTTAGCAGTAAATAAAAGTATTAAAAGTTATTAATCTGCTGTGATGCCGCACAGCTAGTCCACGTTAAAAAGAAACTGATGATAATTCTCCCTTTCTTATTCATGAGGTCAATCAATCCGCAATTTGGGCCTCTGTAACCTTTGTGACGACTCCAGTAAAGGTATCCATCTTGAGCCCAACAATAGAGGTCCCCGGCAGGATAAAGGGCGAAGAGCGTAAATGCTCCACGTCTTCTTTAACACTCTCCTCGATTCTACACAAGTCAGCCATGCGTTCTTCTTCAATGATAGAAACGGAATCAGGCTTACGATCCCGTAATTTCACCGAACTTGGTGGTATTGATGGTTTCTTCCTCCTGAGGTGCAATCTTGACCAGAGCCTCCCTAACTCTAGCATCATGGAAATGTGTCATTCCGCAATCTATACGGAGCGTCAATAACCGCAACTCAATCACTTAATATGGCAGTTAAGCGTGCGTGTTCGCTCACCTGTATGATGCAAGACAACGACCGTCTTTGCACTCGCAATAGTCTGAAGAACAGAAATGGACCGGATGGCATCCATCGCACGGCCTCCAGCATTGCGGACCATGCTGATGCCTTGAAGGCTGGAGTCAATGCCAAAGATGGCATATGGATTGAGGCGCGGGTCCGAGCAGCTCAGGATGATGGTGGCAGCCCCGGTCTGGCGAGCTGCCTCGGCCATGGGAACCAATGGAGGTGGTGCCTGATAGCTTTCGATAACTTTGCTGCAGATTGTGAGATTCTGAGTATTGAGATAGGGGTTGCTTGAGATTTGCGTACCTGTTGCGGTTGAGTAACTCGTCGAGCAGCCTTGAAGTCATGGTGTAAGTCGTTGATATCTGGGGGCGCACTGATGGTTCCAAGTGTTTGTGAATCGTGTTGTTGAGAGATGCTTTGATTCGAGATGTAGAAGATGTTGAGAGCTGCATGCACGTCTTTTATACGTAGCTGGGGAGAGCTGCATGCACGTCTTTTTATATGTAGCTGGGGAGGGCTGCAAATACATGACCGAGGCGTGGCGTAGATGGTGTTGTGTAGACAATTCATGATTACTGAACCAGGAGCCAAGGAACAACTTAATCATCCTGGCTGAATAATTTCTGAAAGAATGACAAAGTCGAGATCCGATGAACGTTTTGACATTATGGCTCTACTGTCTGTTTGAAGAAAGCAAAATCTAATCATTCCGTTGTTTGTAATGTCGTGTTTGTCACCATTGTTCTGCGTCCGGAGCAACACGCTCCGCCTGTCTTGGACTCACCCTGTAATGAATGAATGGTTCTCGTGTCTCCGACATGTTACTGTCAAGATGCTTCTACTATACTCCTAGGTGATGTAGATGCTCTTGCGTAGAATCTTCCATCTCATGCATCACATATTCCAGCAGTGTTGAATGTTCCAAGTTGCCAAGTTTCTTCTCTTTCTGCTCGGACTGGGACTCCAGCTTGCACTTGATTGGCCAGACGCCATCACGGAAGCCAACGGGCAAGTCTCCGCCCAACTAAGAAGCGCCAATCCTGGGGAAGCGGGTCGCTCCGGACACGGGCTTATCGCACGAATAGAGGCACTTGCTGGCTGCTGGGGGACAAGGGCGGTATCGCCACTGCATACCCTGAGGTAATCATGGGGGTTCGAGCTGGGCAGCATGACAAGACCTTCATCTGTCACCATTGCCTCTCCTGAAGAAATTATCTCGAAGATTGACTTTCTCCTTGTTCAATAGTTGTCACTCTGCTCAACTGACAATTGCCCACCGTGGGCGATACTGATAGTACTCTGTTTTGACTCTCGTCCAACTCCCCCGATATCCAACATGGCGACATCGGACACTCCCATCAGGATCCTCCCCAACGAGGTACGCCAAAATGCCAATTCAGCACCCCCCCTTTTTCTAATTTCGTGGCCATCAATCACTGACACGCCTCCGACAAAACCCTCCAGCTCCTCTCCAGCATCCTGTCCTCCCTCAGCACCAAGGATCTCCTCTCCGTCGTCACCGTCAGCCACCTCTTCTGCTCCCTGGCAACCCGCATCCTCCACAGACGCCTCGTCTCCGCCGCCTCCCTGCCCGACAACCAGGCCATCCTCGAATGCTACCACCCGAGCGCCAAGATCTCCACGCCCTACCTCGCCTGCCGGTACCTCGGCACGGCCGTCTGCGACGGACACGCCATCGACGACCAGAACCCGCGCTTTGAGCACCTGCGCAAGCTGTACTCGTGCTTCCGGCCGGTCGTGATGGAGGAGAATCGGCGCGCGAGGTTCCGCTATGGCTGGTCCTCGCAGACGCTGGCTGGCAGCTCGCAGCTGCAGATTGCCGCCGAGGATGAAGTCGCCGACGAGGCGGCGCATCAGGAGGTCTACCTGGACGAGGGGGAGCGCTTCTCGCAGCTTTGCACGGTGACGAATGTCGTGACCCAGGGCTCTCGGCCGGGCCTATTTACGCGGCATATCAACGTTAGCGACGGCGTTATCCGCGTGTTTAGAGACTGGTTGGCGAGCATGCTGGAGAGGCCGTCGTCGTCTTTACGGTCTGGGGTGTCTTCTTCTTCTTCATCCAACCCCGTTGCCGTGACAGCAGCCACACTTGCAAACTCTGCTGGATTCACATCGGATGACAGCCGTGTCTTGTGGGTAGACAGCACAAAGGACGTTGGCCTTCGCTTCCGAGTGCTGCCCGGGCCGGAAGTAAGGGGGACGATTTTCGAGGACGAGCCGCCCGTGTTTTACAATCTCATTTACGAAGGTTGGTGGAGTTTCGTTTGAATTCATCGCCCGGCCAACTTGGAGGATTCATCATTGAACATTAATCTGCTGACATGCAACAGAACTGATTGTACGCACCAGCACACTGCTGTTGGCCGTGGAGGAGGCGGCTGACGAGGACGTGTCCCACTCCGGAAAGGACATCATCATCGCCGCCATGTGAACATGTTTTTTTCTGTTGGCGTTTCAACTCCCTGTGCCTTTGAGAGAGCTCCTTGGAAACCCGTGGCTGAAGTATTGGAGGTTCTGGTCAACTCCGTGCAACGCGTGCTTTGCTCATCGACAACTTTCCAAGCGGCCTGTGAGACATAACAACGCGACTGAACAAGGACAAAAGGTACACCTCCCGCTAATATAGGAGTAAACAAACCTCAAGTGGCAATGTCTCGACGAAATGTCTCCTGTTGAGAGTCTCAGATGCATTGCAGCTGAGTGTCTAAGGTAAGGGAGATTCAGAGTCTCGGACCTTGAACAAAGGAAAGTCTCGTGTATACAATCTTTTGCAAGAAAGATGCTCGTTTTAGAAGCCTTCTTCTCCATTGTAAAGTCCTTGTGCTTTGAATCCCATCAGACCTATGTGTGGCTCAATACAGGATGCAATTGCGTTCATCTAGGTACGACGGCCAGGTAATGCGACTGCAAGCATTACAAGTACATCGCTAGAGATAGGCCTCCTTGTCAAGGCAATGACAGAAGAAGGTAATTGGGCAAGACATTCATGGTGATAGTACTATGTAGTAGTTAGTATATCGATTGAATGCAGGGCGGGGCAGAGACATCCCGTGGGAAGGGAGGATGGCTGTCTCTGCCCTCTCTGCAAGGCAAAGGGTAGCAAGACACAAAATATGACCAAGATAAAGTAGGCATAAAAAGTGATTCTGCCGTAGAGAGGAGAAGATAAGGGAAGACGAAGAGAATTAGAACAAAAAATAAGGGAAAAAACAATATTAACCGCCATACGAAATGATGATACGGGAAGAGATCATGAGAGTACCTCTGATGTACACCATCAGCAGGACAAGACGGGTTGGGCGATGCAAGACGCAAAGCCCGACTTCTGGCGGTGACGAAGCTGAGCCTGTCTGCAAAAGTGACCACCTGATGTGGAAGAATTTGATGAGTGGAGAAGAAAGGCACATTCAAGCTGTCATTGACTGGCTGAGAGACGATGGTAACTGCTCATCTGTTTCTTCTCTTCTGGGGAGTTGCTCCGCTGCGGTGTGACACGACATGTTGACCGAAACGTGAGGTTGGGAGACGCGGCTGGTGATAGTCCAAGTCGACGTGCATTAGCCTAGAAGACGGGGGGGCTTTACTCCTGTTTTTTTTCTTCTGGCTAGATGTACCCTTTGGGCTTCTGTCTTGATGTTCTTTCTTTCTATCTATCCCCTGTTTCGTGTCTCAGAGTTACGTACTTGACCTGTGATGTTCTCGACCTCGTTGCTGCGAAGACGGAGCGGTGTTCACCTGTAATGTGACCCTTCTGAGGAGGTATGTATGTATGTATTTCCTGCGATTATGACTGGTTGCAGATTTTTCGCAGAGTGTAACAATGATAGGCGCCGCGGATATTCCAAATTCCATTCAATAATGATTATGCTGTGTGTCTTCTTCAGGCTTGGAGTTGTCCGGGGATAATATTGCCTCGCACAAGAAAGTGTATGCATCATCGCCATGGCCATCGCCACGGCTACGCAGGGCTGAGAATTACATATGTATTGCCCTGGCTGAAGGCTGGGATATGCATACAAATATGTAGGGTAACGTCATTGAGAGCGAGTGTACAAGATGATAGCGGAGCAAAGATGAGGTTGTTCATGGGATGGATGCAATGGCAGGCTGTACTCGTACATTGGATATGCGAGGACGGGATGCGCCGTGTAGCCTAACGGCATATTATCTGTATGCATATTACATTCATTGTAGGCTCAGCTAGGACTTGCAGTTGCTGTGCAATCTAGAACTTATACCGTCTTGTATGTGATAGCAGCGGTAAGAAGAAGACGATGGAGAGCAAAAGTTGGTGCATATACAGGGGGCTTGCTCTGGACCAGGGCCATCTGCAAGCCACGGACATGGGAACAAACGCAACCAAGCAACCGGTGAGGAATAAAGGCAAACAAGGTCAAAGCATCTGCCAAGAAGCATCCGGTTTCCCGGCGATTCTGCGGTGTTGTCTTGCTCACGGGTTTACCAAGATGGGAGGTGAGCCAGAGCGGGAGAAGGTCATATGAGAATAAGGCTCTTACGGTATATGTATGTGTATCACTGATATCATGATATGCACCCGATGGTTCCCAAATTGCTGTTCGGTGTACTTCTACCTTGGAGATCACAGAATGAGAATAAATACCTACATTGTAATTGCCTGGACTAGATGGAAGAGTATTGGACGAGTGCATATACGGAGTGGTTTGTCCGCCCTATCGCGCTCGTGATGATGACGGGCTTGCTGTTTGGCTCAGCTGAAGGAGGCAAGCGAAGCCTAACGATGCAGCCATCCACAGCCGTTACTGCAGGGGACCTGCCTTTCGGCCATATTCGCACTCTGAGCCGCATCCAATCGTGATCCAGCGACTAATCGATCAATCAACACTCTCTCTCTCTCTCTCTGTGAATGGCCTTTGGATCCATCTGCCGCAGCTTCAGCAAGCCACTTTGACGCCCATCACGCAATGGAAGGATTCTAAGGTAGTAATATCGAGGAACTGAACAAGTCCCGAGTATTTAGTACCCAAGAGGTAGGTATGTATATTGTAGACCCTCTCGGAAGGAGCTGCCGGCACTCGAGACTCCACTCGTTCAGCCCCGCGTCCGAGGCCCTAGCCGGAGCAGGTAGCCAGTACGCTGCCACCGAGGCGCCAGGCACGGGATGTGCTGGTAGCGGTACCTGGATTGCCCTGGTTCAGGGACACGAGTGGGGGCTCTGCAAGTACACCCAGCTTTGCTTCAGCCTCGACTCCAGTCCTTCTCTTCCATCTCACACTCTCACCACCCACGGAGTATTTTCTGATGATTCACGCAGATCTGCTGCCAGCCTCTGCTGCATCCATGTGCTCAATCATCCCTTTCGTGTCTCCCCGAGGCTGAAGGAAGCACAGTCCTTGTTGTCTTCTACTACTACTACTGCTAGTACCAGCATCTGTCCCCTGTACAGATCAATCCGGGCTAGAACCAGATGTCTTGCTTGTCTTGTGCCCACCTCCTCGTCCTAACTACTACCCATGAGACAACGAGGGGAAGACGAGCAGAAACACGGCATCCTTCTTTGACTCAACCGCCATCTTGTCTGCTGGGGAGACATCGTTGCTGCTTCAACGCCCTCCCAACCACTATCTTACTCTACGGCATCTCCCTCGTGGACACTGTCCAGCGCCAACCGCTCATCGACTTCTTGTCAGATCGTTGCCATGACACTGCTGCAACCTGCACGCAGCTTCATCACCACATCGCATCCACCAAAGCTCGCACAATCAGATCCGCCAGCAATGGCCCACCGCTGCGGCCTTCTGGATCCGACCGGGGGCCTTGCTTTGACCCGTGCTCTGTCGTACTGCATGCGGGCCGTGTTCAGCTTTACAGATGCCGTCATCTGAGCGAGGAGGGCCAGTCGGGCCTCTGAACTGCGTGGTGGTGTTTGAGCCGTCTCATGGCCTCAGTTCGACAAAACTCGGTTCGTCTGGATTCAATGGCTATTCTTTCCCACCTCTGCTTGATCAGATTCTTCCATACACCATCATTAAGGGCCCTTCATCCCTTTGTCTTGCACCGTCCCGCTGTCAACCGTCTGTATCATCTCTCCCTGTCTCTCCCTTCCCTTGTCTGATACCCTGATACCGCCCTTCCCTCCCCACGCCCACGCACAGCCTCTCTCTTGTTTATGTGTGCAAGCCAAGATCCACAGACCATCAAACTCGACCCATGCAAGGCAGCCTCACCGGACGGTGGCGTGTACCCTGTGCCATCTTCTCTCTCAATCTCTACGGAGCACCTCCTGTGTGTCTCTTCCTGCCCAAAGCACCCCTGCCTTTGCTTCCGACTGGCTGCCCGTGTCGTTGCTGGGTTTTTGCCCCGAATGTCCATCTAGTACAACGCCGGAGCCATATTCTCGGGGCTGTCAAGAGACTCGTCGTCGCGCCAGACACCCCCCGTTGCACACGCACAAATAGACATGCGCTCCCTCCCTCTGCCCAATGGGATGCTTCCCGCCCCCTACGCTCCCACGGACTCATTGCTGGATCCATGAGCCGGCCGCTCGTTTCCATACCCACGCTCACTTACAAATAGCTCACTCACAAATAACCAAGCCAATATATCATATATATCGTTTTTTTTCCAGCGACAGCACCAAACTTACAGCTTCACGTTCGCCATGGATCCCAGCAGCATTAGGATCGTGGGCAACATCACTCGTCCACCATCTGTCCACTCTCTCAGATCCGCTCTCAAGACGCTCGACATACCTTCCATGCCTCCCACTGTGCCCTTGCCGCCCATCCCGACGTCTCCTTCGTCGATTAAATCACCCTCATCGATCAAATCGCGGTCGGCAACCATTACGGGGGTGGCATCTCCCAGACTGGTCACAGGGTCGATCAAGAACAAGGCCTCCTTTACATCACTAGCCTTTCGTCCGCATAAGCCCATCAAGTATGGGACTGGAAGATTCTCTCATGTCGAATTGGTGCCTCAGCCGAGCGACGATCTACAAGATCCGCTGGTAGGTTAAATCATGGTTCACGCTGTCTTGATGATCAGACACTCATGCATTGGCTATCAGAACTGGCCTCAATGGAGGAAAGAATTGAACCTAGCCTCCCTACTCTTCATGGCGTGCTTGATCGGCGCAATGAAGACGGCCCTCGTCGCTGTCAATGACGTTCTTTCAACTCACTACAACGTCTCCTATACTTGGATCGCCGCTTTGACGGCTACACCCTTGATGGTTTCCGCTGTTACTGGCTCCATCAGCTCAGTCGCGGCGAAGCTGGTAGGAAAGCGCCCAGTGTATCTGGCCTCAGCGGCCTTCATCTTCGCCGGCTGCCTCTGGAATATGACGGCAGATTCGAGCTACGGCTCGTGCATGGGCGCTCGGGTTATGCAAGGACTCGGCTGGGGTGCTTTTGACACCTTGCTGATGGAGACCATCCAAGATACCTTCTATGTAAGCCACTTTAGCCTTGCCTCTTACTCGTCCCACGATGCGTAGAGCAAAACTGAGTCTCGGTTCTCACAGGAACATGAGAGGAACACCCGTGCCTCGTTATACACCATCCTTACCATCACATCAACCTGGGCATTCCCCCTCATGGGAGGCGCTGTCTCTTATAAAGTCGGACCCTTCGCCCCATACCGCATCATCAGCGCTCTCTTCGCAATTGCCATTCCCATGCTGGCTCTCACCGCGCCAGAGACCGCCTTTGACCGTTCCAGAGCCGCTATTGCAACAACGCCGGTGCTCAACTACACGTTCCCCTGGGAGCCTCAGCCGACTCACGTCGGTCTCAACAAGGACTCGGCAATCGACTACGTCAGGGAGATGAGGCCCTGGTCATTTGCTGGCGAAAAGAGCGTCTTGACTTCGCTTCAAGCGCCCAGGGCTCTTGCTGCTCCCACGACGACACTCGTCTTCCTCGTCACGGCGCTGCCGCACTGTTTCCTTTGGGGCCTCATCGCTTCGCTGTCTCTTCTACTATCTCCCGCACCGTTCAATCTCCGCCCCAGCATACTCGGGACCCTCACGGCAGGTCCCTGGATACTTGCAGCTCTCCTCGTTGCGGCCATTTGCTTCTACCGCTCCGCCCACCACAAATTCACCCGCTGCGTCAGCAGCCTCACCATTGCCGGCGGTGCGGCGCTTGCACTCATTGGGCTCTTGTCCTTTGGCCTCAACGTCGGCAGCTTCATATCAGGCGCCTCCCAGCCCCCGTCCCTCCTCGCCCCCGAAGCAGCCCACGACCTCAGCCTCCCCCTCCTCTCGCTCCAGCTTGGCCTCCTCGCCGCCGGCTCCTCCACCCTCGAGGCCACCGCCCGCCCGCTCCTCGCCCGCTCCGCCTCCTTTACCGCTTCCAGCATGGCTGCCGCCCAGCGCAGCATCGGCGACATGCACGCGTGGGTCGTCATTCTCCGGAATCTCCTCTCGGGCGCCTTTGTCCTTGCCGTCCCGCACGCAATGGCCCGGCCGGGCGGGCTGAGGGCGCTCATCATCGGCTTGGGCACTGCGCAGGTAGTCGTCACGGTGCTTGTGCTGCTGCTGTGGCGGTTTTGGGAGGAGAGCGTTTGGAGGGTGGATGGCAAGGTCATGGGGCTTGTGAATTTGAGGATGCCGCATCCTGAAGAGAGTTTCTTCGATACCGATTGATGGGCAAGATGATCGAGCCTGATCAATCAACAGCTAGAGTGCTGCCATTTGATCTTGCCATCCTCATCAATCTTGAGAGAGAAGAAATGAAAAATACGCCGGAAAAAAATAAACATGTAAAACAGTTACCATCATCAACCAACATAAAGAAGACAAGGGCGATAAACACACAAAAACAAAAGGAAAAAATTCTACTGTGACAAAAGACGGCGTTCATCATTCTGCATTTTTCCCGTCTAGTCAGGGATGCTTCTTCACCCAGTCCTTCGCCTGAAGGATTTTCTCTTCCTCTTCTCCCCCTCTTCTTCTTCTTCTTCTTCTTCTTATTCTTATTCTTCTTCTTCATCTCTGTTTCTTCGTATCAACGGGAATTACGATATTCGGGTTTATGATATTGGCAATGGGAAAAAAAAAGAGAACGACGAGTATCAATTATGTCGCACTTTGGAGTACACGGTTGGGAAATGGACGATGTAACGAATCAACGGCCGACGATATGATGGACTCTCACGTCTTCATTGTATTATTCATATAAGATAGGCAGATAGTATAAACGCTGACTGCATGTTTTCAACGTGTACTGCCTAGTCCTCGTTTCCCATGTAAGGATCCGACTCGTGTAGCGGATGCTCGGACCTCAAGAGCACCATCTCATGATTGACATGAAATCATCAAAACTATCATGTTCAATTCATTATCGCACCAGTCGCCGGGGCATTGCGTTCCTAGCTACATTAAATAACGATCAGAGTATGTACACACCCGTGTATCGGCCTCGCAATATCATGTGTCCTTGACAGAGACGGTCAATACATTTGCCGCTGAAGAAATGCTTCACACATCGACGCGTGTTCCTTTTGCGCTCGCTACTCTTCGAAAATCTCATCCGTAAAATGATGACATGCATGCTGTGCAGAGAAAGAAATGGCGAGTTGCTAACGGATCATCATCTGAACGTATATGTCGTCCTTTGCTCTGAACGGAATTTAAGAACAGGTAGGAAGAAGAAAAAGGAATAAATAAACATTGAAAACTGCTGCCCGGCTTTGGGACTTACATCCTCCATATCACCTTCTATAGAGGATGTGCCGTCTTTGTCCCCGAGTTGGGCACACGCCTGAGCTCCACATCGCTGCCGATGGTTGCAGAGTCTCCATCATCCATAAAAGACTCGCATCGGTTCAATGGATTCAATGGGCCAGCAGTGCGCTCGTTCATGCCGAGCTCGTCTGCTTTGTGACGGTCAATGACGGCAGCGCTGGCTTTGAACGTCTCGTTGATCCATGCCTTTATGCTGCGCCAACTAGTAACGAAGAAGATGATTCCATTCCATAGTCCTTGCAGCGGCAAAACTGCCGCGGTGGCAACATGGAACTCGTAAGGGGATCCCCCATCAAGCCAGCCATGGATACGATTGAGGCTGCTGGGGATCCAGGTGACCAGCACGCTCAGCGCGAACAAGAAACTCGTCCTCAGATACGCTCTCTTGATGGGGTCGCCGACGCGGAACTTGCTCGTAATTGCTGTGACCGTCGTCTTGAAACGTTGTAACAAGGAGGGCGGAGGAGGGACCTCTTGTGGAGGAGCGGTTGTGACGGACGAATAGTACTGGTTGTCGGAAGAGGGCTGAATTTCGGGTTCTGGGTTGTCAAACGAAACATGCCTGGTAGTCCGTGGAATATAAGCTGGTTGCGGCTCTGGAGGGACGGAGTCGGCCAGAGTGTGCGTCACCTGGACCTCGGTGGTGACAGTGCCATAGAAGCCATTGTGTGCCGTCTCTCCTCGACCCTGCGATTTGACCATTGTCAGTTTGAGACTTCTACACACTTGATTGACCAGTTCAAAAGAAACACACATACCTGGTCCGCTTCTCTGTCCTTTTCTCTGTTCCTGGACGTGGAAAAACTGCGGAGCCGATTTCTCATGCGAAAGACGTGCCATCCAACCAAGAAGTAACAGAGGATGGAGCCAACGATGCATATCCAGATGAGCATGTAGTATGTGTAGATCCGAATGTAGTCCCATTCCTTGTCCACCCAGCACCAGATCTATTTCAGCACGAGTTCTTGGTCAGCCCAGAAAGAAGCAACGAGAAGAGTCCATCAGCTGGGGTCAGGGTGCTTCTTACTGTAGCTCCACCGTACACTAAACCACGAGGACTTCTGACAAGGAGAAGAGTCAGAGCAATGACAAAGGGTCCTCCGTAGCAGATCAAGCAGTAGATCCACCAGCGCTTGCGGAAAGAGTCTGGATTTGTATGGAAATAAAAGACGAGGAAGACGTTGACAGCCATGGCGAGAGACCACCAGGGATCCGACTGCATGAACCTAGTCGATGGATGCCAATGGTTAGTGATGTTCTGCAGCTGCTTCGACTTTGTATCGATCTGTGAAGTTTTGTATTTCGTCCGATAGCGTGATTTGCTTACATTTCGAACATGAAACTCTGAGCCTGGCACAAAGCCGTTCTTTGGCCGGCTTCCATGCCATCGTAAGCAATGATGCTTCCGATACTGGCGCCAATGTTCGACACACTGGCAAAGACGATGAAGGTGTTTTGCACATTGCGCACTCGTCGAACCAACCAGTAGGTGATGAAGATGAGCATCACTGAAATCAGGCTGAGGGTGCCGCCAATTCGCTCGACAAGGACGAGCGTGTTGATTTGGTGATGGCTCAACTGCTCATCATCCACCGCAACGGGGTCCAAGGTCGTGTTAAAGTCCATGGCTGCTCAACCGGGAACGTTCAAGCAGCGATGGAAAGTATGGCATGTGCAGTCGATGGCTGTGACGGGTGAAGGCGAAGTCAAGCAGTTGAAAATGGCGGCGTCGTTCCACCCGGAGGTGACAATGTTGCGGAAGAGGAGGGGCTGATGGGTTGAAGGCAGAAAGAGAAGAAGACGCGATGCAACGCAACAGGAACCTGGATGCAGAAGTGAAGAAACAGTGCTGAAGGAAAGTTGTAGGGCCAAGAGAGAAATCGACTGTGCAGAAAGAAGGGGTGCAGGTTGCCAGCTGGTGGTGACGGCCAGGCACTGGCTAGAGAGAGGTATGCGGTGAGACAAGACACAAAGAGGCAGAACGAGGCGAAGATTTCCTTGGGAGGGACTTCGTCACATCCTGTACCAGAAAGAAATGCGCTGGTTAAATTTGAGAGGGTGATATGAAGACAAAGCAGGAGAGGCGAATCAGGGGGGAAGGCAACCAGCCGACACTGAGGGTCTCGCCTCGTTTCGAGAAGAAGGTGCTGAGACCGAAATGGAGACCGCAGATTGATGAAGAAACAGAAACCAGGCCCTGCCAGAACTGGTATTGGATGGATCGAAAAGCAGCTGCAAGTGGCTGTACGAGAGGCTGCTTGTGTCACGACAGCTGCACGCAGCCGTGGCGGTTGGGAAGCTCGGTGTTTCTCTTGTCTTGGCTGGCGCTGATAATGGTGATGGTTGGACACTCGGTGCAGATGGAGCCGGGATCGGATTTGCTGATGAAGATGATCGGAGATGGAGTTTGCCCAACGACCAAAGAATCGAGAGTGGGTGCGAGATTGCGTACAGAGGACGGAGAACTCGAATCGAATCGCCCGAATCGTCGTAGAAGCCACTCAGACGGCCTGCACTTGTTTAGTCGCACGCCGGCACCTGTCACCCATCTCGCGACGACTCAGTCACCTCGTCAGCCGGCGTCAGACGTTAGTTGCCGGTTTGGCTAGCAGCAGTACTGCAGTACCTTCGGTGCCTGTGGAATGGGAGGTGAGGCTTGGATTGTGATTGTTTGCCATGTCGAGGTTAGCAGTCGAGATGGACGAGATGCAATGGATGCCCCTCGTCGCCATTGGCTGCGTCATCGCACAGACTGGAAGGAGGCAGGAGAGACTTGGAGGCCAGAGGCAAGAGGCAAACAGGAAGCAGCAATTTTTCCATCCATCCATCCTTCCTTCCTTCCTTCTTTTCCCCCCATCCGCTTGCTTCCTCCTTATTCCAATGCTCTCGAGCTCTTCAACTCTTCAATCCCTTCTTCCCAAGTAAGTAGATATTTTGCATCTTTATATTCTCCGGTACACGAGAACGTCAAACACTCTTCTAGGTGAAGTCTTCCTAGTCTCCCATTGCACTGACGCTATTTAGCAGATGCCAGTGAATCCCGACAATTCACCTGCATGTCACCGACCCTACCGCCTCCAATAAAGGTTCTCCAAGCCCCCAAGCTGAATACCTACATACATACCTACCAACGCCAACGCCTCCCAGCCCAAAGCACTCTCAAGACCGAATGAGCGCATCGAAATTGTGTCTCGTGGCAGCAGCACAGGCTACAGTCTGCCCTCAGCGCCAATTCGTCTGCTTCAACCCGCCAACATGCATTCACAATGCCTCGCCACTTACTTCATTCGCTCCTCAAGCCCATGACCAACGGTTGCAGAAATGATCCCTCTTTAGGGCTAGGTGGTTTTGCTTCATTGCCAGCCACGCTAGGTTGCTTCTAACTCGGGCAATGCAGCTTGTAGCTGGCGATGACTGGGAAAGAGTCGAATATCACAGTACTGACAGCAGATGAAATGTTTCAGAGATGGGCCAGATCGTCGCCGGACAAAGGAGAAGAGATGGCGATGCATCCTCCTGAGTCCCAATACCCGTCTTAGGCAACCGCCGTCTTCAAAGAACAAGGTAAGTATGTGTCGAACCGGCAGCATCCAGAGCGAGAGACACGGGCCAAGCGATGGGTCGAGGCTGCGTGCATGCCGAGTCAAGACAGTGTGTGCGAGCATTTTGTCTTCCCTCTCCCCGCCCCAAGCGGCTTCAGCGTCGCACACTGTCCTCCGATAGCCGTCTCGCAAAGGCTGCGCTAAGGATGAGGAAGGCTGGCTAAGGCTTGATAGCGAGTGGATGGCCCTATTCTGCTTCATCACTTTCTCCGAGGCTGGTCGATGTTTGATCCAGCCGAAGTCTTCTTTCCTGGTCATTACCAGTCTCCTGAACACGACGAGGTCAAATGACAGCAGACCCCACGTCGGTCACCCAGCCCTACAAACCCCAGAAGAAGGCGATGCCACTCCACGGGGCGGCAAGTGGGGATTTGGAACCGTTGCAATCAAGGATCGTGGCCTCGATGAACCCACAGCCACCAGTGGGGTCCAGGCTCTCGAATCTGGTTTAACCTCCCGAGGCGCCGCCAGGCCTCGTGGGATTTCACTCTTCGGGCATGTTACTCGAGGCCTGCGTCGGGAAAATAAACAAGAGGGCCATGCCGCCGCCACGAGGACGCATAGGTGCTGCTGCTGCTATCCTGGCCCATGTTCTCGAACCAACGCCTCGTTTCTGCTGGCTACCGCAGATGGTGACCGTCTCAGCTGCATCCCCTCCGCTCGAGCCCCGTCCAGCAGATCTAAAACAAGACACAAAGGAAGCAACCAACAGAAGATTCATCTTACACAAAGGCTCGGAGTTGGCTCCACTCCCCTAGAAGCCCGCGCCCTCGATTCGTTCAGGTTATCAGGTACTTCGCAGGTAATTAACATGTTTGACTCTCATCACATGGTTGCTGAAATCTTCACCGTTGCTCTCGACTTGCTTCCTCTCCTATGGCAAGTTGCACTAGTGTGCAAGTCCGCGAGATCGTCTGCGAATGATCTTGATGCAATGGCCACCCTGCCCCTCGCACGGCAATCTATGCATTGCTACCTTATAGGCGTATAACCAACAGTAGATTGTAACATATTAGCGCAGCTCAGCTCCGATTCCCCTCACGGCGGTGGTCGAAACCTCCCTTGACGTCCGCTCCTCCTCCTCCTCCTCCTCCTCCTCCTCCTAGAGACCTCACCCACTCAACGGCCAATGATAACCTCCAAAGCCCAACAGTCCACCCTCCAGGCACCGACATTCCACGCTCAAATTAGGTACGACGCAGCGAGCGCAGATGACACCGAACAATGCCTGCGTTCATTCATTTATATGCGACCTAAAATAGAAACGACCCCGTTGGGAAGTTGTGCTCTTGTTCTGCCTCGTCCTGGTTTCTTTGTGCAGATACATACAATTCTCTTCAGAGAGCAAACGGCCCAAACAGCAATGCCGGGATTAACGGAGAAGGGCAGGAAACTAGAAAGTCCAGGCAAAGGTGCATTCTTGCACTAATACATAGTCGACAGGTGTGATTTCACAAAGAGTTGCTCTCAGCCTCAGATGAGATTTATCAGATACGCCCTCATTTGCAGCCTCCTCTCGTAGAAAGCTTTTAGAAAACCGCCCTCCTTGCTCACACATATACCATGTATACAAGATATAGTCCTAGAGAAAGGTGCAGAATAGAACAAAAAGGCTCTAAAGTTTCTACTCCATGCAATCTTTTCTCTCATATCCAAAAGTACCAAGTAGGTAGTGGTATCCAAAGACGTCAAAAGTTTCTCCAAGACAAACCTATTCAACACCATCCATATCCCAAGCTGAAACCTTGTTTTTTCCGCAAAAAGCCTCCTTTCCAGGCTCTCTCTCTCTCTCTCTCTCTCTCTCTCTCTTTAAGACATGTGTGTAGGGGAAATTGATCGTGAGCCCACCGCCAGAAAGTCCCTCCTCTTGAAACGCTTCAGATAGTGTACATAAAATCCGGGCGCATATCGCCCATCTCCTCAATCTCGCGCTGCGACTTGCCCTCGACCCAGTAGTTGCGCTCGCCGTTGAGCCTCTTCTTGTTCTCCCTACTGAGCATCGTGGCCATGAGGATGCTGCCGCCAAAGACGCCAATGAACATGTACCCGATGATGGTGGCGTGGCCCTGAATGTAGCGCGGGGAGTCGTAGTAGATGTTGCTGCTGACGACGCCGTTGATGTTGCCCCAGCCGATGACGGTGCCCAGCACGATCCCGCGCTTGTACACGCCCTCGACGTTGTTGGCGACCCAGGCGATGGTGATGGGGATGCACGGGTAGATGCCCATGGCGCCGAGGAAGGTGCCGGCGTATTGCACGCCCGGGTTGGTCGAGGCCAGGAGCATGATGAAGCCGGCGATGCCGACGAGGGAGATGCATATGTTGAAGATGGCGCGCTTCTGTATCCTGTCCGAGTAGAGGCCTGCTACCACGGTGGCCACGGCGGCAGCGGCGTAGGGCGGGACGCTGAGGAGCTGGGTGACGGCCGTCGCGCTGCTAAAGTTCATCTGCTGGATGATGGACGGCAGGAACAGGCTGAAGGAGTACAGGGGCATCAGGGGACCCATGTATACGAGCATGCCAGCATACGTCTTCCAGTCCTTGACAGCCTGCCAAAAGTACAGCATCTTGAAAGTCTCGTGCTCGGCGGAGCTCTGCTTGTCCTGCTTGAGCCGGTACAGCACACGCATGCGGTCGTCCTTGGACAGGAAGTTGGCCTCGTCGGGGAAGTCGTGCACCATGAAGAAGGAAATGAAGCCGATGAGGATAGTCAGCGCGCCCTCGATGATGAAGATCCAGGCCCATCCGGCGAGGCCTCTCTTTCCGTCCAGCTTCTCAATGGCAGCCGCAAGGAGACCTCCAAAGGAGCCAGCCAAGGCTGCGGCCGAGAAGAAAATGGCCGCTCGCACGCCAAACTCGTTGCGCTTGTACCAGCACGAGAGGTAGTAGTTTACGCCGGGGAAGAGACCGGCTTCGCAGGCGCCCAGGAACCATCGCGCAGCCATGAGGCCGGACCAGTTCTTGATGAAGCCCATTCCAAGCATGCATGCGCCCCAGAGGATGCTAGATTTTTTTTGCATCACC